TGGGGAATTCAATGATGTTGTTGGCCAGGTATGAAATCCACTGGTGGCTAAAAGAATATTCTGGTGTGACTTTCTTTTTCTATTTTGTTTTGGTTCATTATTTGTGCATTGTGAATTTAACATGTGCAATTCATCTAGCATCTACACTTGGATCCCATCACATTATACCCAACCCAAGTGATCAAAATCTCACCTAAATTTAGATTCTACTTTGTATTCCACTCCTTCTTTGTTGTTTTGCAAATTATATATAAAAGACAACACAACCTATTAATCTACACCACATAGGTAACTTTTTTTATTGTCTATTTATCTATATAATATAAAGTCCATGTTTCACTCTTGTCCCTACACTATTTATAGTCTTTTAAATTTCTATATCAAAGTGTTTTTTCTAATTATTATTCAATAAATAAAAATTATTTTTGTTTTAATCAGTTTTTCAGTTTCTATACTTATGTTATAAATATTTACAAATCTTTACTTAAATAATATTTTATTTATTATCTCTATATTGTATTAGTTGAGTTTATCTTATGTTATAAATTTTTCTTGTATTTAGTATCTAGTATTTTATTTTTATATTCTGTTATTATGCTTAAATATTATCTCTTAAATTTAGTTTATACTAATTTGAATTTGAATTCTACATATTATTAATCGGATTAAAAAAACAGTCTCATCGATTTAAAAATTTGTTTTTATATAATAAAACATAATCATCTCAACTGAAAATGAAACCATTCCCTATTACACATTCTACTTTTACAAAAACACTAATCATTTATAGTAAGTGTATTAACTTATGGCAAATGTACTTTCATTAAGTAAATTACTTAATAACAAAAATACAGTTTCCATGTGTACTATTATGTGACCAATTTTAGCAAAGTGTTATTATTGATGATATAAAAAGTAATAACAAAAAAGAATAAAATGATTAGAGTTTTAATAAAATATTAAAAACAATTAATTCTTATGATGTCAGAACTTATCCTAATTCTATTAAACCAGAACATAGAAATTAAATATAAATAGTATATAAATGAGAGTTTAATTAGCTACACATATTTATTCGGAAATATTAAAATTTAGATTTTTTAAATTATATCTAATTTTTTAGACTTACAAGGATGAACTGAAAGAATAAGATTGAATTATGCCTAAGTACTTGTTGTTATAATAAGGTACATGTAATATAAAAAAAATGTGGTACACCAACAGCACCGTCATGTTTTATGTCAAACACCACTTTGAAAAGAATAATGAACACTACACACATCATCATGCTTCTCTCTCTTTCCCTTTGCTCAACGTCTGTTTTGGCGTTTTGTCTTTGGGTATGAATGACGTGTGTTTGGTAATAAAATTCTAAGTCTCACTATATTTATTCTTTCTTGTAAACACACACATAATATATATATATATATATATATATATATATATATATATATATATATATATATATATATATATATATATATTCGTGTTCAATGAGATAAGTTTAAATATTTGACAAGAGGAATATCACGATTTTCCGTTCACATGCCCATCACGTAAAAACCATCAATCAACTCAAAGCATCTTCTTTATATTATCTCTTGTAGTTATGGATTTTAGAGTAACATAATTAATATCACACTTTTTTTGTATTGATATGGTTGTAATGGGTCAGATACTGTTTTGTAGTTAATGAAGAAAACGAATTAAAACCAAATCCTTGGTATTATCAGGTTTGAACTGTTTGATCACCTTTCTAAAGAGAGTTTTGAGCAGCCTTCAAGATTGTGTCAGTGATCATCGATCAAAGTTCAGATATGGTTTCTTGTGGTGATAAGGACAAAATGAAAATGAGATGCATGTGGATTGGAAGACAAAGACAGCTTTCTCATTTTAAGCGAAGAACAAATTGAACAAGAAGTAGATAGACATGAACTGTGAGGAGAAAAGTACAGGTAATAATTTACACAATTAACACCACAGAAAAGTACAGGTAAAGAAGAATAATATATCACAGTACACATAATATGCAACGAATTTTCAAGTGTGGAGAACAGTTAATCACTTTAAGCTTACCCTGTTCAACATCTCAAACAGTTCCAAGTCCTGGTGAGTCACTGACTAATAACTTAGTAAATGCAATTTTACACTAACAGGTAGATAACAAATTGACAAAACAGGAAGCAATATACAAGACTTCATGCAAGATTAGAGCAGAAGAAAATTAGACAGTTTCAGTTTGAGACTAAGAGTTATTTGAAAATTTGACAAAATGATGGTGGAAGATAAAATGATGTAACTGTTTTTAAGCAGCTTTAGATGAGAAAGAAAATATTGTCTGAAATGAAGAAAGTATAAAATTATATAATGATGTAAACCAGACAGAAAAGAATGGAGAAAATAAGAAAACTTGTTATTAAGATTGAAAAAGTGTTCAAATGTGAAATATCGAATTAATATGCTTCACACCATGCGCAACTATTTTCTTCAAAAATGGAAATACTTCACATAAACAAGCAATATCTTGTATCACTTCCATTCCCACAATTCCCGTTAGAGAGAATAAAAAACTAAGTAACACAAACATTAGACTTTCTAATTTTTATTTATTATTTAAGTCTTATATTGATTAAGAATAAAAAAAAAAGTTGAACAATAGATAAAAATTATAATTCATAATTAAATTTTCAAAACTTTGAATTAAGAATGATATCAATTGTTAAATAAGATGTATTTTCTTGGTAAAGTCAAATGTTTCATTTATAATTATATCTATTGGCACATGTGAGAATTTAAAATTTTAGATCATAGAATAAAAATAGTTATATTAAAAATTTAAATTATACAAAATTAAAATATAAATAAAAATTTATAATATTTTATTTAATCATTTATAAAAATAAAAAAATGATAAGAAGAAATAACTTTTTAAATTTTTCTTTTAAAAGATGATCACATTAAAAAAAACTAATTAAAATTAGTTATAGAAAAGAATGACATAATTATTTTTTACATTAACATTAATTTGATTTCTAATGAATTAAAAATTTCTTCTTACCTTAAGTTAAACACAAGATGTAAACAACAAATTTTTTCCAATACAACATGTTTTATACTTATTTCTAATAGATTTTCAACATATATTTTTTTTGTCATTCATTAAAATGTATTAAAATTAAAAAAAAATCATTGCATAAGACTCTATAAAATATAAAAATTTGATATTTTTAATAAATGTTAATCAATAATAATAAAGATGTAAAAAACAATTTTTTTTCCAATACAACATGTTTTATACTTATTTCTAATAGATTTTCAACATATATTTTTTTTGTCATTCATTAAAATGTATTAAAATTAAAAAAAAATCATTGCATAAGACTCTATAAAATATAAAAATTTGAGATTTTTAATAAATGTTAATCAATAATAATAAAATTTATTTAATATAGTAGTATAAATATGTTGTTACTGTTTTTGTTTGAAAGTTGAGACAAGTGAGTGAGATATTTAGCAATTTAATATTTATTTATTGGCTTTCCATGCACATGGTTGCACCTAACCTGCACAACATTTGTTCCCACTATAGCCTCAATTTGCTGGATCATTTCCCATCTTTTTGAGTTATGGAACACTCCAAGTCTTCTTGCCCTCCATCATGGTACCCTGTCAATTTCAAGCTTCATCAACACCATTTCTCATTTTCCAACTTAAATAATCCCAAACAAAATAAAACCATACACAAATCTATTAATTAATATATTAAAATAATAGTATTTAAAAAAAAACACTTAAATGTTGTCTTCACAACTAAGTTATTAAGTTTGAAAGATTTTTCTTCGGTAGATAAAATTTCAAAAATTGACCATACATTTGAATTTTATAATAATAATAATAAAAAAAAAAAGATTGGTGAAAAATGTATAAATAGTACCTTTTGCATATAAATATAGGAACTTGAACATCATTTGAGAACAAAACTCCAAAAAACAGTAGAGAAAAAAATTGTGGTGCATATGTATGAGTAAAAGTTCATCTCTATGTCAAAATCAAGTTTGTAATGGAAATGAACTTGTGAAAACACAAAACATCATCACACACTATTGTTTGTATGACATGTGTATTCTCTGTTCACCATTGTCACAACATCCAACACAATCTTATTATCCAGTATCCAACTTTTGTCCTTTTTTTTTTTTAAATGATTTTTTTCATTCATTTAAGTTATTTCCTAAATTTTCTCATTATTTGTATTAGGGTCTTTTTCTTTTGATAAGTACAAGTACAATAAATAAAAATACAGGGACATTAAAGTTATTTCACATAAAGACATTTGTTTAATTCAATAATCCAAACAAATCCTGAATTAATTAACCAACTTGAATTGGATCATCTTAAAAAAATATTCTTAACCTCACCTGACTGTACCAGACAGCCATCACAGTCCGGCCACACAGTGTACACTCCTCCACTATCACAGTCCAATCAAAGTGAGTTCTCCACTTCTTTGTGAAACTACAAATGAGGGTATCATATAATAATAGTGAGAAAAGAAAAGTTAAAATTACATATATAATTTTTACACTATGTAAAAAACAAACAGATCGGAATGGGTCGTGAGAGAACTAACCACAAGTGAGTTAGTGTGTACGTGTGAATATGTTTTTTTATTTTTTATTATTATTATTATTATTATTATCTCCTAGACCAAAGAACCGTTTGCTGAGTAATATTTTAATACATAAAATTCCAGTTTTGTCCTTTTAGAGAGAGAATAACTTAGATAGAGAAGGGGTGCAGGAGAGAGAGAAATTTTGGTCTTTTTTGTGTTCCAATGGTTCAACTGGGAACCCAAGGAGAAGAGAAAAGAAATTTTATTTCTTTTTCAGACGGGTCTTCGTGAACCTATGATCTTGTGCAAACCCAGAAAGCGATCTTTGATGCACTCATAGGATTGGTTGATTCAGTCGTGTTTTCGGTTGCCGTTGATTTCTTGACAAATGAACGGTGGCGATGAGGTCGTGGCAGCTCCGGCGGGTCCACCACATCCTCTGGACTGGAAATTCTCGCAGGTCTTCGGGGAACGCACGGCAGGTGAAGAGGTTCAGGAAGGTAATCGTCGGACCCTCTATTCCTGTGTGCGACAAAAGACCATGCTTTCTGTCTCTCTGTTCGATCCAATTCTTGGTTTGGGATTAGGGTTTGATTCGATCTGTGTCAGATCGTGGTTCATCACTCCCTTGTTTGTTTTGTGGAGTAATGCTTGTTTTGGCTTTTTGACCAGTGTCTTAATCCTTGTCTGATTGTGGGTCGTTGTTTGGTTTTTGTGTTTTTTGTACCCTGGTCACTTCTGTTGTGGAGAATTGATTGCTTTAGTTTGTTAATCAATGCGTGAGTTTGTTTCAGTACGACGGATTAGATCTTGGTGATGTGTAGTTCGGGCGAGTGGTGTTGAAGATTGACTGTTGGGTCTGGTCTTAATATGGACCTTTGACAATGTAAAAGAAAACTGTTTGGCTGGGTTTGCTAGGTTGAGGTCTCTTCAGTTAAATGTTTAGCTCGCAGTTCAAGAATGTGTGTGTGTGCGCGATTGACAATTCTATCTATGGCAGTAAGGAAACCTTATTTTCTATCCAAACAATAAAGTGAAAAGTAAATGTAAATATCAGTGGAGTGTTGGTCAGATATGTGGTGTTAGGATATGGAATGAGGGGCTTTCAAGGTGAAGGTATTAACTGTGTGTCCTAATGGTTGCTAAAGAGAAACTTGTATACCAACTAACTTTTCTTGGAGGGTAATTTTAGTTTCCTGATTATTGGCCTTTTTGTCTTTCTACAGTGGACATAATTTCAGCTATCGAATTTGACAAGTCTGGTGATCATCTTGCAACTGGTGATCGGGGTGGTCGAGTGGTTCTCTTTGAGAGAACAGATACAAAAGATGTAAGACTGTTTTTTTTTTTGGTGCAAGTGTTTTTCTCTTTTAAGTATAAAAGAAGCTGAACTTTGTTTTGACAGATTCTATGTTATGCGCTTAGTATTTTGTAATTTGTAATATGTATGCATGCTGAAACATGCAGCATGGTGCATCTAGAAGGGATTTCGAGAGGATGGACTATTCTATTAGTAGGCATCCAGAGTTCCGTTACAAAACAGAATTTCAGAGTCACGAACCTGAGGTAATCATCATTTTCCTAGTGACATTGCCCCTACATCCTTAGGCTCAGAAGCGTTAATTTTTATTTTGTATGATGTTCGTTTCAGTTTGACTATCTCAAGAGCTTAGAGATTGAAGAAAAGATCAACAAAATCAGATGGTGCCTAACGGCTAATGGTGCCCTCTTCCTTCTCTCTACAAATGATAAAACGATCAAATTTTGGAAGGTATGAAATAAATTATCACCTGTAGCATGCTTAGTGCTGTCATTTATCAATTCATTGACAAATTGTGCACAAGCTTGTGCCTCTGAGTCACTTGTTTCACATGTTTTGAGACTATTTTGTTTACAGACATCTATTAGTGTTTGAGCTCATATATCTTCCTTCTAATTGGATTCAATTGGCAAGCCTACTGATGTTACCAATTATAAATTGTAGTTATTAATAGCATGCTATAGTATCATAATCAGTCTGTCATGGTGCTTAGTCTTTGGCACTGCAGAAATTTTGTTGTGATATTTTTTGCTCCTTGTCTGTGACATAAATCTTGGTGATTAATGGCTGACACTGTGGATAGGGGCTCAAAACCTACCATTAACGTTGTTTTGGGGGTTATTTCACTATTTCTCCTTTTTTTCTTAGATCAAAGGGTTTGAAAACCCATATTTAAATTCAATGTCATGCAAACACTCTCAACATTTCTCTGTTTTGACACAATCCCTTTGGCCTACTGCTTGCCAGCATAATTCCAGCCAAGCCTTGTTACCCATTGCTCTTTTCTGAGTGTCATAGATGGCTCAACTCTGTTGTCACCCAAGTCCTTTTCATCTCATGCTGATCTTCCCTATGTTCTACCTCTGTCCTGTTACAGTGTTGTTCATCGTTTCTTTTTTGTACTTTGATTTGACTTAAAGCCTTATGCTTAAAGTTATACGATTTCTTAAATTCTGTTGTTATTGCCTTGTGTGTTTAGCTTGTGACTAGGACTCTTGAAAATTGAATAAGAACTTTGAAGTTCGGAATATATCTGGCCACACTGTTTCTATCTGGGAACAATAACTGTGTTTTGATTCATTGATCATTAATTGAACTATTAACCATATAACTTTGCATGTAGAGAATGACTTTTGAGGGTGAATGCATGTGTAGGTTTTTTCAAGTGCATAATTCCTTTATTGCCTTTCTGAACATTTCCATCTCTCAAGGACCTAAGCTGACATTTTTTTCAAGTCAAGTTTAATAGCTATCTTTATTTTCAACTTTTATTATACCTTGTGATCTCTTAATAGCTATCTTGATTAAATGCATTAAATGATTAAATGTTGTGAGAAGTAATACAAAAGAGGGCCTTGGTGTTAAATATATACCAAGGGTAAGTTATTTTGAATAAACATGTAACCCAGATTGGTTGTTTGCTTGTGAATGTATTCAAAATGAATGTTGTTGCATTCCTTTTTTTACATTTTTCATGTTAATCATTTGATCGAGCCATCATCCCCTACTCATTCTTATTTTTCCTCATCTGAGAGTTGAACAGGTTCAAGAAAAGAAGGTAAAAAAGATTTCTGAGATGAATGTTGACCCTTCAAAATCAATGGGGAATGGATGTATTGCTAGTTCAAGCAATTCAAGTAGCTCTAGGCCATATCTTGCAAATGGAGGATCTCCAGATAGATCATACAATTATATAAGCAATGACTTTTCATTTCCACCAGGAGGCATACCTTCACTAAGATTACCCATGGTAGTTGTATCCAACTCTTCCACTTGCAATTCTTTTTCTGTTTCTGCTCATCAGGTATAAAATTTTCTATGATATGACTTTTACTATAAACAACCAAAAAATTACTAGGTAAACATGAAACAGTCGAGGCTCTGCAATGCTTGCTTTTCCTTCTTCAAAGTTGAATACAGTTATTGTTTTAAATTTAAAACAAACTGAAAAAAATTGGTTGAACTTGCAACACTTGGTACCTCAAACATATATTAAAAGTGGTTGATGCTGGTTAAGGTTTCTCAATCCATTTTAGGATATAATATAACAACTTGAAAATTTTCTATTTAAATAAATTAAACCATATTAGAGGCTATATTTGATTTAGCCCTTTTCCTTTACTTTTTTCCATAAAAATACTTTAAAGTTTAACTTGAACTAAGGGCTATGAAGTAAAGTAGAAGTTGTTTGACAGTTTTACTTTCTTTTAACTTAAAAGAGACAACCTGTGAGAGAGTAGGCAGAGAGACGAGAGAGCTGGGGGTGAGAGGAGGAGCAGGGATAAGGAGAATGAGATGAGAAACTTTTTTTTTTTTCCTCTAAAAGCTCTTTCACCTAACAATTTTATAAAGCTATCTGTTCTCTCCTTTCCTTTACAAAAAATGAGCTGATTAATTTTTAAGTGCTTTTCAGAAAACATGTTTGGTCCAAGGAGAAGAGAAATTAAAAGTAGCTGCTCCAAACAATCACGCAGACCCATAGCTATTAAAACTTATAGCATGTTGACTTTGACTGTGCTTAAGATCATTTAAATCAAGTGTTTCATATGGGTAGAAATTTTAGCTGTCCTGCATAGTCCCTTCCTTAAGTAAAAAAATAAAAGCGAAAAGAGAAACAGTAGGCTTTAATTTTTTTTTATTATTATTTCCATCTTTTTTCACTGTTTTTACTAGTTTTTATTTTACTATATACTCTGACCTTGATACTTTGATAAAGAAAGAATTGGTAGTGGTTGAGGTTCATTATTTTCAAACTTTGAAAATTTCTTGTTTGAGAATTTGTAGTACTAACTCATTTTAAAATATGTAGGTGAGTAGCCATGAAAGCAGCCTAGTCGCTCGATGTCGAAGAGTGTATGCACATGCTCATGATTATCATATCAATTCTATTTCAAATAACAGGTAATTTTAGTTTTCTCAGTATGTACTGTATTTTGCTGTAGTCTAGCAAATTTTGGTTGACATTGAAAACTCTGGATCCACATTATAATTAAAGGCTATTAATGTCAATCTTGCTTTCATTAATTTTGTTTCGAATAATGTGATGTTTCTAAAAAGGATGACTAGTTGTTTTCTTTCTGGGTATTGATTTATGTCTGCATGATTTTGTGCACTATTTTATTTACTCTAGATACTAATCAAATTTGGATGGTCTTATCTTGCTCATATCTTCTAGTGATGGCGAAACTTTCATATCTGCCGATGATTTGCGAATAAACCTTTGGAACCTGGAAATTAGCTCTCAAAGTTTTAATATTGTTGATGTAAAGCCTGCAAATATGGAGGATCTGACAGGTAAGCTTGACAAAAATTATCCTTTAGTGTAAACATTATTGGTAACTTTATCATACACTAAAATTAGTCAATTTATATAGTTAAAGAAATAATTACAATGTATAAGTTGTAGTTTTCTGACAGTGGGTGCTCATGGGCCATGGCCAACCCTGTTCATTAATCCAACCTAGCCTGGTGACTCATCTTAAAATTGGGAGGTATAGGCTCAAATTTCTCAACCAGGTTTTAAGCCATCAAGTTGGGTTGGAAAATTGGTTGTGGCCGAAGAAAATAATTTCCCAGTGTATGACCACCCTGCTGATTTTTTATATTCAAAATAATTGTTTCTATATGGTGGTTGAAAGAGTCACACATCGTCTTTGAATTATTTGGCCTGTAACAGTGGAAATGGTAGATAAATATTATGTGGTGTGTCAAACTATGTTTGTATTGCTTTTTATCAATTGATACTATATTATTTTGGCTGTTGTGGCTGGCCAATCGCCACCTAGCCTCAATCTTGACCAGCTTAATTAGGATCTAAAGTTGGGAAACGTAGATCAAAAAAGTGCCCAGGTCAAACTCAGACCCATCCACCGTTGAGAACCTTTTTCCTGCGTAAATCTTGATTGTCTCACATTGTTTGATGTGGTACAGTTTAAGGATTATAATTTAACATATCAGAATCTTGGTGTTATATGTGAGTAAAGTGTAAAAATAGGTGGTTGAAAGTTGGTTTGGTATTTCATAGTGAGAAGGGATTGGCAAGTGATTGGTGAGGATTTACGGTTGAATTGATGTCTGTTTGAGTGCTGTGAACCTAGTAATTGGACATTCATGGGTTTTAGGGCAAACATGAAGGAAGAATAACATGCTCTACTTTTTGCCCAACTCAGTTCCATTTTATAAGTATTGGTTTGGTTGAGCCTTGACCCTCATGTTATTGTTGCAGAGGTTATAACGTCAGCAGAATTTCACCCTACACATTGTAATATGTTGGCCTATAGCAGTTCAAAGGGCTCAATCCGTCTTGTTGACTTGCGACAATCAGCATTATGTGACTCTCATTCCAAGCTGTAAGTACATTTTTTGTTTAAATTCTTTTGTGGTAATCTTACTGGTTTCTGACAAATTAGTATCCCATTCCTCCCATTAGGCTCATTTTTTTAACAAATGTCAAGACAGTAGGTAAAAATTCTGGAAAGGTTATTTATTTCTCCTTCTTGGTCTAGACTTTGATACAAAATTTTTCTGAAGCTTATTACATGTATGGATTTATGTATGTTTTATGTACCTGGTAGACTTACTAATACAATGCCTATACCCTTGGCTATTTGGTGCAGGTTTGAGGAACAGGAAGCCCCAGGGTCCAGATCATTTTTCACAGAGATTATTGCTTCTATCTCAGACATAAAATTTGGGAAGGATGGAAGATACATACTTAGTCGAGATTACATGACTTTAAAGGTTTGAAAAATTCTGCTTTCAAAATATTTTGTTAAATCTTTCATAACATTTGGATTCTAGGAACTATACCTTTGACTTTGATTTTGGAAGTCAAACACCTTTATTAAGTTTAAAACATCTCAATAATTAATTTATACTAATAAATAATATTTTGGAAACTTATTTTCTAACTTCTATTAATTCAAAAAAATTATTACTTTTGAAATATTTTTCAAATTTTGAAGGGGCAAATTGCCAAATTGAAAATAACTTTTTTAGCACGATTTTGACAAAAAGTTTAATCTCAACACTTACCTTTTATGTTGAAATTTACACCAAAGCCATGTACAAAAATTAATCGATCATACAAATAAAATAAACTAAATACAAAAAAAATATTCAGAAAAAGTTCTTCATAAATAACAGTTACTATATACCTCATACAATCCCAATTCAACTATCTACATTTTGTATGTATACATAATCATCACTTAAACGGAAATTTCATGTGAATGTTGCGTAAAATAGGACAGAAAAAATCATGTAGAGCGGCAGGAAAAATTCATTCAAATGGGTGGGGAAAATGGGCAGGGAGAAAAACCACTTAAATGGATGGGAAATTGAGAGGGAAATGAACCTTCACTTCTAGTAAATGCAGAATATAGATTATTGGTATAGGTATCTGTTCCTTTCGAATTTAATTGTGTAGATTAAGATACCAATATTTTCATTTCTAACTATGAAGGATTTCTGTTCGTGTTATAAATTCTAAAAGAAGCATATCATTTCACTAACTGATTTGTTTTGTCAGTTATGGGACATTAATATGGATTCAGGCCCCGTTGCAACTTTTCAAGTTCATGAGTATTTAAGACCCAAGGTTAGATTACTGTGTTTATGAATAATGATTAACCTGGAATTGTTTTTCTGCAATTCTGCTGTGTTATTGAGTTATAACTAGCTATACTTTTGTTTGAACGATGCCAGCTTTGTGATTTATATGAAAATGATTCAATTTTTGACAAGTTTGAGTGTTGTCTGAGTGGTGATGGATTGCGCGTAGCAACTGGTTCTTACAGGTCTCTTATACAAACTTAAGCCATGGTTTGAAAGCTATTGGAATTGTTTATCCTTTATCTTACAATTTTGTTTCACTTGATGCCAGCAATCTCTTTCGTGTTTTTGGTTGTGCCCCTGGAAGTGCTGAGGCAACAACCCTAGAAGCCAGTAAAAATCCAATGAGGTAATTTTGTAGAGCTCTGACATCATCAATTATAGTTTAGTTAGGGATTGCAGTAGCATTATACTAACTTTTACATTCCCTCAGACGACAAGTTCCAACACCTTCAAGGCCTTCTAGATCACTGGGAAATAGTTTAACACGTGTTGTAAGACGGGGTCAGTTTTCTATTTCATTTGCCCTAGGCAGATTTTTAGCAAAGATTCCATAAATTTTTGTTGGTTTATACTAAGTATACCACAAGTTCCAATATCTGATATTGTTGAACAGGAGCAGAAGCCCCTGGGGTGGATGCTAATGGTAATTCTTTTGACTTCACAACAAAGTTGCTGCACTTGGCATGGCATCCAACTGAGAATTCAATTGCTTGTGCTGCTGCAAATAGCTTGTACATGTACTATGCGTAAAGAGATGATTGGAGACAAGAGCATGTATTTGCATGGTTATATTGCTGTGGAGAAGGCTGCTTCTTTTCCCATCTTACCAACCAACCACACTGGGTTGGAGGCTACATATACATTATTAACTCTCACACTACAAGTGCCCTTCAGAGAGCTTTTAGAAAAAGATCCAGAAGTGGCTGTTTCCCAATTCCTCCTGGTTAGGCAGGAGACCTTATTTTGTTACTGAATGGGCAGCATCTATCTCTCTTTCTTTCTTTTCCTCTTCTCTCCTTTCAATCCTAATATTCTTTCCCTCTATTTCTGTATCTTCTTCTGAAAGAGAAGGTGCAACCAATGTTTCAAATTGTGTTTGGCTTGCAAGTGAAGAAGAAAATGTGATTGTAGCTCTCCTACAACAGATACTAAAGGATGTTCAATATCTGCCACTAGGATTCAGATTAAAAATGTAGTTTTTTTTTTCTTCTTTTTTGCCCAGATATATCTGTGGGATGGAGCAGTTGAAACCTGCAGTGCATCATTTTTTTATTGATTAATTTTGTGTTGGAATTTAATTTGACATGTTTCAAAGTCTAATTTTGCTGTAGTAGTACCTGTTAACTTTTATTTTTTTTATTTTAAGAGGTAATAATTTTAGGCTGCAATGTGGGTTGATATGCATGTTCTTTGCACGTACTTGTGAGAGACATAAAAATGAAAAAAGGATAATTATATTTTTTGTAGAGTTGAAGTAACGTATGTAAAAATCCAGGCTTTTTAAGGAAATTTTTCTACTTTCATTCAGCTGAGTGAACACGGTCTCTCAGTCATATAGTAACACGATTGCATCGTTCCAATCTTTGTCTAACAGTTTATTGTGAAACCAACTTTGATAATCAGTAATCTTACATTTCATTTGATATCTTAATTATTATTATTATATTACTTGTGAAGGAAACTTTGTGAGTGGAGTATGTATAGAGTATTAAAAAAAGAGAGTAAAATATGAGTTGTTTATATTATGCGTTATTACAATTGTTAGTTTATTATTATTAGTTATAAAATAATGATTATATAAGTATGATAAAAACTCTTTTTAGGATATTATTTAATATATTCTTTTTTATTATTTTTTACAGTAAATGATTTTGTGTATGATTGTGAATGTGTTAGTTTTATTATGTTTATTATCTTCAACAATAATATATAGAATAAGGTTATTACTATGAACTTTGGTTAGAAATCATTATTAACAATGTGTTTTCTATAGATAAGACAAGAATTATGATAGGTGGTGTATTCAAGAATGTTTATGGAGTTGTGTGTAAAGACTATCAAGTCATATAACATAATGCAATTAAAGTTTATAAGTTCTTCAAATATTTTTAAAAGTCTAAAATCTTGATTTATTTGTTTGTCAATTATATGAGTTTTAAAAAATATTTTTTTTATGATAAATCTCAAGAAGACTTGGGGGATAATTACGAAGAAGTAGAAAAAAACCAATAAAGTGTCACTATAAATAATGTAAGGGACATTATCTTAGAGTTTTTTCACCAAGATTTGATCTTTGACAAACAAAATGAAGGGACGTAGAAAGGTGATGAGGGATAATTAAAAGTTAGAAGATTTGATCTTTGAAACAATAATGACTTAAGGAAAGAAGTTAGAAGAGAAGCAAGTGTTGTTCATTATCATAATCAAAGATTGGCAAGACAAAAATGATTACTATTATCTTGATATTGGATGTCCCGATTATATGATTAAACATAAGGAGTGGTTGACAAGTCTTGATGAGATTGACAAGAGTAAAATGAAATTCACATATCATGGTTTCAATATAATGTATTTGCTTAAGATGATAAATAACTTATTAAAGTCAATTGTTAGAAAAATGTTATACAAAGTTTTTTTTATGTGATATTGAAAGTTGGACTATCTAACAAAAAAACTTTCAAAGGTTGGAATACAATTAGATGGACATTGATGCTTAGTGTTTAGAATTGCTCATGAAAGTTAAAAATGACACAAAAAGTATGATCATTTAAATTTCAAAAGTCTTGACATGCACAATAAGGTTGGTATTGTAACTACACTACGGACTACTACAAGCCTTAATGAATTATGTAATGAGATTTTTTTTTTAAGCCAACATATTGGAACTCATTTATAGTGCATGTTCCTATCAAGTCGATAAAAACACTTCTAGATGTCTAATTTTTTGAGGTGAATTCATTATTGATATTAGATATTCTATGACATTCATAGATAATTTCACAAGAAAGACTCAAGTTTACTTTGTCAAGAGAGAGAAAGAGTGATGTGTTTGTCACTTTTTTTATTTCAAAGTAAACAAAAAGTAGAGTACACTTCAATTAAGTGGAAGATTATTATAATAAAGAAGGATTGACATTGTAAAAAGATAAACATGGTCAAAAGCATGTTAAAAACTAAAAAATTGTCCCAGACGATTTTGGGGTGAAACTATCTTAAAAGTTTTCTACATCCTAAATAAATGACCTACAAGAAAAACTTGATGAAATCACTCTTAAAAAAGCATGATGGACTTGAAATGAAATGTTACTCACTTCGTAATCTTTTACTCCATTTACTACAATCATGACCATGATATGTAGATAAAGAAATTGAATGATAGGTGTAAAAAGTTGATTTTTCTTAAATATCATTTTATAGGTGTATATAAAGTCTATAATCCTTTAACTTAGAAAATTGTGTTTGGTAGATGATTGATGAAACTTGGTACTAGGATTATAATGATAAAAGTGATGACCTAGGAATACAAATAATAATACATCTTAAATAGAATAGTGAATAAAAAACCGAATAACAACCAATGGTAGAAAATCATAATGGAAGAAGACCTCAAAAAATAAACAAACTCTATTAAGATTGAGTGATTATGAAGTCTTTTCAGACCTAGAAGTCACAGCTAAAGGTGACTTAATCCATATGTCTTTGTTAGCATAAATTAAACTAGTGAGTTTTAAAGAAACACTGAAGAAGACACATTAGATGGAGGCTACGAGAGAAGAATTGAGATCAATTGAGAGAAAAATTAGACTTGGAGGCTATAATAAAGTTTTTGTTGCACTTACAAGACTAGAAATCATAAGACTTGTGGTTTCTATGACAAACTATCACTACTTACCAATACACCTAATGATGTCAAATATGTCTTCTTAAATATGTCATATCACATTCACTTGGATTTGAAGTTTAAGACAAGAATAATGTATAAATTGTATAAGAATCTATATGACATGAAGTAAGCTCCAAGATATTGAAATAAAAGAATTGATGGTTTCTTATTATAACTTAGATTTGTGAAATCTCCCATTGAGTATGTTGTGTAATAAAGGGATTGGATATTATTAACTTGTTAGTAATGTATCTAATATATTGATGATCTATCATAATAAAAAATAAAGTTGAAGAAATTGATGTAGTCAACCAAAATATAAAGGTTGAAATTAAAATGACTAACTTGAAAAGAAAAAAAAAAAACTCTCTTATTTTCTTATAATAAAGTCCAAGGAAACTAAAGATAGAACTTTTATGCATTAAAGCAAATATATTACATATTGAAAATGTTTCGAATATTGAGTTGTAATCCAATTACAATACCGGTTGATACTCAAAATATACTTTACAAGTCTAAAGGAGATCAAATGGTGAATTAGACTTACTATAGGCAAATGATCGAATATCTAAGATATGTCTATAATATAAGATTTGATATTATATATGGAGTAAAACTTATGAATAGTTACATAAAGGTACCAAAACAATCTTATTTGCTTGTTGTTAAAAGGTTCCTTAGGCATGTTAAGGAAATAAATGATTATGGACTGATGTTTCCTAACAAATTCAGTAGCTTTAATTATAATATAATTGGATACTCTAATGTGATTAGTGTGAAGATAAAGTTGATTGGAAAAATATAATAGACTATACATTGAAGATGTTCCAAATTCTTTATGCTCAAACACTATATTATAGCTTTGTTTTCATATAAGGCTAAGTATATAATTGTTAGTACGAGATGTCTCTTAAAGATGATGATTAAAGACATTTTGCTTGAAGAACTAAAGATAAGAATTAAGGAAAGTATATTATAAAAAATGGATAACAAATTAATAATAAATTTGGCTAAATATCCAATACCACATAATATAATATAATATAAGAATCAAGTTATAAATATTTTGATCAATAAATAGTTTTAAGAGCTTACTTAGATGCTTAAGAAAATTAAATTAAGGAAGAGTATTAAAATAGTAATTCAATTATGAACTATTATATATTATTATGTTCAGTCTATCAATTGTCAATTTTCTATTATTTACAAAATAATGAGAAATTTTTTCTAAGATGTTAAATTAATATATTATTTTTCTCTCTTATTATTTTCTTATATACAATTATTTTGTGTGTGATCATGAGTATATTAGTTTTATTGTGTTTATTATTCATAATAGTTTAAATAAGAGTAAAAAACAAAATAGTCTAATATAACATTTTTTTCAAAATCTTTTTTTTTTTAGTTTTTATCACAAGTTTCAAAATTTTTTATGTCATTTATTAACTAATTTTATACAAAATTTTATAATTTGAAATATTAATCTATCTTTAAATTTGCAAGAAATTTGATAGATTTAATTTATTCAGTGAATTGCTAATTAATTATAGAAGAAATATGACAATATTTATATGATTTAAAAGCGGAGACAGATTTAAAGATAGTTTAAACGAGGACGAAAAAAATAAAAATTTGACAATAAATATTAAATAAAAATTAAGCATATCATACTTTATTTAAGTCGTATATGTTTTTTTTATATCATAAAATTTATTAATAATAAAATCTATATCCAACTTTTGAGGTAAATATGATATTTTTTTTACTATTTCTAAAATAAATTTATATATATATAAATTTTGAAAGAGGGAGGAACGGGCTATGCTTGTCCCATGTGTATCCGTCCCTGTTTAAAAGATTAATCCTATATTTGAACTATATAAAAAAATTGTTATTTGAACATTTTATTCATTTCCGTGTAACCTTTTATCAAATTATTTTTATAAAATGTCCAGTAGAAAACGTATATTACAAATTTACAATAATAATTCAAGTAGAATGTAACGAGAATGTAAAACATTTTTTTATAATATCATCTAATTATATATAAAGTTGACTTTTGTAATAATTTTTGTGAAAAATATTTATTGACAGACATGAAAATTAAATTCCTTTACTTGTAATGTCAGAAACTCATACCTATCAGTGTATTATTATTATTTTTTTTTAATATAAGCACAGTTGTTTGGGTTATTATATAAGGAGTAGAAGGTGACATAACTGGTAGAAACCTTAATCGCTGAGTGGTGGAGGTTGCATTTCCCGTTTCCTCGTGTCATTTCTCAACAAACTACCCTTTCTGATAATAAACTAAATCGAAGGTTCGTTTCACTCTTTCTGTTCTGTCATCGCAGTTTTTATTCGAAGTCCTTTGTCTTTGTCTTTTCATGAAGATCCATCCATGTCTTTGTAATTAAATGGTACTCACCAAACAAAGACTGTTCAGTCTTTAACCACTGAAATTATGAGTCCCTCATGATTTTCAATTTCTCAACCTACCATTTCTCTAAAAAAAAAACCACATTTTTCACCATACAACATAGGCAGGTGCAATGTAACTGCTTATTCCTATGATGTTTAAGGATATATAATAACCTCCTGTCTAACCATAGACATTCTTGTTTAATTTAGTTTTTAGAAAAATCAAATAATTTGGTGTTTGATTATGACGATCTAATTCAAAATCTAGATTTAAATTTGTTGAATTTAACGTTAGATTGTATGATAAATTAATATTTTTCCTTTTCACTTGAAGAATACGTTAAATCTTCTTTCTTTCTTCTTTTTTTGTTATGATTTTCATACATGGATGTGTTAGGAAGATTCAATTATGAGATTTCAATTTATTTTCCACCTTTGCTAACAACATTGATTTTGATACATTGTATAGAAGATCCATGGCATCAAAGATTCCTCAGTTACCATCAAAGATGAACCAGGTATCACAAGTAGTGTCAGATATGGGAGTTTCACACTATAAGTTATTGTTGGAGAAGAACAAACACTACATCCAGGATCCACCCACCATTGAAAAGTGTCAATCGATGGCCAAACAGTTGTTTTATACTCGCCTTGCCAGGTGCACTCTCTTACCCTTGATTCTTCACTTTCTAGGTTCTGTTAACTGCTCTATATTCACAGAACAATTAGTCTTAAGCTGTATGTCTTCAATTTATGTCCTATTTCCATATTTTGTTAAAATGTTTCTTCTAAATTCAACTTTTCTCAATCACAGATGGTATGTACTATGGTTCTTTCAGGTATTTGTTGGGAAATAAGGTCGGATAAGATGGAATAATAATAATACACCAATGTGAGATCAATAAAAGACACGAATATTTGTTAACCCAGTTCGGATTAAATCCTACATCTGGGGGCGAACCAAGCCAGGAGAATGAACTAGAATAAGAGGATAAACCGAATGTTACAACTCACACAAGCCCGTATGAATACACTCTCTCTACTCTTTCTTCACACTTGGATTGGATACAAATGAGGTTACAAAATGAGGTATTTATAGCCAAACAAATCCTTCTTGAGAGGAAGTTGAGAGGAAGCTCCCTTCCTTTGACCAGGAAGTTGCAAGGAAGTAGCCTTCCTTTGACCAGGAAGTTGCAAGGAAGTAGCCTTCCTTTGACCAGGAACTTATGAGGAAGTTCCCTATCTTTGACCGATCTTTACACCTCAACAATCTCCCACTTGAAGATTGGTCAACCTGTTCATCTCTCGCTCTTGGTTCCGCTAAGTCTGCCTGTTTTAATCATCAAGGCCGGTCGAAGCTACACACGGCTTCAACTTTTCCAAAGTTACCGCCTTGGTCAACATGTCTCGAGGATTCCTATCTCCCCGAACCTTTTTCAGCTGCAGCATCTTCTTCTCTAGAAGTTGCCTGGATGAAATGATACTTAACCTCGATGTGCTTCGTTCGCGAGTGAAACGCGGGGTTCTTTGCCGGATGGATTGCACTCGGCTATCGCCGTATAGAGCCACATCCTCTTGAGGTCTCCCAAGTTCATTCAAGAAGTTTTGCGGCCAAACGAGTTCCTTGGCTGCCTCCGTCACCGCCACGTACTCGGCTTCCGTTGTGGACAATGTGACTATCTTCTGCAGCTTTGAGATCCAGGATACGGCCGTCCCGCCGTAAGTGAATACGTACCCGTAGTACTCCTCCTCTTGTCAAGATCACTTCCTGCAAAATCGGCATCGACATACCCGGACGGGGTAAGGGTACCCCTGCCAAATACTAATGCCCGGTCCTTAGTACCCCTCAGGTACCTAAGGATCCACTTTACCGCCTCCCAGTGCATCACTCCAGGATTGCTCATGAACCGGCTGACTACTCCCACTGCATGTGCTATGTCTGGCCGGGTGCAGACCATAGCGTACATTAGGCTCCCGATAGCCGAAGCATACGGCGTAACTCTCATCTTTTCTTTTTCCGAGTCATCCTGGGGCGAATCCTTGTTGGACAACTTGAACTGGCTTCCCAATGGCACTCGAACCGACTTTGCAATATTCATATTGAATCTGCACAACACCTTCTCAATATAATCAAATTGAGAAAGCCAAAGTTTACCAGCATTTCTGTCCCTCGTGATTTTCATGCCCAGTATCTGTCTCGCTTCTCCTAGATCCTTCATATCAAATCTCCTTGATAGCTGATCTTTGAGCCTCTCGATCTCCTTGACATCTGATCCTGCTATCAGCATGCCATCCACATATAGCAGTAAAATAATGAAAGAGTTACCGAACTTCTTCACATAGCAACAATGATCGGCATTACACCTGGAGTATCCTATCTCCAGCATGAAATTATCGAATTTTCGGTACCACTGTCGAGGAGCCTGTTTCGATCCGTACAAGCTCTTCTTTAGGCGACAGGACCTGCTTGATCATTTCCTCTATATCCCTCTCGGTTGCACCATGTAAATTTCCTCCTCGAGATCCCCATGCGGAAAGGCCGTCTTCACATCTAACTGTTGCAACTCCAAGTTTTCCGCCGCTACGATGCTTAACACTAAACGTATAGTGTTTAACTTAACAACAGGTGTAAAAACATCGGTAAAGTCAATACCGTATCTCCGTTGGAATCCCTTTACTACAAGTCCGGCCTTGTACCGTTTTGTTCCATCCGATTCCTCCTTGACCCGATAGACCCATCTCGTTTTGAAGAGCCTTCTTTCCTTGTGGGAGATCACACAAATCCCATGTGTGATTCTTCTTCAACGAGTTCATCTCGTCTTCCATCGCAAGCTCCCACTTGCTCTTGTGGGCATCTTTAGCCGCCTCGCATAACGGTCGGGTTCCCCAGAATCGGATAAAAGTAGGTAATAAAGAGAAGGGGAGTACCTATCCAGGGACCTTCTCATCCTCGGTTCTCGGCCCGGTGCCGAGGCGTGCTGCTCTCGACGAATCGGTTCATCCGATTCCGGTTCCGCCTCTTCTTACGTACGCTCGATCTCATCTATCCGAGCTCCCACTCGTATCTGCTGGTCTCATGATTCCGGTATTTGAAATATCGAGACCAACATACTCCTGCATGGTCTTGTCATCGTCCAGGTATTCCTTCCGGTTCTTGTACATTATGCCTTCATTGAACACCACATTACGATCGCGAATAATTTTCCGATTTTGATCATCCCAAAATCTATACCCAAATTCGTCAGTCCCATATCCAATGAATGTACATTTGACGGACTTAGCATCCAGCTTTGTCCGGTCGTCATTCAAAACGTAAGCCAAACAACCAAAGGTACGTAAGAAAGAGAGATCAACTTTCTTACCACTCCGGACCTCTTCCGGAATTTTGTTGTTCGAGTGGGACAGAAGGCCCCGGTTGATCAAGAAAGCGGCCGTGCTGGTCGCTTCTACCCAAAACATCTTGGGCAGTCCACTCTTCAATCGCATGCATCTCGCACGCTCATTCAGTGTTCTGTTCATCCTCTCCGCAATGCCATTTTGTTGAGGTGTCCCTGGGACCGTCTTCTGCATCCGGATCCCATGATCAGCGCAGTATTCTTTGATGACTTCACTGTTGTACTCGCCACCGTTGTCGGATCTGAGACATTTCACTTCCAGACCTGTCTCTTTCTCCATGAGTGCTCTCCATCTCCTGAAAGTATCAAAGGCTTCGGATTTTCTTTTCGGAAAGTACACCCATACCTTTCTTGTGCGAGTCATCGACGAACGTCATGTAGTACATCGATCCTCCAAGAGATGTCACCGGTCCTGGCCCCCATAAGTCAGTGTGCACTAGCTCCAGTTTTTCTGTCTTTGGAGCTCTTCCGGTGGTTATGAAGCTCACTCGCTTCTGCTTTCCAAGCACGCATTGCTCGCAGAGACCCACGTCCACTGACTCCAACTCGGGCAAAAGTCCTCTCGACTTTAGTACCTTCATTCCTTTTTCGCTCATGTGGCCCAAGCGACTGTGCCATAAGTGCGATTGTGAGACAACTCCTGCCAGGAGAATGTTTGAGCTGGATCTACTCGCCGTGTAAAGCGTTCCCGACTTCAGCCCTCTTGCCAAAGTCATAGCTCCTCGGCCGACCTTCCACTTTCCGTCTCCAAACATTGTGTGGAAGCCGTCATTGTCCAGACTGTCCAACCGAGATGAGATTCCTCTTCAGTCCTGGAATGTGTCTCACATCACGTAGGGTCCAGCATGACCCATTTGCGGACTTGATCTGCACATCTCCCTTCCCTACAATTTTTAGGGATTTGTTGTCTGCAAGATATACCAAGCCAAAATCACCTGCGGTGTATGGCTCCATGATGTCTCTGCTACTGCATGAGTGAAATGAGGCCCCTGAGTCCACGATCCAGTCATCGAGCGAGCTTCTCACACTCAACAAGAGTGCATCCGCCGTGTCCTCCGTCGCGGCATTGGCTGTCCGACCTTCTTTGTCTTTCCTTGGTGCCGGCATTCGCTTTTCATATGCCCAGGCTTCTCGCGGTTCCAACACACCATCTCTTTCTTGCCTTTATTCCTTCCCTGGATTTTGACCTCCCACGGATTTTCCCTCGTGTTTCGGGTCTCCCTCTGGACTCGTATGTAGGGCTGAGCCGGACGACCCACCCGCCTGATTTCTGCGGGTCTCCTCGTTCAACATCATATCTCTTATGTTGTCGAACTTCATCTTCTCCTTGCCGGAAGAAGTGCTCACCGAAGTAACAGCCACGTCCCAGCTGTCCGGCAATGATGAGAGCAAGATTAGGGCTTTTACCTCATCATCAAACGAAATATCCACCGATGCCAACTGCGTAGTGAGTTGGTTGAAATCGTTGAGATGATCGGCCATCGACTTTCGCTCCTCCATTTGCAATTTGAACAGACTTTTTCATCGGCATCACCTTGTTTATTGCCGATGGTTTTTCATACATGTCGGCGAGTATCTGCAAGACCTCCTTCGTGCTTTTTGCTCCCTTCACATGGTAGGCGACGTTCGAGAGAGCGAAAGAATTATAGCACTCATCGCCTTCCGATCGAGCACCTTCCATTCATCATCGCTCATCTTCTCGGGTTTTTCCCCAAGAGGTGCGTAGAGGTCCTTCCCGTATAGGTAAGCCTCCATTTGCATTCGCCAGAATCCAAAGTCGGAACCATTGAACCGTTCGACTTGAATCTTTCCCTCCATCTTATCTCCAACCTCCCGGCTCGATACCAGGTTGTTGGGAAATAAGGTCGGATAAGATGGAATAATAATAATACACCAATGTGAGATCAATAAAAGACACGAATATTTGTTAACCCAGTTCGGATTAAATCCTACATCTGGGGGCGAACCAAGCCAGGAGAATGAACTAGAATAAGAGGATAAACCGAATGTTACAACTCACACAAGCCCGTATGAATACACTCTCTCTACTCTTTCTTCACACTTGGATTGGATACAAATGAGGTTACAAAATGAGGTATTTATAGCCAAACAAATCCTTCTTGAGAGGAAGTTGAGAGGAAGCTCCCTTCCTTTGACCAGGAAGTTGCAAGGAAGTAGCCTTCCTTTGACCAGGAACTTACGAGGAAGTTCCCTATCTTTGACCGATCTTTACACCTCAACAGTATTGAACTGGTTACTTATTTTCTGCAGCATTCCTCATCGTTACGATTCATTCTGGAAGGAATTGAATCATGCAAAGAACCTAATGAAGAACTGGAAGGACCTAAACAAGGCAAATGTTGGTTTTGCTGCTTTGTTTAGACTCGAGTGTTTTGCATGGTTTTGGGGAGGTAAGGTTGTGGGCAGAGGATTTTCATTCACGGGCTACCATGTTTAGATGAAATTGCTCTGTTTCAGTTCATTACAACCATTAAAACAGCATTAACATAAGGCTTTGATCCAGTTTTACACATTACGTTTTAGTTCTGATTATTTGGTGTATGAAATTAACAAGTCCAGTCAACATGGCAAGCATAATAATTTGTGAAATCAGTGGTGGAGATTTACGTTGCTTCAAAGCATTTTCAAATCATGAGCAATTCTCCTTTACTTGTTGTTATGTGTGTACGTACACCTTGAATTCTGGATAGCTCTTATTTTGATCCGATTGCAGAACGAATCTTATTTGAAGTTTCAAATATGTTTTTAAAATTCAATTGGATTCAAGCATACTGAGCTGAGTCTGTTACACTTTTGCATGTTGGCTTAATGGATTGAGGAATGTGTTTGCTGTAATGGACTAACGGAGAATCTTGGAAAGAACCATATTCATATTCTCGTTATGTATAGTTACTCCTCTTCGTTAGTTAAAAAGAATTTATTGAGCATGCATGCTAGAAATGAGAGAAGAACGTGTGCTTGTTGGTCGGTATCAACGGATTGAGATCTTACATCATATTCCATTTACAAAACAACTTTTTTAAGCACGAGTTTTCATCAAAAACACATAATCTCAGTCATAAGTGTTCGAAAAACACATGATTATATACGTGCGAAATATCAAATATGTGTGCTTCTTGTCTGTGCGTGTGACTGAAACCTGATCTACTATTGTTAGGGGTTAAGGGTACTGTTATTTTCCGGGGTCTAATGTAATCAACATTAAAGGAGAAGAAATAAGTGTTGATCGAGGGGGTTACATGATATGAAATAGAGAAAGTAACTCCTTCAAATGGAAAAACCAATTTCTCATCATACTCAATAATATATTCACATATGGTCATGGTTTTTAATAACTTAAAAAACTAGTTCACTTGTTTTCTTTTTCTGACTCAACAGGATTTTTAAGTCATGTTCATGACACATATTTTTTTTCTTTCCAAATAGTGCAAGCTTTTTCGAATCACATCACATATTTTTCATTTTTGCAATCATGTTCTTTATCGGTTCAAAAAGAACAAAGAAAGTTATTTGCATCTCGGTTAGGGAGGTAACTTAGGATGTATATTTTGATGCATGCATAACACGAAAATGACATTGGACTAATGTTTGTAATAGGAAATGAATGTATTTGTATTGTAGGTGTAGGCACGTAGGATCTGAAATTATGTTTTTGGTTTGGTTTGGGCGATGAGGTTTTGGTGGCGTGTTGCACGGGAAAGAGACACCGACATGACCAAACGATGGTATAACACTCAAACACACTCACACGCACTCTCGTTGACCATATCCTATTTTTCTGATCAGAAAAATAAAAAATAAAAATTCGGACACTATTCTTTAACTATTTACCAGAATGTAAGGGATAAATCTTAATCATCTATTTTTAGTGTCTTTCATATGGGTCGAAAATGGATACCTCCAACCATTTAGGTATTTGGTAAAAAAACACACACACACGCGTACATCGTTTTTTTTTTTTTTTTAATTACACTAAACCCATTTAAATTTTTCAAAATCATTTTCTAAAGAAACTTTATGTAAATATTACAAAGAAGAAAATGTCTGTATAATTTCATAAAATTAAATGATGGTAGTATAAAAAGCTTTTACATTGTTTTAGAGGCAAACACTTTAATCGTAAAAAAAAAAGTGTTGATTTTTGTATGGACCTCTTTAGCAACGAGAGGTCGACTACTTGAGTTGGATAGTATAATGACTTAATTTACAATTTTTTTATTAATGTCAACTTCTTATTTACAAATGAAAAAAGAAAAGAGAAATTTTTATATAAATTAAATTCAAATTTTATTTATTTTGTGAGATCAATAGTATATTTAACTCATTTATTATTATTTGTCTTTTAAAAAAAATCGTTCTCTTTTATTTTTATCTAAACAAATTATTACGATGTTATGAATTACACCCATAACATTATTCTTTTATTAAGTTTTAGAAAGTAATATAATATTTTAAAATTTATTTTATTTTATAAAAAAATAGTAGAAAAAAAAGAAGAACCATTATTTTCGGTATTTGTCAATATAAATATAAACAATTATAAAATCACAAAATATATATATATAAAATTCATATTAAAATAATATATTTTATTTTAAAAACTTTTAAAAAAAATATTCTACCTTGATAGATAAGTAAAAGTGAGGGGTAGAATCATGGCCGCACAATGATCACTTACCGAAATAGTTGTGAATGGGGTCCACTTAATCATTCAACTATGCGGTATGCGCACGAGGACGGTGCTTCTCTTCAATTCTAATCCATCAACCACATCAAATCACGACCGTCCAAATAATTCGTTACAGCGTCGGACCCACGTGCTTCCTTAGCGTCACCCTCCATCCACCATTTCCACATGACAGCCACCCAAGTCAAACATAAAGACTCAATTAAAAGACAAACAAAACCAATGGGACCCACCTTTTTCACACATCTCACCCGCGTGTTGATTTAACATTTCCCGATATCCAATTTACTACTATAGCCTTGTCACTCCAGCACCTCCCACTTATTAGTGCGTGTGCCACTCATGGGGGCTCTGCCACGTGTCGTGGGTGACATTGGTCGTGGCTTTGTTTGGGGTGGCGATAACTCAAAGCAAAAAAACCGTTCGCATTCCCTTCCAACGTCCCTGATTCGCTTCGCTGGATCCAACGCTCACGGTCCGCTGATGAAACCCACATCATGATGGGGTGGCACTTGCTTTGTTCACGGGCAAGCCTGTCGTGGACTCACTGGGCCACAGTTGCCGGCGGCTCAACCCTTTCCGTTGGCTTGGCTCCGCCAAGTTACGCCGCGGCTCAAACTCATCAAGCTTCGACCTATGTCGGTCATGTCCCTTTCTCAAAATACATGTTATATTATTTTTAAGAATTAAAAAACAGTAACGATGTCATTAGTTGTCCTTCTTTCGATGATTTTATTCTATTAATCAATTTACCAGAGACATTGTAACAAGAGACCAGTTTAGTTTTGTCATTTGTTTATCACTTTATTAGTTTATAATAACCACTGGAATATATGTTCTTACCTTAATTCCCTCTCTCAATATTCTTATTTGTCTCTTTACCAAATTTTTTATGACATCATTGTCCTACTTCTATTTAATTATCATTACTTTTTTTTTTTTTTAACAGTTTCGGTACCGGAAGTTGAATCACATCAACCAAGAATTTATTGTCGTCTGTTGGTTTTGGACTTATTGACCAATGAAACAATGTCATATATTTTCTTTAGAGTTATTTATCATTGATGATAGGGATATTACACCTAAACCGCACCGTTTTCACTAACATTTTGTTTAAAATCCATCGGATAGGATTTTCCTAGATTCATAAAGGTGTTACACATGATCTGCATAAAGAAAAAGTAGTTATTTAACTTGATGGTTAAGTTTGGTTAAGTGGAAGTGGGAATATAGCTGAAGATTGAAGCCAATCTTTGGAGCAGTGAGTGGACTGGAAGAGAAGAGAGGGTGCATTTTCCCTTTCTATTTGAAGGCTGCGGAGTCAGGTTGTTATCACTCACTTGTCACACTCACGTTATATCATCCTCATCTCTCTTCTCCATCAACGTTCCAAGACTCAGTCTTCAAATACCGTTCAATCAGATAAATTAAATGTTCACACTTTCCCTATTTTCTCCAATCTTGTTTGCTGTCCGCTGAGCCCAGTTAAATCCGTGCCTTTTCAGCCAGTTTCCTCCATCCACAAGCCAACCTCGAAGCTCAATCAATCTCTCTGCTTTTCCACTCATCCATCACACCCTGTAACTCTCTGTCCCTTCGAGCTTTTCTTTTCTTTATCTTCAAACACACAACAACAGCACTAACTTGGTGGATTTTGTTCGGTTCTGCATACAAAAGTTTGTTTCTTCAGCTTCTTTTATTAGGATTTTGGTCGGCTCTATAGTTCCACTATAACATAACCCGTCTCACCCTCGCAACAAAAATCCAACCTTTTTGTCTTCTTTCTACTTTCCTCTCACTTTTGAGATCTTAACCAAAAAGTGCTTAGAAACTGAAAGTTCTTTTTAGGGATAGGAGGATGCAGGATCCAGCGTTATTCCAACCCTTGAAACCCCACTTTCCCGAGCAAGAGCAACTTAAATGTCCGCGTTGCGATTCTATCAACACCAAGTTCTGTTACTACAACAACTACAACCTCTCACAGCCTCGCCATTTTTGCAAGAATTGCAGAAGGTATTGGACCAAAGGAGGTGCTTTGAGAAACATCCCCGTTGGGGGTGGAAGCAGAAAGAACGCTAAACGATCATCCTCATCCACCAACACCAAACGCGCTTCCCCGTCACCCGTTATAGAACCCGACCCGAATCATATTTGCTCTAACCCGGTTGGTGGTGGGAGTTTTGGTTCACTTTTGGCATCAACTGGTCATCTGGGGAACCTGTTGGAGGGTCTGAAGTCAAGTGGGGCGAATCTAAAAGCTGTGCAAATGGAGGAGTTTGGGGAGAATGTTAGTTCTGGTCATATGGCGGATCTGGGATCGGGTCGGAACCCTGTGTTGGAGATTGAAAGAAATGGGAATGCAGAGAGTTTTCTGAGTATGCAAAATGGTGATTCAAGCTGTTGGAATGGTACTAATGCGTGGTCTAACCTTGCAATTTTCACTCCTGGGTCTAGCTATGAAAATTAATCTGTATATGTAGACTTGTTGAGAAGAGAGTCATATATATTACTAAAGTTTAAGCCTTTTGGATGTAGATATATCATATATATCGTGCTATGAAGGATCACAAAACGAGAAACTCACTGCAATAGGATCGACTTTAAACTTCTTTTTTTGTATGTTGGATTTTTATGTTTGTGGATGGTGGTGTCACTTTTATTTATCAATGATCGAAGTGAGAAAGAAAGCAGGTCAATTTTTAGGGCTGAGTATGGATAGATATGAATGTTGTTGTGGTGAGATTCATCACATAGAGGAAGTGTTGCCATGGCTTGAAGATGCTAACTTATTTAATCTATATATGTTTATTTTACATGCGCAATTTGTCCTGTGCTTCTTTTTAATAATAGCTTTTTTCGAGAACCTATGGCTTCTTGTATGGTAATGTTCTACTTGGCAAGCTAATTATTAAATATTTTTGGTAGTGGAGGGAGATCTCGTTAAATATGGTTGGATATCCACAACTGCACTATATAATCTGTAATGCATGTTTACTATTTTTTTTTTATTCATAAGTTTCCAACTCTGCAATTGGTTTTCCACTTTGCATCCACATTTTCAGTGGAATTCTACCAGAATGATCCCTTGAAAGAAAGCATCATAGTCTAAACTGGTGTGCCCATAGCTAATTTGAATTTATTGCCTGATTCATCGAGGAAGTTGTCTGTGTAATTGTTGTGTGGTCACCTTGCTGATGCTGTGTTTAATATCGAGACCACTCTGCTCCCCAGATTTTGAATATCATTTTGCTTAATCCGCAACTTGTGTTGCAGGTTTCAGTTTGACAAAGTCCAAACTTGGATGCAACTGTTTTTAGTGTTAATCTTTCGTTAGAGTCATTAACTTATGTTGACTTTATATAACTGAAATTTCAATTCTAGAAAGTGTTGTTGTATTGAAGTACTTGTAAAACTGCGTATAAATTTTGTAGGTTTGAATTTATGTTCTGATGCACATTTTTCCATGTTAGACGTAGCCATTGTTCTAGAGTGAATTTAAGCAAGAAAGCTAATCTAATCAGAGTATTTAAGATATGACTTTGTTGGTGGTTGTATGTGGACTTGTCTCTTTCTAAAGCTTCTTGTTGGTCTCAGAATTCTTGGATTAAAACGGGTGTTTTCAAGCATGATATTTTGACATGTTGTGCAGAAAAACTTATTTTTCTGGTGAAAATCTTACAAAATTATCACTTTAAGAAAAATTCTCTGAGAACATAAGATAGTCGACATGTGTTTGTGCTTAGTATTAGGTTTTAGGGTGTGTTGGATTGGATTGGGATTTCGATTTATTTTTAAAATAATATCAATAAAAAAAGTCTGACAATGTTCAATTAAGACTTTTAAGTGATAATAAATAAATATGGTGATATTCAAAACTATATATTTTTTGTTTTCAAGAAAAATAACTATTTAATAGATTTCAAGATGTATAAATTTTAATACCCAACAAGCTATACTACTCAAGACGGTATTAATTAATATTTGAAGAATATTGTTATCATCTATTTTCAATTGAATAAAATTATAAATTCAATATAAAATTTAAAGCAATTTATAAAGGATTTAAATATTGTATTTATTCTAATTTTTTAAATTCTATTTTTTAAGATATTGATTCCTATAGTTTTGAATATTTCTTACAAAAATATGATTATTTAAATTCTGTAAATCAAAATTTAATAGCTCGTTTGCATAAAATTCTTTTCAAATACTTGTTGAAGAAAAAAATCAAGTAAACTAAAATTAAATTATTCATAAATTGTAAACTTATTTTTGGAGGATCTAAACTAACAGCTTATAATAATTATTTTAAGAATAAATTATTTTTAATTTATAAAGGAAATTATTTTATTATTTATTCTTATTTTATCTAAACTAACATCTTATAATAAGTATTTTTCAAAAGTTTCATCAAACATGTCCTCAACCATAAATCATATAATATTCCTATGCATTCTTTTAAATTCAGAAAAAAAAATGTAAAAATAGTTTTTAAAAATATTAATGTAATAGATATCTAGAATGTAAAATTGAAATTGTATTCAAGTTAAATATACATTGAAAAAAAGTCTCCATTAACAACTCAAATAGTATTTTTATTGTTATAGATTAAAAAAAAAAACATCGTCTCAATTGAAGATAATTCTTGATTTGTAAGATTTGAATTTTTTTGACTATAAAATGTAGAAGTACTAAAATACTATACTTGCATAAAATTATTTATTTTTATCACATTTGTTGATTAATTCAATATTTTTTTTTTCCAAACGCGTACATTTTGTGTTCTCATTAGTGGAACCTTTTGTGAGTGGGTGTCTTGTACTTTTGGGCTTTGGACCCTTTTATTCCGCTAATGGGCTTTCGACCCATTAGAAGGCGTTGAATTAGGGTTTTCCAATTTACTCGCTATAAATTGTGACAGAAAATATTCCTCGTTCTCCCTCTTCACTCTCCCCTGCACAACAAACGAAGGTTCTTGTGTTTTCAGTTTAGATCTTGTTCGGTGCGTGTCAGGCGAGGAACTAGAAGAAGAAGAAAATGTCGACAGTGCCAGGACAATTGATATGGGAGATTGTGAAGAAGAACAACTGTTTCTTGGTGAAAGAGTTCGGAAGGGGCACTCAGAGCGTGGAGTTCAGCAGAGAACCCAACAATCTCTATAACCTCAACACTTTCAAGTACTCTGGTAATCATCTTCTTAGCGTAGAGAAAGTTATCTCAAATTTGTTGTTGATTTACATGTTTTAGCTGGTGTAGAGTTTTTAAGCTTTGCTGATGTGTTTACAGATTTTTGAGGCTAGGTGATAGTAGGTAAATCAATTTTTGCTGGTGAATTTGTGATAGGTTTGGCGAACAAGAAAACTGTCACTATTCAGTCTGCAGGTAAAGACCAATCTGTATTACTTGCTACGACTAAGACAAAGAAACAAAATAAGCCTGCTTCTTTGCTTCACAAATCTGTCATGAAAAAGGAGTTCCGAAGAATGGCAAAGGCAGTGCAAAATCAGGTAATTTAGGAGAGAATTAAATATGTCAATCTGTGTTTTTGTAGGGTGATTTCCCTGTATCGTTGTTATGGCATCGAGTAAATAGTGTATGGTACTAGACACCATGTATGACAGTACTTGTTTTATATAGTAGCTGCATTTATTTTTACATAGGTCCAGAGAAAATGTTGATAGTGGTTATATCATCTGACAATGTATACTGGGTTAACCAATTTTTTTTACCCATGAACTACTCCCATGTGGGCTTTGTAGGTGGATTGTCTTTATTTATGAGAAAAAAATTATGTTGTGTAGTTGAATTGAACAATAATTTAATATACGACTTTGCTATGTTTGAGCTGATGCTAGTTAAAGATGTATTGTTTATCCAGCCTTTTGGTGGTTGTTGTTGATTTCTTAACTTGTGAGACTTCAAGGCATTTGACACAGTGGGATTTTTGTGCTGTAATTTGTACATTTCCTCATATGTGTTTTAAATGAATGAATATGTTCGTTGAGAAACATAACCGTAGGAAATGTGGTTTGGTGAATCAAGTTTTAAGTGGAAGCCATTTTGAACGCCTAAAGTGAACTAGTCTTTTGCAGCAGTGATGAGCCTCTAACATGTAAGAAGAAATCTCTAATTGGGTTTCTTCAATGAAATTTACTTGTTACGCTTGGCTTCTGAGCTTTTATCATTCAGAAGTTATTTCTTGAATTCTTTGTCCTTTCGTAGGGTGACTTCCCTGTTACATTTTAATAATGTGAATGAATGATGTATAATTCTAGAAATCTGATTCTAGTATTGTTTGTCACTGTTTTTTCCCTTGGGTAGCTGCATTTATATTTTGATGACAATAATTTGATGCACCGATCCTTGTAATGATGTACTATTTTTTGTTTGTTGTAAAATGGCTTGTCTATCATGTTTAGGGGTGATGGTACTAGCTTAACATTTTGAAGACTTGTAAGGCATTTCGATGCAACATAAGTTGAATATCCGTGACATCATGTTGTTCATTTCTTCATATATGTTTATTGTAAATGAATTTGTAGAGAAATATGCTGTTGGAATAATGGTTTTGGTGCGTGAAAGTTTTGTAATGCAGACCTTTTTGAAACTTGTGGCCGCGAGTGATTTTTTTGCCCTGCGGTGATGAGCCTCTAACATGTAAGAAGAAACCCCTAGTTGGGTTCCTTCAATGAAATTTACTTGTTACGCTTGGCTTCTGAGCTTTCAGTTCTTTCATGGATGTAGTAATGCGATTGTTAATGGGAGGACTCTGGCATATTTTTTCTTGTGTTAATTATTTCTCGTTGCTGCTTTGTCATACACTTACTGTTAATTCATTTGAACCACCTTGCTAATTTATTAGCCATGTGATATGGTTGCAGGTAGCAGATAACTATTACAGGCCTGATCTAAAAAAGGCAGCTTTGGCAAGGTTGAGCGCTGTCAACAGGAGCCTTAAAGTTGCAAAGTCTGGAGTGAAGAAGAGAAACAGACAGGCTGTGAAGGTCGCTGGGCGGAAGTGAATTGAGAAGGGTTGAATTGAATTCTGCATTTCTACCATCTTTTGTAGTACTTTTGTGTTCAAGAACTGAATTTTAGGTTTTCGAGTTTAGTTTGGATAGCAAGTTATTGTGATTTCAATATACAACCGGAACACTACTACGTCATAGCTTTTAACTGGGCTGTTTTTTTGTTGTTGAGGAATTATATAAGTATGAAAGATTATGCTCATATTATATCATATATCATCTGTATATATCATTTCGAAAGGAAGGGGGAAATACATTATTCGTTGATCAAAAAACGGTCAAACTAAATCGTTGTCATGACCTTATTTTAAATCATTCTTGAACAATTATAACTTTTTTGAAACTGGGTCAAGATTGGCTTACATAATGTGTGCCAGAATAGTTAAATTTTGCTGTGTACGTTCTGGTGCTAGAAAAATATAAAAGAGAAAAAGAAAATCTAGCCTATTGATGCGGCTGTGTGGCTTTGGTTGGTAGAGGGAAAATAATTATGTAAACTTTTGTGAGAAAAGGTAAAAGTTAGAAAGTAAATTGAAAGTTAAATGGAGTCTGCTTTTTAATTAGTTAGTACATATAAATTGGTTGCCCCATCGAACTTATGAAAAAGAATGGTACATGATTAGCAAATTCAAAATATAATAAATTTTAATGTTATTATTTTAAATATATTTTTATGTTTTAACATAAATTCATGTCAGATAAAAACGAAAGATTATTTAATAAAAGTATTATTTTATTTTATCAAAGGAAAATATTTGATGAACTTGGCTAATAATTTGCATATATTTGAGTTTATTACAAAAGGAGAAAAAAAATGAAATTTAATAATAATAATAATAATAATAATAATTTACTATTCTTTTACAACAAACATTTATTAATGTTTATTTTTGTGGTTTTTCCCATTTTTGTAAAGATAAATGATAACGTCAATATATTTCATAATTTTTATACGTATTTACCGTAAGTTTGCACATTTTACATGCTTTTCTAATCTCAGCTATTTTGTCCAATACCAAATACGATGTAATTTACTTGATTTATTTCAACTCTAAGTTTCGGTCAAATGTATATATTTATTTGAATCAATATATTTTTTTAATCTGTTTCAGTAATTTACAAAGTTTATTGAAAAACAACATAGTGATTATATTTACAATTAATAATATATCAATGTAAAAAAAAATGTTAAGGATATTTGATCATGTGTAACTAAGAGTTGCTCTATGAATTTGGTTTTGAAGAGCACTATCTTAAAGCTTCGTTTAATAACAAAATATTTGCACTCATAACAATCAGTATAATGCATTTTAAAAGGAACATTAATTGAATATGAACCTTATTTGTTGTATACACGACTATAACAATGCAACATTTTAATGACTTCAAGAATTTGTTTACTATTAATTTTTATAATCAGTGTGAACATAAAAAAAAGAAGCTAAATATCTGTTATAAACTATATATACGTATTCTTTTTTACCAACAACGATTATACATGTTTAAATTAATCAAGAATGCAACTTCCAAGTAATAACAATAAAAATAGATCATTGTTAGTGTTCTTGCATATATTTATTATGTGTTCAAAGCTTACGCATCAGTATTATTTTTACAGTTTTTTTTCTTATCGTATGGATGACATGGGGCCGCATCCTTATAATGTAATCATCTTTTGGATGGCATTTTGAACATCCACCTGCTATAAAGATGAGTTTCGTGAAGCTACAATTAACAGCCTGTAGAGTCTGAATTTCAGGTGAATTATGGGCAAAAATCCTTTATAGTTAAAAATTACTATGGTATGCAGCACATACATCCAATTCTCCAATGCAGTTTTTTCATTTTTATACGTTAAACTTATTTTCTGATGTAGTACTAGAAAATGTTCGACGTGAAAGTTTTGACTCAAGACCCACATCGATAAATATATAGAATGTAAAGACATATATATACGGCGATGTTAGGTATCATGGTAAGTTGGATCGCGAGGCGATGTGAATGGGTCTATGCATTATGCTAGACTCAGGAAAGTCCCCGGGCCTCTGCTGCAGAAATGCAGGCTCGTAAATGAGTGATCTTTGAGGCGAGACCAGGCCCATCCTCTGCGGTGGGGGGCTGAGACACGTGTGGAGCCTCGAAGGTCTTCCCAAAGAATTTGGCCCAGTCCACAGTCATTCACATAGTCGTAAAAGGCTAACAGAACGGGGCTTACGTCCTCGTGATCCAACAATTTTTTTACACTGGAATTTAATTATATTCATTTTAACCTAAGCCAACTTAAGAAGGGTCTTATTTCAACTCGAAATTCCATTCCCCTTCTCTCTCTCTCTCTAAATTTGGGGAATTGAAAAACCCTAATAAGCTAAGCGAAGAAGAGACGATGGGGAACACGGAGAAGCTGATGAACCAGATCATGGAGTTGAAATTCACGTCGAAGTCGCTGCAGCGTCAATCGCGCAAGTGCGAGAAGGAGGAGAAAGCGGAGAAGCTCAAGGTGAAGAAGGCGATCGAGAAAGGCAACATGGACGGTGCGCGGATCTACGCGGAGAACGCAATTCGGAAGCGCACGGAGCAGATGAACTACCTCCGCCTGGCCTCGCGCCTCGACGCCGTGGTGGCGCGTCTGGACACGCAGGCGAAGATGACTACAATCAGCAAGTCGATGGGAAACATCGTGAAATCGCTAGAGTCATCGCTGGCGACGGGGAACCTGCAGAAGATGTCGGAGACGATGGACCAGTTTGAGAAGCAGTTCGTGAACATGGAGGTCCAGGCAGAGTTCATGGAGAGCGCCATGGCTGGATCGACCTCTCTCTCCACTCCCGAAGGAGAGGTCAACAGCCTCATGCAGCAGGTTGCCGACGACTACGGTCTCGAGGTCTCCATTGGCCTCCCTCAGCCCGCCGCTCACGCCGTTCCGGTCAAGGAAGCCGACAAGGTTGACGAGGACGATTTGTCTCGCCGCCTCGCGGAACTCAAGGCTAGAGGTTAATTCAATTAATTAATTAATTAATCAATTAATACTATCGCAACATCATCATCTCTATCACTATGCTTTATCATCGCGGATGGAATATTATGTTTTCTGTATATTAATTCGAATTCGGTTGCTATGTGGACTTTGTTTTGAGGGGGGTTTTATGGCCTTCTCTTTCTATTAGTGTTATCGTGTGAATACGTAATAGAGTGCTTATATAATGATTTGGGTTTGATATGCTTGTGCTGAAATGTATTAAACCTAAACCCCCCTATCTGTAAGACTAAAATACAAATGCTTATGCTTAATCTCTGAATGGGTGCTTCTCGTCTGAAGAAGACTCGTAGGAGATTTCATGCGGGCTTCTTGGCATTAAAGGTGGGATACAACAAGACATTTTTAACCTATGTTCAAAGTCTGTAGAAGAATATAAAGGATTTTTTTTTTTTACTGATTAGACCTTTCCATCTTGTACCGAAGAGTAGTTTTCTTGCTCATCTTCCTGCTCTGATACTCTCCAATCTGTCAAAGGAGTTCCGAAGAATGGCAAAGGCAGTGCAAAATCAGGTAATTTGGGAGAGAATTAAATCTGTAAATCTGTGTTTTGTAGGGTGATTTCCCTGTTTCGTTTTTATGGCTTTGAGTAAATAGTGTCTTGTTCTAGACACCATGCCTGACAATACTTATTTTAGATGGTAGCTGTATTCATATTTGATGACAATAATTTGATTCACCAATCCTTGTAATGATGTACAAATTTTTGTTAGTTGTAAAATGTCTTGTCTATCATGTTTAGGGGTGATGGTACGTACTAGCTTAACATTTTGAAGACTTGTAAGGCATTTCGATACATTTTGAGAAATATGTCTGTTGGAAAAATGGTTCTGGTGCGTCAACGTTTTGTAATGCAGACCCTTCTGAACTTTGTGGCCACGAGTGTGTTTTGCCCTGCGGTGACGAACCTCTAACATGTAAGAAGAAACCCTAAACCCCTAGTTTGGTTTCTTCGATGAAATTTACTTGTTACGCTTGGCTTCTGAGCTTAGTTTTTTCATGGATGTAGTAATGCGATTGTTAATGGGAGGATTCTGGCATCTTTTTTCTTTTGTTAATTATTTTTCGTTGCTGCTTTGTCATACACTTCCTGCGCCATAGCTTTTAACTGGGCTTGTTTTTGTTGTTGAGGAATTATTTATGAAAGATTATGCTCATATATCATATATCTCTGTAAAGGAAGGGGGAATTTGAACAATTATAACTTTTTTAAAACTGGGTCAAACAAATCTTGGCAGTTGAATTTTGCTGTGTACGTTTTGGTGCTAGAAAAATATAAAAGAGAAAAAGAAAATCTAGCCCATTGATGCGGCAGTATGGCTTTAGTTGGTAGAGGGAAAATAATAATGTAAACGCCAGTGAGAAGGTTAAAGTTAGAAAATAAATTGGAAGTTAAATGGAGTCTGCTTTTTTAATTAGTTAGTACATATAAATTGGTTACCCCATTGAACGGATGATTAGCAAATTCAATATATAATAATTTTTAATGTTATTATTTTAAAATTTTAAATATATTTTTATGTTTCGACATAAATTCATGCCAGATAAAACGAAAGATTATTTAATAAAAGTATTTTTTTCTGAAAGGAAAATATTTAATGAACTTGGTTAATAATTTGCATATTTGAGTTTATTTTTAAAATGAGAAAAATTAAAATTTATAAATAATATAATTTATTATTCATTTCACAGCAAACATTTCTTATACATATTTGTAAAAATATATGATGACGTCAATGTATTTCATAATTTTTATACATATTTACCTCAAAAAATAAGTTAGGTTTGTACTTTTACATGCTTTTCTAATCTCAGCTATTTTGTCCATACCAAATACAATGTAATTAAATCAATATTATGTTTTTTAATCTGTTTTGGTAATTTACAAAGTTGATTGAAAAACAACAGTGATTATATTAACAATTAATAATATATCAATGTAAAAAAAAATGTTAAGGATATTTGAACATGTTTAACTAAGAGTTGCTCTATGAATTTGGTTTTGATGAGCACTATCTTAAAGTTTCGTGTAATAACAAAATATTTGCACTGATAACAATCAGTATAATGCATTTTAAAAAGAACATTATATCCATCAACATGATTGTTACTTGATTCTATTATTCGTAATACTAACAACGGATATCATTTGGTCGGTTAACAGTAACTTCAATTGAATATGAACCTTATTTGTTGTATACACGACTATAACATTGCAAGATTTTTATGACTTCAAGAATTTGTTTACTATTAATTTTTATTATCAGTATGAACATAAAAAAAAAAAAAACTAAATATCTGTTATAAACTACATCTACGTATTCTTTTTTACCAACAACGATTATACATGTTTAAATTAATCAAGAATGCAACTTCCAAGTAATAACAATAAAAATAGATCATTGTTAGTGTTCTTGCATATATTTATTATGTGTTCAAAGCTTACGCATCAGTATTATTTTTACAGTTTTTTTTCTTATCGTGTGGATGACATGGGGCCGCATCCTTATAATGTAATCATTTTTAGATGACATATTTAAATAAAGATGAGTTCTTTGAAGCTACAATTAACAGCTTGTAGAGTCTGAATTTCAGGTGAATTATGGGCACAAATTCTTTATAGTTAAAAATTACTAGAGTATGCAGCACATACATCCAATTCTTCTATGGATTTTTTTTTTTCATTTTTATACGTTAAACTTATCCTCTGATATAGTACGAGAAAATGTTCGTGGTGAAAGTTTTGAGTCGAGTCCCACATCGATAAAAAAATAAAATAAAAAATAAAAAATTATATATATATATATATATATATATATATATATATATATATATATATATATTTTGATGTAATTTGACTAATTACGTTGGATTTTGAGGCGAAGTGAGTTGGTTTATGCTAGATGCTGGACTCAATTGCAGAAATACAGACTTGTAAATGAGTACCTTTAAGCGGAAACAATTGTTTTTATTCTGAAATTTAATTTTTAATAGATAAAGTCCTTCATTAAAATTATATATAAAATAACTTATAAATTTAAAATTTTAAAGAAATATTAATTATACAACAATGTTTTTTTTTTAACTGATCAGAGTTTTCCATCGTACAACTACATATTGGTTGAGAGAATTATGAATACAAGCGATATTTTGTAATGATGCATAAAATTTGAGAGTTTGTATCCTATTCAGCTTGCCATCATTAGCTTATGAAAATAAATAACAAATAAATTATTGTTAGTTTACCAAATAAATTATTGTTAGTTGACCAAATTATGATTTGAATTAATAAGTTGTAATAAGGACTCAATTAAAAATTTAATTACCAGCTTTTGGAAGACCAAGGAGTGCATAGCTGATTAACTTTTGGTTGTCACAGTTTCAGATACACTACAATCTGTCATTAAGTAGTTTTAATTTTTAGATTAATGGATCATTATTAACCTTTATTTGTTTCCATTAAATAATTTTCAATTTCTAGATTAATAGGTTATTATTAGTATTTATTTTCTTTTATTGAGTCTTTGTAATTTTGATAGCAAAACTTTTATATCAACTCGAATCATTTTTATCAAGAAATAACAAGTGAAATTTTATTTAGAAATATTAGAGTTTATTTCTTTTATCTTAGTAAGAGTGATTCTTTTAAAATTTTTGAATGATTCAAGAACTTTAGCAGTATCGGAGGACTTTCACATCCTTTATGTATTGCGTCCCTTAAAAAGAGTGATTCTTTCCTTCCTACTTCTTTCCAATTCCTAACTTTCTTACAATATTCTAACCCTAAATATCCTAGATCATCCTTATGATTCATATCAGTTATTAACTTATTAGAGTCATTTGTATATTCGATTCTGTATGTTCTTAAGTTAATAGCCTTTGGATACAAAATTAATAGTTGATATCAGGGCGGAGAGGATCCAGATTCAAAGTTTGAACATTCAAACACTAGAAATAAGATTTAGTGATACTATGCTTGTTAGGCAAGTTCTGTTCTTTAGATGACAGACACAGACATAGGAATAGATTAATTGTAAATTCCAGAAATATGGCGGCGCATGTGGAGTAGACTGTTTTACATAAAGACCAAAGCAGAAGAGGTAGATTGAGAACAACTTGATGGTGGAGCGGAGAAATGAGCCAGAGCCTGCAAGGTCGCAAATAAATGTGGGGCTGCTCTGAAATTAGATAGAAGATTTGAGTTAAATTTCAACCTTTTTTAACTCTTCTTGTTCTTTTTTGTCACCTCTATCTACTTATTTGGCTGAACTCTTCAATTTTAAGAAAGGAAAAAAATAACATATGATAAATTGAGATTTTAAAATTACAATCTATCTAAGTATTTTACTTTTATGAAAACTATGCTATTCAATTGAAAGTATAGAAGGAAAGATGAATTTAACTTTTCAAAAATTTATTTTTTTTTTCTTTTTATTTTCCTCTCATGTAAATGTTAATCCAAAAATTTGTCTTAACGGAGCATCGTCCAAATGCAATTCATGTTCAAACCAATGAATAAATATTAATAAACGGGATTAAGATTGGAAACTCATACAATGTATATAGAGTTAAATGTGTTGGACCAGCTAGTTTAGGGTCATTTTGATGAAATTGATCTCGGTTTTACTATAAAACTAAAAGTTATTCTCCAATTTTCTGCTAAATATATTGAAATACTTTTGGATGTTCCTCTGGACGGAACAAGATCCTACTTAGTCAAGAAAACTACTTTAGAATTAGAGATAATCAAATTCGCGTTAAGGTTAATAATCAAATTAGAGATATTGTACATTTTAGAATGTTAAAATTTTGTTATTAGAATACGTTTCTTGGAGGAAAAATGTCATATATACATTGTCGATTTTTAAGTGAGAATTATGAACTTTTATTACAACAAATGTTATAAAATTAAGTGTCATTAGATGTCTTTACAATTAATTCTAAATAAACATGAATTTGTACGGACAAGAGTTTTTTGTGGATAACAACCAACACTTTTTATAAAGGCAAGTAAGAATAAATGTATCATAAGTTATTTATAGCCATGTCGTGCAAATATATTCAGCTTTTAGAGAATACCGTAGTCGTTAGTTGTCGGTTTTGGAATACGTATGCCTATGTGTCTCTCCCTATATATAAAAGAACTACTTCTAAATTTAGTAACTTGAATGGGATTTGAATCCAAAACTTGGAATCATATTTTCAATACAAATCAAGCATTACGGTCAATAAAAAAAAATAAAAATCATGATTGAATAACTTTATACCCATGTTGAGACATGCCAAGACTAAAAACATGCGCTAGGATACCCAGCACTGAAAACTTAACAGTAGCATATGCTAAAAAAATCAACTTCATATTCAACCGAGCAACGTAAAAAAACAAGCAAAAGTTATGACAAGGAAAACGAATACGTATTGCAGTGTTTGTTTACAATAAGGGCGATTAACTTTCAAAGGGGGCGTATACAAGATATTGGAAGAAACAGCGATACATTGACAGAGCAACTACTGATTACAAGGCTAAATGATTTTAATAAGCAACAAATTAGTGACTATTATGCAGTATCTGCTTCCAACTACTTCAAAAGATTATCCCTTTTGCTTTGCAATATATCGTAGTCCATTGTTACAAGGAATTACACTTGACGAATCAGAACTACACACAACAAATCGCTCACATCAAAATGATAACAATTTGAGGTATGTTAGCTAGCCCCACCATTGACAGTCTCTAACGGTAATATTCGATGTCAAATGGAATTCAAAATGTGGGCCAACAATAGATGTGTCCAGAAGGGCCATAGGATATCTTGTGTTCCTATTAACAGTAAAAATAGACAGTGTGGACAATGTGAATGAATTCCCCAGTACAATTTTCTGTGAATCATTTCTAAACATGTCTTCATGTCTAGAGGGCATGTTGTTGACGAGAATTCCAACTCAATCTAAGACTAGTCACTTGACACTTTAATGTCGCATACTCAGACTGCAACCAATTATACCAAGTAGAAGTCCTTTTATCTTCTTTACTCACTTCGGTGTCTTCAAACTTTACATGATTTAAATCCTCAAAGTTTACATCCTTCAGGAAGTGCCGCCAACATTTATTGTTAGAAGCATTATATATGCAACAGTTTGGGTCCTCGTCTTTGATTTTTATCATTTCATAGACAGACTGCAATTGTGTCAATTGAGTTAGCAGCAAAAATAGTTCAAGAGGGCTTTCAGCGGGAATTATGTTTTTGCTTCATCATAGATGACATATATTTTAATTGAACATGTATGTGTATCAGAAACAAATAAAGAAAAGAAAAACACTAGCATACCTTAGGGAATTTACTGTCGGGGGAAGATATTATTGACAGCGTCACTGGGTGCAATGCTCGCAGCAAACTAAACAAAATATCATCCATACATGCTGATGATTTGATAATTTCACAACCGAGGTCAGGCATTGGCGGTAACGTGACGTTGTTCAAATCTTCATGAATAACAATGTTCTGGATCAAGGAACCAGGTGAGGAAAAATAAATGAGGCTATAGAGTTCTTTAGAAACGGATATTCTTCAAAGAAGCCAACCAAATATGACTAGAACTTCAGAAGGAAATAACCTTATTAGAGTAGAGAATCAATTTAAATTCTTCGGGATTGAACTTTTCAATAAATGATTTCACACTTATCCAAATCTTGTCGCCATATCCAACAACTCTATGTCCAGGTTTAGATACAAAATAAAGCTTGGCATAAGTGAAGGAGAGAGGGTGAACCTCAACCCACGGCATAGTCTCACCCTTGCACTCAAAAGACACAAGATTAGAGGCATCTATTACAGCATTTCTCAATTTCTGGCAACCTTTTAAAGTGAGTTTCTGAAGATGCGGATTTGAAATAATAACGTATTTACTCTTATTATTGGACATACTTAAATGCAATTTTTCAAGTACAGGAAAATTGGATAACTGATTTTCACAAAAATCACGAGTCACTTGGGGATGCTCTAGTGTCAGCCTTTTCAGAGATGTGCACTCCTCCAAACTAACTTTACAATGAGTTGTTTTCTTGCCGCAATACCAAAATGTCTCAAGCTTAGGAGCATTGATCACAACCTTCTTCAGTTGAGTGCAGTGGTGGATGTCAACCCTTTTAAGTTTAGATAGATTTGAAACTTGCAAATGCTTCAAACCTGAGCATTTTATGAATCTTAAATCCTCAATTGAATGACAGCCGGAAATAAGGTTTTGAATGAAGTGCTCAACCAATGGAATTTTGTGCAGATAAAGCTTCTGCAGATTAGGAAGTGTTACATTATCAGATGTTAGTTCACAACCACTTAACCTCATCCCGGTCAATGCTTTGGATGAAAAGACACATGATGTTAAAGTATAGCGCTTATTATTCTTGATGCCAATATGAAGATCTAGTTCTTTGATGTTTCTGCAGATAGCGATACTTAGCCAAAGGTCCAGATAATCGGTATCTTGTAATAAGTCAAAGGCGATCATGTGCACCACCAATTTCTGTAGGTGTGACTTTTTTGCATCGTGTTTAAGTAGAGCATGGGTTACATAATTTCTAAACATCGACTCCATATTGCTGCCATCTTCATGTCCAATTTCTGCAGCAAATTTCCGTTCATCAAAAATCAAAACGGAAAAAGAATACCATAATGCTCTCCATTTCTTGGACAAAATACTGGTTCGAATTACATCTTTCACATTACGAAGGTGTGATAGAATGTGATGGATGATATGATCAGGTAACTGCGAGATATGATCAACACTCGTGTCCTTCTGATCTGAATTTGTTCTGTCTTCAGTTTCTTTCATACTAGCATCCTCTTGAACCCAATCGATATTATCCTCTTCGCTGCGTTGCCTTGTACTCTCCGAAATCATATGCAGAGATATCTGATAATAACTGGCAATCATAATTAGGAAAAGAAACACAGTCCCCCCCACAAGCTTCATGCTACACATAACCAAAAACAGTTTATGATCAATTTAACGTTCATTTTGTTACACTAGCTACAAACAGGAATAGACAATTGTTTGAGATTATCCGATAATAATTAAAAAGTCCAAGACACAAAAAGCAAAACATAGGAAACAAAATCCCAAGTTGGAATAGACAGCAAAAATTCCAAGCTCAACAATAATTGGCAATGAATTTACATCTAAACGGCTCAAGAAAAGTTGAAGTCAGAACTAATTATCAAATAATTACAAATTACACACTTTACCTAAAAAGTTGAAGAGTTTTAAGAATAAAGATTAACATCAACAACTCAGGGCTATGACATACCTCAGACAAAAAGAAAGATATGATATTTAAAATAAAAAGGTGGCGAACAAGTCAAGATTGAAAGAATTACATGGAATTAAGCACAGGGTGTACTAAAATTTAAGACATTTTTAAAGATTAAAATACCTTGAATTAGATTATTTGAGGATAATGAAGCGAAACGTTGAATGTGACGATGCCAGAAATTACGTAAATTGAGCACTGGGTTTACGAATTTGAAGAGACACAGCCAGAAAAAAAGAAAGAGGCTGTAAGGAAATGAAGAAAAAACAAAATAGCAGCAAACACGTAATGGTCTCTGCTTATTTATTGGGCTTCTTCATGTGGCCCATATAAACAATACATATTGACATGGGCCGAAGCGATGTTCAGAAAGAAAGTGAAACAAAGGAATAATGAAAACAGATTTTCTTCTTACACCCCTACTTTTATTCTGCATTCCATAAATATATTTGAAAAAAAAAAACTTTTTTAATATCTTTGATACATTCTTTACATGTTGAAATATATTACACATCTTTTAAAATAATGATTTTGAAATAATAACAAAATATAAATTATGTAAAGATAAACATTATTCAAATAATTTAGATAGATTATTCAGAAAACAATATAAATTATGTGACTAATTTTTTATTATTATTATTATTTTAAATATGTTTAAAAAAATAGAAGAGCGGGGAATTCCTAAAGAAAGATGGAAGTAAAAAAAATGCTTCAAATGATATTTTCATGATTAGGTTTTTTGGTTTATTAATATTTAAAAATTTAAAAGTGTTTACGTAAATTATAGTTTTTAAAAATAATGCTAAAAATAAATTAATAAACTAAAAATCAAAGTAATATTCAAAGCAATAAATCGTATTGTCAATACTACAATAAAAAAATAATTTATTTTATATAAAGTAGTAAATATTGTGAAATAGGATGAAAACTACATAAAAATAAGATAAAAATAATAGGTATTTATATTTTTATTAAACCAAATACAATATTTTATTTATAGTTATAAAATATAATCTAAATGACATAACTTTTATTATAAATATTTAGATGATATAAATAATAATAAATATTAATAAAATTAATAGACAATCAACAATAATTTATAAGACTCTTCCTTGAATGTCTAATTATTAGAAAAATATGTTTGATTAAAACTTTATCAGACTAAAACTCATAATGACGAAAAAAATACATAATTTTTTAATAGATGTTCAAAACCTATTCAAAATTGTTAGAATGATGAAATCCAATTTTGTGAGCTAGTTGTTCAAATTTATAAATTTCAAGAATTAAAAATTTTGACATACAAAATTAAAATATTAATTTAATAATAATCACTATATATATATATATATATATTTTTTTTTTAATTTAATAGAAATTATACTTGCTTTATTTAGCGTGGAAAAAGGTGAAATGTGATTTGACAGTGTTAACAAATGAAAATTGTCACGTGGTGATGTGACGTACACGTGGACGTTACTGGCCGCATTTTCAAATCCACACGTTTTTCATTTTTTATATATTTTTTTCCACAATCACACCTTACCACCGTCCATATCACATATTTTATCTTATTTGTGGTCTAAAGGTAAAACAATATGCTTTTCGTAAATATTTTCTTTCAAATAATTGCAGAAAATTTAATATATTGGGACTAAACAACAAAATTTTAGAGAACAACATAACATTTAAACACAGTAGATAAGTGAGATTATCAAAATAAATATATAAAAGCAAATTACGGTTAAATTTATAAATAAGAATTTTCTTAAAAAGTGACCGATTGAGAATAAATTTTTTAAAACAAATTAACTGTAATTAATTTAACTAAAAAGTGACTGATTTTTATTTTTAATTAAAGTTTCAAACAATAATAAATATTCAAGCAAATCAGTCAGAATGAATATTAATTTGCTTTAGAATGTCGAAATAAAAGATTCAGGTTGCTTATAATATTTAAGCTAATTATTATAGTAAATAAATAACATATAAAAACATAATTATAACAATATCTTTTTTTTTATATTATTCCTCTTTCTAAATTAAATTAAAAGAAATATAATTTAGTTTATTCTCTTGAATATAATTTATTATATATACATAAAATAAAAATTAATTACTTATTAAATCATCGTATTGATTAAAATAACATAATAAAACATATATTTTAATTAAATTATCATAACGTTTATTTATACTCACTTTACTTAATTATTAAGGTTATTTTTTATTTTTTTCCTACAGTTTTTTTTTCAGTTTACTAAATATAGACTCAATTTTCTTACAATAATAACTGGTACTTGCTCGAGTTCACGGATTCTCGTAAGAAAATATTCCACGTCATATACGCAACTATGTGATTTCTTACACAAGTTTCTAATTACATAAATAGAGAAATATACTAATAAAGAAACAGTTTTTCTATGACTGCTCAATTTGTTTTTTAAATAATAATTAACAAATAGTACTTTTTTTTTAAACTCCAAAACAAAATTATATAAAAATGGTAAAAATAAACGTTGTCAATCTATGTAACTGATGAGAAACAACAACTGCATAGTTTGGTGAGTGTGTGTTTTTGTTGGTTCATCTTGTCCACTGTTCTTTCCCAGAGCCACCTCCAAGTTCAAAGCAGCCATGGTTTTTTTCTTCAAGAGGGTCAACTTATTCCTCTTTTTTCACCTCCTTGTTGCAACACCCATCTTCTCAGATTCCTCCTTCAGTTCAAATGCAATCTCCCCCTCCAAGTTCCTAGATTTAGCTAAGGATCCTCGGGTGTTTGATTGGATGGTGGGTATCAGGAGGAAGATTCATGAGAATCCAGAGCTGGGTTATGAGGAATTTGAGACCAGTAAGCTGATAAGAGCGGAATTAGATAAATTGGGCATCTCATATAAATACCCAGTTGCAGTCACTGGTGTTATTGGCTTCATAGGGACTGGACTCCCTCCTTTTGTTGCATTAAGAGCTGACATGGATGCTCTTCCTATGCAGGTCTACATGATTTCTATATATTTTTTTTTCTTTCTTTTCATTTATTGCCACCGTGTTCTACTAGTGCTACAAGGTTTCACAGCTTTTCAATTATTGCTACTTTTTTTACGAAATCCATCCATTTGAGTTTGATTTATAACTAGTGCTTTGCCTTTACTCAAATTTTCATCGTCAGTACTTCCAACCTTTCCGCTTTATGGGTTGTATTTCAAATTGCTGTACTATTTGGTTTATATTTCTTTGATATTTCTCTTGTACTTTCTTTAACCTCAGGAAATGGTGGAGTGGGAGCACAAGAGTAAAGTACCTGGAAAGATGCATGCTTGTGGTCATGATGCTCATGTTTCCATGCTTCTCGGTGCGGCAAAGATCCTCAAAGAACATGAAAATGCGATTAGAGTATGGTTTTTGACTTTTTGTTTTGGGGGGTCCATATGCTTATAGTTTATGCACAGACAAGGCATTGATCTGCTAATATTTTAAACGTTTTGTGGAATTATTGCTCTTAAAAATATTTTTAGTGTGGAGAGTTAACTGCTTCCAGTTTACCATCTTGTCAAGAATATGAGACATGACTCCTGTGGATGATTAGTTCTCCTTAAACATTTCTACCTTTAGTTAAAAAATTGATAGAATAAATTTTCAAAATGACTGGAATAAACTTAGGTATTCAATCATCAAAATTGAATACGTAAACGATTAAACTGGATTGGTTGGATAGTACAAAAAAAAAATGGAGTACTAACTCCCATTTATCGTTGATTAAATAGTTATGCATGTTTTCCAAGTAACGACCTATTTGAAATACCAACAGTTGGTTTTTGTTAGCAGTTGAGATTCCATAGTTTTTGATCCAAGATTGTGACTCTTCTGACAGATACTTCAACTTACAACTTTCTTTTCTGAATTGTGTTGTTTTTTGTTTTCGTTCTCTTATGGATCCTTGATTTAATTCCTTACTTTGTCTCTATAGGGAACTGTTGTTCTTGTTTTTCAACCAGCCGAAGAAGGAGGTGCAGGGGCTAAGAAAATTCTAGATGCTGGAGGCTTGGAAAATATCTCTGCCATATTTGGATTGCATATTGCACCTACCTTTCCTATTGGTGAAGTGCGCTCTAGGTCGGGTCCTATATTTGCAGGAAGCGGCTTCTTTGAAGCCACAATAAATGGCAGGGGAGGTCATGCAGCTATTCCTCAGCACTCTATAGACCCAATATTGGCAGCGTCCAATGTGATTGTTAGTTTACAGCATATTGTTTCTCGTGAGGCCAATCCTCTGGACTCCCAGGTAAAATTATTTCATTTCAATACACTATGTGTGGTTACCAGAAGGAACTAAGGGAAGCTGGAGAGTATTAGCCGATCCTTATGTTCAAACCAATATCATTCGCAATTCATAGTTTCCCTTGTTTCCTTTCACTCACTCTTTTTTGTTATCTGCACATAATTTGGAAGTATCAATCCCACTTTTTTGTATATTGTTTTGAGAATTGAGACCTTATGCTTTTTCTCACTACATGAAGCATTAAAAGGTTTGTGTTTTTGTGGGTCTTTGACATAGACATGCTATCAGAGAACAGCGATTCTCACAACTTCTACAGTAATAGGTTGGAGGCTCTCTGCTTTGCCTACTCTTGGGGTTACATATATATATATTGAAAAACATACTATAACACAGTATTATTTAAGTGGTTATTAAATACAATGAAAGGCTTGTTTTCAGAAATAATTCATTGTTTATGGAGACAATCTTCTGTGTCTTCCTAATATCCCCGCAGGTTGTGACTGTAGGAAAGTTTCAAGGAGGTGGTGCTTTCAATGTTATTCCAGACTCTGTCACAATTGGTGGCACCTTCCGAGCTTTTTCAAAAGAAAGCTTCATGCAACTGAGACAGCGGATTGAGCAGGTTTGTTCTGAAGAATAAATTCATTTATACACTTCAAGTGGAACTAATGACCTTTTTTTATTTGATGCAATTAACTTGCATGGCATTCGGATTTGGTTCCCTATGAATTTTTTCATATCATGAGTCATGGTAGAGACACAGACGCTGTGCTTGACCAAATTTGTTGGGCCATTTGCAAGGTCTCTGTGTTTATCTCTCTTTATGTGAACTTGTTTGGTGAAAAATTTGCTGAGAGCATTCGAATTCAGGGGATTACTTAAATTCAGGGAACTAAATTAATGTGTTTTGTTTAAGTGTTACTGTGCAACCAGATTCTTAAATTTCTGCAAGGTAAATAGAGTGAAAATCTTGTAGGCCTTTTTTCGTTTGTTGTCAAACATACATGGCTTTTGTTGCAACCAAGAAATGATTGTACTCTTGTAGTTTTGTCTGCAAATCTATTAGGGGTTAAGGCTGATTGACTTATGTAGGTTATCACTGGGCAAGCTGCTGTGCAGAGATGCAATGCAACGGTCAACTTTCTTGACGAAGAGAAACCTTTCTTCCCCCCTACAGTAAACAATGGTGACTTGCATTTGTTCTTTAACAGTGTTGCTGGGAGTTTACTTGGTGTCGATAAAGTTAAGGAAATGCAACCATTGATGGGATCTGAGGACTTTGCATTCTATCAAGAGGTTTTTCCAGGATACTTCTTCCTCCTTGGAATGGAAAATGCCTCTGTTGAGCGTCTTGAATCACCACACTCCCCGTATTACAAAATCAATGAAGATGCACTTCCTTATGGAGCTGCACTTCATGCATCATTAGCTACTAGGTATCTTCTCAAGTTAAATCAAGACGTACCGGTAGTGGAGGGGAAGCATCACGATGAATTATAGCACTGTTCGTTGCAAGCCATGTTGGGGTTATTTACTGGTGCATTCACGAGGTTGTGGGGCATTGGTTTCACTCATCCTTTGTTGTATATGTATGCCATTCAAATTAAAATAATTCCGTAGTGCTTCCACATTGTAATCATTGAACCCTAATGATCTAGGGGTTAAATCAAATTGGATAGAACAGACAACTTTGTATTTTGATATTTTCTACCATTTCAAAGTCTTTCAACTGTGACCGAGCTCTACGAAGTTGAAATCGAATAGAAAGACAAAATGAGCTATATCTTTTCAAGAATGTTAGATGGAGAATAGTGTGATGTTGGGAATACCAAAATATTCAAACATCTGTTTCTGGTTATGTTAAATTTTCCTGTTACTGGTATGAAAAATGTGGTTTAGATTCAATGTCCTACATATGTAGACTACAGGAGAGCAAAGCACTTTCTGAAAAAGGTGAGCTATCAATTCGTAGAGCTTTGGGTTCTATATAGAATTGTGGATACGAAGCATCATAGAAACTGAGATAGGGATCGTGATATCAGATAGATTTATGGATCATCCTAATAAATAAAGGAAAAAAAAAAAACTTGATCCTAACCACAATAATGAAATTTTCATTAATTTTGTTTTTCAAACTTAATAGAGGTGTTTATTTATAGACTAAGATCTTATAAAAGGAATGAATTTTCAATAATAATTTCCTGATACTAATCAAGTTTCATAAATCTTGTTCCACTTGGAAAACGTGATGGATTGTGGTATAACTTGTAATCCAACTAATTTGTTTGATAATTAGAATTAGGTCTTGCCAAGATTCATCTTTTGTTTCTTAGTCCTAGATTTAGTTTAGGGATGTTCAATTTCATGGAAATTGTCTTTTGAGTTATCTTATTTGATTTCTATCACATTTTTTTTTTTTACTTTTCATCACTTTCTATGAAAAAAAGAAAAAAGAAAAAAAGAAACTGTTAAGAAAAGGTGCAGGTGTATCTACAATGTTACTGTTGCGAATACCTCTAACTACATCCTTGTTTATGATAGAGTTCTAACGTGTCCGCCGCGAAACTCAACATTCCATTGCACATTGTTTTGCTCGGTGCAGCGTGAAGGGTGGAATCAGCGCCGAAATGGCGAGCATTTCGAACTTAACCAACACTCTGCCACTGCACGTTCGAAGGTTCCGACCTTCTCGCTATTCTTCTCTCTGTACTCTCTCTTGTTCTCTAGCTGAAGACGTCGATCCCAAACCCCCCATTCCCAAACCCAATTCGTACTTCCCGAAGCGTGGCCAAACCCTCGAACTCGTGTGCGAGTCCCTCGCCTTTAAAGGCAAGGGCCTCTGCAAAGTCACCGAGACCGGCTTCGTTGTCCTCTGCGACCGCGCCCTTCCCGGCGAACACTTCATTGGCCGCGTCACTCGCAAAAAGGGAAATTACGCCGAGGTAGGTACCTCTTCTCTTCTCTTCTCTTCGATTTCTATTCCTTTTCGGATTTAATAACAAAACACAGGTAACTAAGGTGAAGACTATAACTCCTCCACGCGACATTGTGGATGCTCCTTGTGTCTACGCACCTTATTGTGGAGGCTGCAAGACGCAGAACTTGTCCTACGAGGCTCAGCTCAGAGCCAAAGAGGAGCAGGTCCGTGACTTGTTGATTCACGTGGGAAGGTTTTCGCGCGAACTGGTTCAATTGTACGGTGTTATTAAGCCAATTGTTCCTTGTGATATTCAGTTTCATTATAGGAATAAGGTTGGTGCTGTTGTTTGTGCTAGTTATTTTTTAACAAGATATCGGCCCAGGGTGAGTAAATGACTCGTGTTGTGTTTTTCATGTTTGTGTATGCAGATGGAATTCTCCTTCGGTCCCCAAAGATGGTTGCCTAGAGAGTCACTGCATGACCGACGTGTTGATGATGCTGGTAATGAAAATGAAAATTTTGCGCTGGGATTGCATGCTCCGGGTTTTTTTGATAAAATTCTAAATGTTGACAAGTGCTTATTGCAATCTCATCCTGCTAATAAGGTATGCAGTGTTATGCTTTACTTACAATTGCAAGCTTGTATGGTGTGTATGCAGTTCTGTGTTTTTAACATATTTTGAACCGGAAAGGTTGCTTAAGGAGCCAGTCGAATGTTGTTCTTTTATCTAGATTTGATATCTCTAAAAGTTAAAATCTCATAACCAAAATCTCATAACCCTAAACAAAAAAATCCAAGGTCAGGGAACCCCATAGTAGACATAGAAATTTGGTTTGCTTACAAAACACTTAGCCAATACGACAAAACTATTCTTGATCATTATGATAATTATACCCCATGAGAAAGTTAGATGTGTATATGTATATGTGTATTGGAGGATGGGGAGGGGGTGCTTTGTAATTATCAGCCATTGAAGTTTTTGACTATCATGAGCTTGTTGCCTGAAAAAGTAATATCTGAACCGAAAATGCCATGGTTTGGTTTGGATTAAAAATTAAGATCTGAACCAAATCGAACTAAACTACTTATATTTAAATATATGTTTAGAGTTATAATTACTAACCAACAAATATATACATATATATATATATATATATATATATATATATATATATTAAAACATGATAGTAAATTTGGATTGTAATTTTTAATTATAAGATAATGTAATTTATTTATAAATATGAGAGAAATTAAAATTATGAATATAACAACGATCATATAAAAAAAATATTCACAACATGTCTCTCCATTTGAAATTTTTTTCATTATGAAATGCTGAACTGTACTTTTTTTAAAAAAATATTTTACAATTTTTTTACAAAACATATTTTGAACTTTTTGTAAAATATATTTATAATTTTATAGTAACAAAAACTATAAACCAAACTACAAAACATTGATTTGGTTTGGGTTGGATTTTATATTAAATTAAAATAAAACCAAACTGAACTGGATCTAATTTATGTTTGGTTAAGATGAATATTTACTGGAAAACAAAATCAAACCAAACCGCCAATTGCCCAAACTTTATCCAGTGCAGTGATTTTGCAAGATATAAGTGTTATGTTTTATGATAATAATCTACCTTATTTTATTTGATTGGATAAATCTTGGAACTTATTGATTGGGAAAAGTACACTTTCCTTCTGTTTTGGCTTGAAAATCTGAATAGGTACTTGCAGCTATCCAAGAATGTTGGAGAGATCCACAACTGGGTTTTTCTCCATATAATGTTCATTCACACAAGGGATTTCTTAAGCATTTGATGCTGAGAACGGGAAGGTATATAAGCTACATCTTGTGATCCTCCACTTAATTGTTTTAGGTACACATGGATACTTTGTTATTATACTCTAGTGTGACAGCTTAGACTTTGCATTAGACCTAAGTACAAACTATTACAAATTTTCTAAAAACTAGTGCATGGGTATGTACGAACGGATTTGTGTGGAAATAGCAGTTTGAAGGGGTGAAATAGCAATTTATTTTGTTTTGCAGCAAACCAAACTGCTTGGTGGCAAAACTTGGTGTTTTGCACAGCCAGGCATCTACTTTGGAGTTAAAGATGTCTATAGTTATTTTTGCAAATAAATTACCCTTGTCCTTGTACCTTCCATACATCATTATATCTTTGAATTTGAAAGATACCTTGTTTTTTTCATCATTATTAATATATGATATTTTTTCCAGGGATGTAACAACTGGTCAGCCTGAAATTATGGTCAACTTTGTGACCTCTTCCTACAAGCCAGAGCTGTTGCAGTTCCTAGTTGATAAAGTTTCTGCATTTTCTGAAGTGGTTGGTACTTAAGTTTTATAATTTTTTTTATTATGTATGTGCTTCTTCCTTAACTATCCAAACTCTTGAAATACGTTGAGGAAATAATTTTTGTTTCTGTTGAAGATATTAAAACACAAGTACTTCCACCTATCAACTTAAGCTTTTGCAAGAGTTGGTCTTGACATGGTAAGCCTCTTTGATCGAAGGTCTAGAGTTTGATCTGTGCTATTGCTTGCATTCTTCATAATAGAGTTTATTTCTCCATGCTTAAAGCCTATATGACACGAGATGGTGTCTAAATTACATGAAGCCATCTAGTAATTCAACCTAACAGCTTAAGCTTTTAGAGAAGTTGGTGGTCTTTACCAATTTTTGTCAATTTGATATATCCCAACTTGCTAGAGTAATTTTGAATGGTAGATCCAGGGAGAAGACCCTGTAACTACATACTAAATTGGGAAGGCGGTAACACTAACTTGATTTGGAAAGAAGCATCAAAAGGGGGATGTGGAAGAAATCTCTTTAACATAAATGTAAAAATAGTTGTTTATTATATGTTGTTTAAAACTATAAAGCTGTTTTTTCAGTATCTAGAAGCGTCATAAGATGTACCCCTTTTCACTGATCTGTACCTTTCTCAGTCTCAGATGCATAGAAGTATATATTGCATCAGTGGGGCACCTCACTCTCACTGTGTTTTGCCAAAACTAATTATATTCATTAACATTTTAGTTGTATAGGTAAATTTCTAGATTTTTATAACAAGCGTAGTTTTCTAACATGATCCCTCACGCAAGAGTCTGTTGAGCTTGAAGCATGATAGTCCACATGCCTGATGCCCCTCCCCAACAATGTGTAGACATTCGGTTTTTATTAGAAGAAGAATAGTGATGACAGAGGACTGAACTCTAGACCATAGTGTCATGAACCAACTATCCAAAAAGGTTAAGCTGTTTTGGAAAAGGAATATGAATGGTTTTTAAATTACATCTCTAGCAGTTTGCAATGCAATTTTTAGTCAATAATTTAAAGCCAATAGTCATATAGAATTTTTAGTTAATTGTCACATGATGATGATCTTGATAACTTGTTTCCAAATTGTATGTTTCTATTGCTTTTAATACCATTAAAGTTTCGTCTTTGCATGAATGCTAGGTAAGTGTCATGAATAATGTAAATACTTCTGTTGGTAACACATCTGTTGGAGAGGAAGAATACACTTTGTATGGCAAATCTAGCATCATAGAGACCTTAAGAGGGCTTACATTCCAAATATCAGCAAACTCTTTCTTTCAAACAAACACTTATCAGGTTTACAATAAGCCCAAAAAATTGCCATTGTCTTCATCCTGTCTCATATTTTATTTCTTAAATTTAGTCATGGTCATCTGTCATGAAAATAATCATTTTTATTCTCCCTCCTAGGCAGAGGTTTTATATAAGCTTATAGAAGATTGCGCTGGAGTCAAGGGTGATGGGTCGGAAATTGTCCTTGACCTGTTTTGTGGAACAGGCACCATAGGTCTGACGCTTGCAAGAAGGTAACCTTTCCTCTTCATCTGGTTTTAGTATCTTGGGATAAAAGGTGAAACAATGAGACTAATTTTTTGTCTTCTAATCTTTAACAGTGTAAGACATGTTTATGGCTATGAAGTAGTTCCTCAAGCCATCACAGATGCTTGTCTTAATGCCAAGATAAATGGCATACAAAATGCAACATTTGTCCAGGGAGATCTCAATAAAATTGATGAAAATTTTGGCAAGAATTTTCCTAAACCTGATATCGTCATTTCAGGTTTCTAGCTCTTTCCAAGTCTCCTTATTCCTACATTTTCTTTTGGTTGTGCTGCTGAAAGCTTTTTAATTGAGTATAGTATTAATCAGAAGTACATATGGGGATATCCTTCTACTTATTTGATTTGCCAGTTATTCACCGTGTTTTTCCAATTACTTCAATTTCATTTCATTAAACCATTGTACTTACTTATTTGGATACAATTGAGGGGAATTTGCTTCAACTTACTTTTTGTACGGAGGGAGATGTGCTAATTTATACTGGTATTTTTAAATGCTTGCGTCTAGACTTAAATATAAAGGCAAGAAAACTAACTTAGCTCCATTTTTAGGTATTAATTTTCTGATCATATATTTTCTCCATACAGACTGAAAATTACAATTGACCAGATTGGCTGTGTTTTTGTGTGATCCCCCAATGCATTGCACTTCTTCTCACATTGTAAACTTAATGCAGATCCCAATCGCCCAGGAATGCACATGAAGTTGATTAAATTCCTGCTAAATCTTAGGGCACCTCGCATTGTGTATGTGTCATGTAATCCTGCCACATGTGCACGCGATCTTGATTTTCTTTGTCATGGTGTGGTATGTATCATTTATTTTATGTTCTTGTGCTTTTGAGATTCAATTATTTGAGCTGTTGAAGGTTTTGTGCAGGAAGAACAGAATATAAAAGGATGTTACAAACTAATAAGCCTACAGCCAGTTGACATGTTCCCACACACACCTCATATTGAGTGCGTTTGCCTTCTGGAGCTTCAGTAATCTTTGATCAATTAGAACTTACATTTCAAGGTCGGACACTATTTCATTTTCTCTGCTACATTTGAGACTATTTGGGAGTTTGTATCTAGGAGTTTGATGAGCTTTTAGTGCCTTTTTTTTTTTTGGAATCTCTAAATCATTAATTCTTATGATCTAGATTTAGTCAAAATGCAAAGCAATAAACGAATCATCTTGGGAACGAGGGAGGTTGTGTCTCCAAAGTTTTGTAACTTCTATATAATTTATAATTTTGGTTCCTCCAAACTTAATAATCAATTAATATATTTACTTATATATTTATAATTTTATCCTCTCTCCCTCTTTCAGATTTGTAATTCTTACATAATTTATTATTTTGGTCCCCTCAAACTTTATTTATATATTTACAATTTTATTCTCTCACTATTTTATCTTCTTTTACCTTTTTATATTTATTTATTATTTATTAATAATATATTATTTGACCTTTTCCCAAAAATCATGATCAATATCTACCACTGAATAAACCTATACATGATTTGTTGTCAAGTATAGATGCCATTTGTAATTACTATTTCTTAATGGATATTAATATAAAATTTACAACTCAATGGCTAACTGGACTCTGGATTTATGTTGCTCAGCTGGATTAACTAAGTTGCATCCATGGGCTCATGGCTATAAAAATTACCAAACTCTCTTATTCTGTACTTCTAATCAGCTTTCATTATGATTACCCTGTTCTCGAGACTTTTTTACATAGCTGCATAGCTAATTATCAATGCAGTCAAGTTATAGGCTATCTCTGTAACATTGTCCCGTTACTGAATTTTCACCATGCAGTATTGGCTACAGATAGTATGAATTGAAGTTCCGAGTATCAAACAGTCCACACTAATTCAAATTCTCTTGCTCTACAGTTGTACTGTTGTTTGTTTTCTGTTTGTTTCTTTATTTCTCTGTTTCTTACATGGCTTTCAGGGGGATTACAAGCTTAATATATGATACAAGTCAAGGTTGGGCTTTCAAGGCAATAAATAGGAAAACTCGTACATTTATGCTGCAAGGTCTGACACTAATACTTTGCCGACCCAAAAATCATTTTGAATGGTTGTAGCATTTGGAAAACATGGCTGGGCATCACTGTCGCAACGCAACTGCAAAAGTTTTTCACATTAATGTTTACGCAGATGTTCGAAAAGATTGGATTCATGCTTAGCAGCTTCCAGATGTGGATTACTGTTAAGTGTTGATCCCACTCATCATGAGATTGATCTTATGTTACACTTGTCAGATCTTGGTATATTTGAGGTGCAGGTGCAAGTCCATCTTAAAACATTAGATGTATAGCTGGATTAGTAAACAGTATTCACCGTGCATATAAATAGATCATATTCTTTTCTTTTACTTTTATATTTATGAAGAAGACTAAGCGCTATTGTTGTGGCTGCGTAATCAAAAAAAGTGGTATTTAATGGGATATGCTTTCAAATTAATTTTGGGTGGTGTTTTTGTACTTTTACAAGTCCTATGAAATGGGGGTGGGGGGAGGGGCAAGAATGATATTGGAAGAAATTATCGAGAGGGAGATCTTGTGGTGAATAATATCTTTGAGGATTTAGCTTTAAACCAAAATCAATGACATTGTGTAATCCATGGAGCTTACCTTACCTAGTGGTATAAAACTTTTGTGGTTGTACTGTTACTTACTGTAGGCCTGTTTTTCTGTGGGATCAAAGGGTACTGTTCAGACTGAAAGCAGGCAATAAATCTTGCTGGTATAAACATAATCTTGTAAGCTAAACAAGACCTATATCTTTCGTAACACTCCCTCTATTGTAGAATGTATCTTTGATGAAGATAAAAAAGGCTCGAATTTTCGAAGTCTCGGGCGAAGACTGGGGTGAAAATACCAAATATAAATTTACAACAGAAAATGGTTACGTGATTTGTGTTCTGAAGGATGCACTCCTTTCGTTGTAGTTGATAGAGACAACTTGCTGTACTTGTCTGTAATTCATTATCCTTTAAAAATGGGCCATAAATAACAATCTATCTTGATTTTGCTTGATTTATCTGGTTGGTTTTTCAGGTGAACTTCAGTATAATATGGTGGAGAAAGCCCCACTGACTGGCATTTTCATTTAAAAAACACGAGCATAGAAACAGGAACTATGGTAATTTAATCAAATTCAACTCATCATCATCATAATTAAAGCAAGGGTTTTACTATCATAATTAGGCTTAATGGAAAGGGAATGGTGTGAGACACGATATTTCTTTCTCCCGTGACACACATGACAATAATTTAAAAGTCTGGACAATTGTCCAGCTTAGCTTGAGTTAAAAGTTATAGTATTATCTGAGTGCAGTAAAAAGATATTGCCATTGCTGGGTTATAGTGTACGTTCTTCATGCCATGCATGATCATTGAGCAACAGAGAATCCCTGAAGATGATTTTTTTTTTTTTTTTTTTTTTTTAACCGAAGTAAAAGTCTTTAATAGCTAGATTAATTATTTTTGCCCAAAACCCAGTAAACTCATCTTTTGAAAGTAAATGAGAGCGACAATACGTGGGTGATTTGAGCGATAACCGGGGGCTGGGGATTCTAATTTGTGTGTTTTTCTTATTTTATTATTGTTGTGCAAGTCATGCACAATGGCACATTTGAAATTGTTTTTATTTTTATAAAACACTTCAAGCGTGGCACACAATACAACCGTGATTAAAATGAGTTGCTTATTTTAGAAGAATTATGTCCTTTACCCGACACATACTTATTGACTTGTATTCTAATTACCATTTTATTTTCACTATAAAAATAATAAATAGTAATTATAATTGTTAACTAAGAAGGATTTTTATTTTATTTTATTTTTATTACCATCTTTCACATGGGAGGAGCAGGAAGAAAACAATGTTACTTGCCAAAACTGTGGATCCAACATTTTTGGGTGGATGCAATATTTTTGGAAGTTGTCTAAGTGGATTAATTCATTTTCAACACAATTAAGAAGGATGCATTCTGTTGAAAAAGAAAGTTTATTAAAAGTTTGACTCACTTTTACAGTTTTATATTGTAATTAGTGCTAATATTGAAGTGCAAATTTATTCTGTATACCCTGTAGACAACAGGAAGAATAACAGAAGTTGAAGCAATTCATACTTTCCTCCAACCAAGCACATCTTCTATGGTAAAGCCAAGCAAGGTAAACTGTTAATATAAATGTTTGGATTAAAGTTTTGTAAATTTAAATTTGAACGAACTTCAATTTGCAAATTGAGTTTCTTAAAACGACTCTTCCATTCTTTTATTTCTGAGAAAAAAAAAATGGAAGTAAAATTCAGGTTACAATTGGATTCAAATAAAAACCAAGTATTATATTTGGAACAAATATCGGGAGTTCAAAATTCAAGTAATAGCCTATAAAACCAAGAAATTTAAGTAATAAATAAGTAAGCATAGGAGTGCTGAAAAGATAAAAATAATTTTTTTAACCATCTATTTTTATATTTTTATATTATTATTATTTTATTTTTTCATTTTTTTATTAATCAACCAAAATATTATTATTTTAAGATTACCATTATATTTAGATCTCAAAATATCTTTCTTTTTTCCTATTAGATTTTAGTTAACATAATTTGGACAATTTTTTTAGTAATCACCTATATAAAAAAAAGGAAGAAAATTAAGTTATGTTTCTATCTATTACATCATTGGATATCATATTTTCATTCTCTAATTTGAAAATACTAAAGTTATAATTAATATAAAAGGCAGTTATAAACTGCCACAAAATATACTTTCCAAATTAAAAAGTGGAGTATTATAAAGGATAAAACACACAGAAATAATGCAGTTTTTAAGAAATCAAATTTGAATTTGATTTTTTTATAAAAAGTGGAGTATTATATAAAATGTAAAAACACAGGGATAGTACAGTTTTTAAGAAATTAAAACTGAATTGAACTTTTTATAAATACCAAAAACATTTTATGACATCTTTCTCTCTTTATCCTATCTTTGTCTTCTCTTGTAGAAGATGCTGTAAATGGTTCGTCGAGATGTGAGGAGGAGTATATTCCAGAAAGAACATGATGATTAGGGTACTGGCCATGGAAGTCAGCATCAGGTTTTGAATGTATTTATTCATTAAGAAACTTGGAACGTAGTTGTGTATGCAGTAAAACTTGGATCTAGAAGAATGGATGAGTTGTAAAAATGGTAAGGTAACCAAGAATGATGAACAATATTCCTTCAAGTAGAAGGAGAAAACAAAAGAAAAGGACAGAGATGATTGTGTGGGCCTGGTGTGGTGCGCACGTGGGGGTCAACATCATCTTCGTCCCCCATTGTAGGGTCTTCCATTACATTTGGTTGTTGAGGTAAGGCCATTGAATGTGACAAACCTCTTGTATGTGCATGCATGGGATTAAAAAACACTCACTCACTGCCATAAAAGAGCGTGGAAGCTTTTTGCGACCACGACAAGTCATGGTTGGTGTTACTCCTTTCATTCAACCATGCTCATCACACCCACCCCCTTTCCCTTTTCCTATCTCATCTTTGGCCCACATCTTTGCTTCATTCTGTACCAAAACCTTAGCTATATAGCACCCCAAATTATTATATATATATATATATATATATATATATATATATATATATATATATATATATATATATATATATATAGAAACATGAATTTCACCTATTTTAACATTATCTATACGTTAATCAAAGTCATATATGTAAAAACAAATGCTATTTAACTGATAGTTTTTCATACAAACATGTTGATGTTGCAGGGAATGAAAGATACGAGATGGAGCTGGCATTATATATTGAAAACTTTCAAGTTTGAGAATAATTAAGAGTGATAAGTTGGATCATAGAAGTTTATGGGATTTACGTGAATGGGACAAAACCTATATCCTAATGGTCCATGTATTAAGACTTAGACCCCTGCACTGCATGTGTGTCTTCTTTGTCTTTATCCATTCTTTGCCCAATTTCCTCCTGTGTTTATTTGCAAAGTCTAATTATTATATGACTTCTGTAACTTTTGCGGAATATGAGAACATTTTTACTTCCTGTAAATGTAAATGTTTCGTTACAATCATCAATCCCGTATCTTTCGAGTGGAGACTAGAGCCACCTATTGAGAATTCAAGAATGTGTTTGAAATCATGAGAAAAAGAACATAACTTAATTTCAAGTTTTTTTCGTTAAAACCAAAATAAACTAATTGAGGAGACTTTTCAATAAATGACCAGTCTTTTGGGATAGGTCTCATGTGTGCTTTCTAGAACTCAAAAGATTTTGAGAGTTTATTATGATATTGATATTAAAAGTCTGCATTTACGTATCATTCATGAAGGCTTCAAACAATTGTAATAGGAAGTCATGGTTGTGTCGTGGGGTTCATCATCATCTCATCTTTATTCAATGCAGTTTGTCATAGCAGACATTGCTCCATGCTTATCTCACTTTGTCTCAAGTTTCCATCCTGTTATAGGTCTTGAGAAGACTGTTCATATATATACAATAACTGGTTTTCAAGCTATAGCTAGGAATATGATAAAGTCACAAATTAATGGCATACCTTATACGATGAGAAAGATAAAAATATCTTACTTCAAAAGAAATGGAAGATTAAATATAATAATATGTTGGGATTAAGTTAAATATATATATATATATATATATATATATATATATATATATTTTAAACAAAATAAAAAAAGTTTATGAATAAATAATAAGTACTTTGGACTTTATATAATAATTTGGTCATTATATATATATATATATATATATATATTAAACGAAAAAAAAACTTTTTATGAATAAATAGTAAGTAATTTGAACTTTGTATAATAATATACGTAAATAAGTTTTACATTTTTAATATATTTTTCTTTTGAGTACTTAATAATTTTTAACTTAACATTTAATAAATTAAAAATACATCTCCGTCATTTTAATGCTCATGTGTTTGTTAAATTGAAATAATAATAAAAAATTTAAAATATTTTAAAAAATCATTTAAATAAATTAATATAATAATAAAGAAAAAAATTATTTTAATTATTCAAATAAAAAATTATAATTCATTTGATATCTAGTTTGAAATTTTTTATTGAATACTTACAAAAAAATATAAAACTTATTTATACCTAAATAATAATAATAATAATAAATTTTCTACCTATGTTAACCCTCCTATTTTCAAATTTGTTACTGAAAGCATATGATAATAATATTAAGAATAGATGGTGGTTCGATGAAATGATTCCAACCTTTTTGTTTCTTCAACTAGTGATTTTGAAATGTTGTAGTTTGATATAATAATGTTTTAAAAATATTGTTAAAAATAATAATTTGCTATGGATGAAGCCAAAAATTGAACCAATAAAAAGTGGCCATGTCATACAAGACCGTTTAGTTCACGTGTGACCACTTATAATTGTGGCTCCTGGGCCCCACATTATAAATTGAATTTCTAATTTTGGGACCATATGCAGCTGGCTATTGGGCCGAGTCGAGCCGAGCTGAGCCGAAGAGCTAACAAGCTCACGTCCTATGTTCTTGGGCTGGCATATTGTAGGCCCAAAGTGGGGCCCACCAACCTGAAAATGGATGGGCCACGGTGGTTTGTTTCTTCATTCACACTTCAAAGTTCAAACTCCTTTTTCCGTTTTTAATCGTGGCAAGAAATTTCCATGAATATCGTTTAATTTTTTCAAAAGTTCATAACGCATAATATGAAAACATTTTGAAGAAAAGAGATTCAATTTTATGAATAAACATGAAATTTTTTTGATGATCTTACCTTAAAAAAACAATTTTTAAGCCAAGATATTATAAAGAAAATAGATAACAGGGTGAAAATGACATGAGGGAAGGTTTTTGGTTATGATAGTTGTATGAATTGCATATACCAGGTCAAAATTTTCAACAATTCATACCCACCTACTACCTACAAACGAGAATTCTAGAATGTAGGCTAAGTTAAATATTTATTTTGCTTTTCAAGATAGTGATAATTTTTACATGCTTTGAATATGATATTCATTATGACTCTAATATCAGTTTGACCCTGCCTAAAAGCTAGGTGCTTTTTAACTGCATGCATGTAAACAATTTGCTTTCGGCAGTGTTAAACTAATGGTAACCATTTACACTAAATATTGATACTTCAAAGCTATAATTTAGTAAAAAAATGACCATTTCAAACTATGAAATGTGTGCTATGATTTATGATTTGTAGTAGATGGTGAAGAACAGAGAAACATAAGAGTTGAGATGAAAAGAGATTTTGAATGTTATGAGGTATAATGATGGATGCATGTGAGAGCTCATCAGAAGTGAGACCTTCCTTGTCTCCATGGGAGCAATGCAATGAAATGAAATGAAACTTATTTGCCATACCCAACTAACTTTCTCTTCCTCCTAATTTGACTCTCTCTGTTCTGCTACCACGTTTCCAGTTCCACCATTTGTTTAAGAATAATACTGTTTCCAAACCACTTTTCTCACCCCCACTTTTCTACAACTTCATTTTTTTTCTCTCCATCGTATTGCTCCCTTATTTCATACTTTTCTCTTCTCTCTCTCCCTCTCTTGTCTTACTTAAAAGGTTTTGCAAGATAATTACGTGGAAATAGTGTAACATTGTTGTTAATCATCTAATACATAGTCCTATTAAAACATATTGTTAATGTTGAGGTGTAAAGATCGGTCAAAGATAGGGAACTTCCTCGTAAGTTCCTGGTCAAAGGAAGGCTACTTCCTTGCAACTTCCTGGTCAAAGGAAGGGAGCTTCCTTGCAACTTCCTCTCAAGAAGGATTTGTTTGGCTATAAATACCTCATTTTGTAACCTCATTTGTATCCAATCCAAGTGTGAAGAAAGAGTAGAGAGAGTGTATTCATACGGGCTTGTGTGAGTTGTAACATTCGGTTTATCCTCTTATTCTAGTTCATTCTCCTGGCTTGGTTCGCCCCCAGATATAGGATTTAATCCGAACCGGGTTAACAAATATTCGTGTCTTTTATTGATCTCACATTGGTGTATTATTATTATTCCATCTTATCCGACCTTATTTCCCAACAAGCTGGTATCGAGCCGGGAGGTTGGAGATAAGATGGAGGGAAAGATTCAAGTCGAACGGTTCAATGGTTCCGACTTTGGATTACGGCGAATGCAAATGGAGGCTTACCCGTACGGGAAGGACCTCTACGCACCTCTTGGGGAAAAACCCGAGAAGATGAGCGATGATGAATGGAAGGTGCTCGATCGGAAGGCGATGAGTGCTATAATTCTTTCGCTCTCTCGGAACGTCGCCTACCATGTGAAGGGAGCAAAAAGCACGAAGGAGGTCTTGCGGATACTCGCCGACATGTATGAAAAACCATCGGCAATAAACAAGGTGATGCTGATGAAAAAGCTGTTCAAATTGCAAATGGAGGAGCGAAAGTCGATGGCCGATCATCTCAACGATTTCAACCAACTCACTACGCAGTTGGCATCGGTGGATATTTCGTTTGATGATGAGGTAAAAGCCCTAATCTTGCTCTCATCATTGCCGGACGGTTGGGACGTGGTCATTACTTCGGTGAGCACTTCTTCGGCAAGGAGAAGATGAAGTTCGACAACATAAGAGATATGATGTTGAACGAGGAGACCCGCGAAATCGGGCGGGTGGGTCGTCCGGCTCGACCCTACATACAGAGTCCAGAGGGAGACCCAAAACACGAGGGAAAATCCGTGGGAGGTCAAAATCCGGGGAAGGAATAAAGGCAAGAAAGAGATGGTGTGTTGGAGCTGCGAGAAGCCTGGGCATATGAAAAGCGAATGTCGGGCACCAAGGAAAGACAAAGAAGGTCGGACAGACCAATGCCGCGACGGAGGACACGGCGGATGCACTCTTGTTGAGTGTGAGAAGCTCGCTCGATGACTGGATCGTGGACTCGGGGGCCTCATTTCACTCATGCGATAGCAGAGACATCATGGAGCCATACACCGCAGGTGATTTTGGCTTGGTATATCTTGCGGACAACAAATCCCTAAAAATTGTAGGGAAGGGAGATGTGCGGATCAAGTCCGCAAATGGGTCATGCTTGGACCCTACGTGATGTGAGACACATTCCGGGACTGAAGAGGAATCTCATCTCGGTTGGACAGCTGGACAATGACGGCTTCCACACAATGTTTGGAGATGGAAAGTGGAAGGTCAGCCGAGGAGCTATGACTTTGGCAAGAGGGCTGAAGTCGGGAACGCTTTACACGGCGAGTAGATCCAGCTCAAACATTCTCCTGGCGGGAGTTGTCTCACAATCGCACTTATGGCACGGTCGCTTGGGCCACATGAGCGAAAAAGGAATGAAGGTACTAAAGTCGAGAGGACTTTTGCCCGAGTTGGAGTCGGTGGACGTGGGTCTCTGCGAGCAATGCGTGCTTGGAAAGCGAAGCGAGTGAGCTTCATAACCACCGGAAGAGCTCCAAAGACGGAAAAACTGGAGCTAGTGCACACTCGACTTATGGGGGCCAGCACGGTGACATCTCTTGGAGGATCGATGTACTACATGACGTTCGTCGATGACTGCACAAGAAAGGTATGGGTGTACTTTCCGAAAAGAAAATCCGAAGCCTTTGATACTTTCGGGAGATGGAGAGCACTCGTGGAGAAAGAGACAGTGCCGGAAGTGAAATGTCTCGGATCCGACAACGGTGGCGAGTACAACAGTTGAAGCCATCAAAGAATACTGCGGCGATCATGGGATCCGGATGCGAAGACGGTCCCAGGGGACACCTCAACAAAATGGCATTGCGGAGAGGATGAACGGAACACTGAATGAGCGTGCGAGATGCATGCGATTGAAGAGTGGACTGCCCAAGATGTTTTGGGCGAAGCGATCGAGCACGGCCGCTTTCTTGATCAACCGGGGCCTTCTGTCCCACTGAACAACAAAATTCCGGAAGAGGTCCGGAGTGGTAAGAAAGTTGATCTCTCTTTCTTACGTACCTTTGGTTGTTTGGCTTACGTTTTGAATGACGACCGGACAAAGCTGGATGCTAAGTCCGTCAAATGTACATTCATTGGATATGGGACTCGACGAATTTGGGTATAGATTTTGGGATGATCAAAATCGGAAAATTATTCGCAGTCGTAATGTGGTGTTCAATGAAGGCATAATGTACAAGGACCGGAAGGAATACTTGGACGATGACAAGACCATGCAGGAGTATGTTGGTCTCGATATTTCAAATACCGGAATCATGAGACCGAGCAGATACGAGTGGGAGCTCGGATAGATGAGATCGAGCGTACGGAAGAAGAGGCGAGAACCGGAATCGGATGAACCGATTGCTTGAGAGCGGCACGCCTCGGCACTGGGCCGAGAACCGAGGATGAGAAGGGCCCCGGATAGGTACTCCCCTTCTCTTTATTACCTACTTTTATCCGATTCTGGGAACCCGACTGTTATGCGAGGCGGTTAAAGATGCCCACAAAAGCAAGTGGGAGCTTGCGATGGAAGACGAGATGAACTCGTTGAAGAAGAACCACACATGGGATTTGTGTGATCTCCCACAAGGAAAGAAGGCTCTTCAAAACGGATGGGTCTATCGGGTCAAGGAGGAATCGGATGGAACAAAACGGTACAAGGCCGGACTTGTAGTAAAGGGATTCCAACAGAGATACGGTATTGACTTTACCGATGTTTTTACACTCGTTGTTAAGTTAACCACTATACGTTTAGTGTTAAGCATCGTAGCGGCGGAAAACTTGGAGTTGCAACGGTTAGATGTGAAGACGGCCTTTCGCATGGGGATCTCGAGGAGGAAATTTACATGGTGCAACAAGAGGGATATAGAGGAAATGATCGGCAGGTCTGTCGCCTAAAGAAGAGCTTGTACGGACTGAAACAGGCTCCTCGACAGTGGTACCGAAAATTCGATAATTTCATGCTTGGAGATAGGATACTCCAGGTGTAATGCCGATCATTGTTGCTATGTGAAGAAGTTCGGTAACTCTTTCATTATTTTACTGCTATATGTGGATGACATGCCGATAGCAGGATCGGATGTCAAGGAGATCGAGAGGCTCAAAGATCGCCTATCAAGGAGATTTGATATGAAGGATCTAGGAGAAGCGAGACAGATATCGGGCATGAAAATCACGAGGGACGAAATGCTTGGTAAACTTTGGCTTTCTCAATTTGATTATATTGAGAAGGTGTTGTGCGGATTCAATATGAATATCGCAAAGTCGGTTCGAGTGCCATTGGGAAGCCGGTTCAAGTTGTCCAACAAGGATTCACCCCAGGATGACTCGGAAAAAGAAAAGATGAGAGTTACGCCGTATGCTTCGGCTATCGGGAGCCTAATGTACGCTATGGTCCGCACCCGGCCGGACATAGCACATGCAAGTGGGAGTAGTCGGTCGGTTCATGAGCAATCCCGGAGTGATGCACTGGGAGGCGGTCAAGTGGATCCTTAGGTACCCGAGGGGTACTAAGGACCGGGCATTAGTATTTGGCAGGGGTACCCTTACCCTGTCTCGGGTATGTCGATGCTGATTTTGCAGGAAGTGATCTTGACAAGAGGAGGAGTACTACCGGGTACGTATTCACTTATGGCGGGACGGCCGTATCCTGGATCTCAAAGCTGCAGAAGATAGTCACATTGTCCACAACGGAAGCCGAGTACGTGGCGGTGACGGAGGCGGCCAAGGAGCTCGTTTGGCTGCAAAACTTCTTGAATGAACTTGGGAGACCTCAAGAGGATGTGGCTCTATACGGCGATAGCCGAGTGCAATCCATCCGGCAAAGAACCCCGCGTTTCACTCGCGAACGAAGCACATCGAGGTTAAGTATCATTTCATCCAGGCAACTTCTAGAGAAGAAGATGCTCGCAGCTGAAAAAGGTTCGGGAGATAGGAATCCTGCAGACATGTTGACCAAGGCGGTAACTTTGGAAAAGTTGAAGCTGTGTGTAGCTTCGACCGACCTTGATGATTAAAACAGCGAGACTTAGCGGAACCAAGAGCGGAGATGAACGAGGTTGACCAATCTTCAAGTGGGAGATTGTTGAGGTGTAAAGATCGGTCAAAGATAGGGAACTTCCTCGTAAGTTCCTGGTCAAAGGAAGGCTACTTCCTTGCAACTTCCTGGTCAAAGGAAGGGAGCTTCCTTGCAACTTCCTCTCAAGAAGGATTTGTTTGGCTATAAATACCTCATTTTGTAACCTCATTTGTATCCAATCCAAGTGTGAAGAAAGAGTAGAGAGAGTGTATTCATACGGGCTTGTGTGAGTTGTAACATTCGGTTTATCCTCTTATTCTAGTTCATTCTCCTGGCTTGGTTCGCCCCCAGATATAGGATTTAATCCGAACTGGGTTAACAAATATTCGTGTCTTTTATTGATCTCACATTGGTGTATTATTATTATTCCATCTTATCCGACCTTATTTCCCAACAGTTAAGCCCCTTCATGTACAGAAAAAGTCTCGTTCAGAGCATAGATACAGAGAAGTTTTATGTATGATATTAATATACAAGTAAATTCATTAATTTGATTAATAAAGTTCACTAAGTTTTCAAAAGTGGAGCATTTCAAATTGCAGAAAGTTGAATATTACATCAGTTGTGGTTCTGATATAATCAGTAGATTCCTAAAGAATTTACCATTCGGACCTAAACATTCACGATAGTAGAAAGTGAAAAACATCACAAGGCTATGATTAAAACTATGATTAACAAAAATCTTTGAAAAGAGAGTGATGCTGTAACAGATGCTCTCACTTTCACTGCAACTTTACAGTGCGCATGGAATATCCATAAGCAACCAAAAAGAGGTCAGAGCTTTCCCCACTTAAAAAGAATACAAAAAGTTGATAAAATATTCAATCAGCTCAGATTCAAAATTTTCATGCTCCCCGTCTGCAAAAATATAGTCTTACACACCCATTAGCCTTATCTTTTCCAAAAACCATTGTACTGCTCAAAAACTGTTAAAGCATATATTATATATCCTCTCCTTTTTCTAATAATACATGATCGATGCCTATTTATTGTAGAATTTCCTCACATAATTGTTCAAGTTCCAATATTTTTTTTCTATTCTAAAAGCTTATACCTTTGGTTATTCCAATCTATATAAACTTCCATTCAGCAAACACTCTGCATCATCAGTACTGGGTAGTATTCCATGGCATCTGAAGGTACAATCTTTATTCTCTCGCTTTTATTCTCTGCTCAGTTTTTACACGTATCCGGTCAATGTTTTCAAGCACAGAGCTAAACTTTAAGTCATTGTGTTACTGTTCAAATGAAACAGTACATAAAATTCAGTTTCCCCATCTGACATAACTTTGGTGGTTTTCTTTCACTTTATAATCTTCATCCTACTCAGTTGAAGAAGGCTGTTATGCTACTACCAGATTGTACGCAAACTGATACATCCTCTTCTGTTCAGTTACTGATACTAGCAAGGATTCTTCCCATCCTTTTGGCTCTTGGTTTAGCTTTCTGGTTTTTGAAGCAGCTAGATCTAGCACTGGTAAGCCCATTAACACTATAATTATATTCATACCTAAACATAAATTTTTAAGTTTTTCACATATAGACAATCCTGTTTGAGATATGGTATATATCTACACATATATAATAATACAATTTGCAAATATATTTGTTAATCTGGGCCTATGTATGTCTTCTTATATATGTCTTCAACATGATATATAGGTAAGAAGGATCGCTTTGTCATTCAAGTGTCAATTGGATCTCTTTTAGTTTCACTTCATCAGTGATTGTTGTCAAGTAAGCAATCATCTATGGACGGTCTAAGTTGGGATTCCTCATCACAACTTGTTGGTAACATACCGATCTTGTGGAGCAGTCAGCCTCAAGACCTTGAAGGAGAGTATCACCATTTCATGCCTCGCATAAGGTCAAGTGCTCTCAGTCAAACAGGTTATCCATATCCCCGTTCTGAAAAAGTGAGGGAGATGGTTCAGCCATCGTCATGTGAGATAATGAGTATGTTGCCAAACACGAATCTAACAGCAACCATGCCTGTGAATCCAGGAGCAGCTGGAGCCAGTTGGGAAGAAGCTTTAACACCCCAATCATGCCCGTCCCTTTCGGTGAATATGAACCAAACTAGCAATTATGTAGCAGATTTCAACATGGCCCACCAGCAACGAAACCTTACCAATGACACACAAAACGGCAAGGCTACCTGCTCTCTTGGGTCACTTGATTGCTTGTTTTCAGCTACTAAGAATAGAAACATAGACACGTCTGTCGAAGATGATGGGATTTCCATGATGGCTTTATCTGACTGCAGAAACTTATGGAACTTCAGTTATGGCAGTGCAGTTTCCTCTGGTGACTCTGAGAGCAATGGTTCCAATGCTAGAAACAGTGACATGCGGTATTCATCAGTGAATGAGCTGGATGAAACAGTGTCTCAAAGCTTCTCTGATCAATATCTCAGTCAAGGAAGAGTTATAGATTCTGAAGTTATTTGCACAAAAGGGAGAAATTCATGCTTCAGCGTTGCTCAGAATTCTTCTGCTACTGAAGGTGGTTTTAAGCTCATCTCAGAGACTTCACCAAAGTCAAAGAGACCCAGATGGGATAAGCATCCTGGTTCATCAAATATCAACTTCCAGCAGCCAAATTCATCTGTGTCATCTTCCTTTGAAGAACCTGATCCAGAGGCCGTAGCACAAATGAAGGAAATGATATATAGGGCTGCAGCTTTTAGGCCAGTGAACTTGGGATTAGAAGTGGTGGAAAAGCCTAAAAGGAAGAATGTTAGGATATCAACTGATCCACAGACTGTGGCTGCCAGGCAAAGAAGGGAGAGAATAAGTGAGAGGATTAGGGTTTTGCAGAAGATTGTGCCTGGTGGAAGCAAGATGGACACTGCATCAATGCTTGATGAAGCTGCAAACTACCTCAAGTTTCTCAGATCGCAAGTCAAAGTACTAGAAAATTTAGGTAACAAGCCTGACACAATGAATTGTCCTCCTACTAACATAGCATTCTCTTTCAACCCTTCTTTTCCCATACAAACATTTCCCCGTCCAAAACCCTAGTTGCCACTCCCATATCCAACATTCCAAGGGTTGGAAGCTAGAAATATTATCATGGAAGAGAAGAAAAGATGTAAAAAGGGGTCTGAGAACCCATAACCTCTAATTGTATTTCATTCAGTGACTTTGATTGACATATATGCTCATATGTCCTACTCAAAACTACAATTTTGTTCATAAGTAGTCAATCATGTCTTGATTTTTTTTTTCAGAATATCTACAGCGAGACTTGTTTGAAACTCTCATCAATCACCACAATTTCTAGTTGCTATCATAAATTATGGGCATGCATGAATGAGTGAAATAAGGTACTTTTAGTTACACTATGCTTCCACAGCAATTACATTTTACTTTTACGAAGGAAAGATCGATGGTTATAGTAAAAGTAGTGAAAGTAAAAGAAGTGAATTACATAACCTTTTAGCTTGCAGAAAGGTCTAGCAATTATAACACCCATGATTAAGATCAAGGGGTAGAAAGTGATTGCCACTTTAAGTTCCTTTTAAAATAGTTTAATGCAATTCATGTACTTAAAAAGTGTTTTTCTTTTCTTGGAGATCTTCAAGGTTTATTTTTTTAACAAATGTTTGGTTAGATAAATAAACAAATGCTAGAGACATTCTCTCAAGAATAGTGAACTGAGTCAGTGGTCCTGTCTCCTTGAATCAACCCAAAGCGTGCTCTTGAAAATCACTCTAAACTCATTGCTCAGCACGTGTATATTCTTCTTTTTTGGCAGGGGTGTTTGTCATAGGCAATATACAAAGGAAACTCGTGTGTCTTATTCAAAAGTTCCGAAGAAGCTCTTAAATATTAGTGTAACTAATGATATTGTTAATGATGATGAGTATGATAACGACGGCTAATGTTGTAGAACATGGATTATTTTAATTTGGCTCGAATATCTTCGCTAAGCACATGCGTCTTTGCAATGCCACTGTATCTGCATGTGCCATTTTCCAGTACAAAATGAAACCCTTTCGGCCTTTCATCTGTCATGCTTTAGAATTATTCCCACTTTTTCTTCACCATTCATCATCACTAAATATAAAACTCTATATAATCTCCACTTCATGTTGTAAAAGGTAAATAAATTCAAAGCTATAACTGTGCTAATATTTGCATTTACTATATATATATACATATTACGTTAGTCTTATCTTCTATAACTTTGTGTGACTTATCAAATTTCTTTCTAAATTTCATCGCAATTTTTCAATAGATAAAATAAAACTAGAGTAAAGTCAAATCTAATTAAGTAAAAATAACTCAAAACAATTCAAAACCTTTTTTAAATCCTGCTAAGTTATTAATATTTTTAAATTAAAAAAGGGTAAAAATACGTTTTTTAACTCTTATAAATATTGTTCTCAAACAATAAATATGACTTTATCATTGAATTTTATTTTAATGCATAATATTGATTGATATTTTCTCTTAATCACCAGAGATTTATAATTGATTGAATCGTGCAATTTGATGCGAAATGAGATTATAGGAATCTAAGTAATTACATATAAAATGATATTCATTCGTCCTTATTTATTTTTCTTCTATCTGCACACTCCATTTCAATCACAAATCCTATATAACATCGAAAGCAGCATCACTGGGTAAAACATACATATGCAAATGAAAGCACTAATTCACTATTTGTAAGACATCACTTTCACTTGTGTAGCTTGATCTCACTCTGGCATTGCAAGGAAAACCTCGTACACCTACCTTACATACTCATCTCCATCTGCAAACACTCTGCAATCACATATTACCATATATACTCATCTTTTCTGGGACAAGCTTTTACCGTGCCATGGGAAAGGGTTCACTATTCATATTTATGGTGACCAGTTTAACTGAATCGCTTGTTTCGGCATCACTATATTTAGTTCGACCAAATTCCATTGCTAAAGCCTCCTTCAGTTCAGTCACTATCACACTTATGACTGGCCTTCTGTTGGGATTTAGAGACACACATGCTGTTGCTATTTCTACTGCTTTCCAAACTGAGTTTTTATCAAAATCTCCTCCTAACCTCGAGTCAACAACGGCATTGATATCACCTTTTTCAATCAAGGAACTAACCCATTGGCTTATGTGTGTCTTTTCTTGACTCTTAGCTATCACTGGTTGACTTGTGATTATCTCCAAAAGAACCACACCAAAGCTATAAACGTCGCTCTTCTCTGTTAATCTACTGGTTATGTAGTACCTGTGAAACAAAGAATGTACCTCAATTAATTTCTGTTCAAATTTTTGGACGCAAAAATGAGAATCACGAAGTTTTTCCAAGAAAAATGATGGATAGGAATAGGGCAGGGCAACATAATTGATGAACTCACTCAGGATCCAGATAACCAGGAGTACCAGCAATAACAGTTGACACATGAGTTCCCCCGTCTGTTGGGAAAATTTTGGATAGACCAAAATCAGATAATTTTGCTTGGAAGTGTTCGCTCAACAAGATGTTTGTGGATTTTACATCTCTGTGGAAAATAGGTGGCTTACAACCATTTTGAAGATACTCCAATCCTGAGACCAAAAATTTATTAAGAGAGGAAAGGAACAATTAAGAAAAGAATGCTAGTGTACTTTCAGACCTGAGGCTGCATCCACTGCTATACGAAGTCTCTCTTCCCAGCTTAAGATTTTTGTTTTTCTGCGTTTACCTGCAGGATTCGAGTTACATAGTTTTCAGTACGTGATGTTTTTTGTTGAATAAAAATTAGTCATGTGACCCGTACAATTGTACACTAAGGAAATATCCATCATCCACAGTTTCAGAAAACAAAACCAGTTTGGAAATTAATTAACAAGAACTTTCATTGTACAGATTTTAAACAAGAAATTCATTTTTTATGGGAGCTAACCAGAGAGATGTTCTTGTAAGTTTCCATTAGCCATGTACTCATATATGAGACCCTCATTACTTCCTTCATTACAATAACCAACAAGGGATGTCAAATTTTTGTGGTGAACTCTCATTAGAAGTTTAACCTGTAAATAAAAATCACAACCATGTTTACCATAACTATTTATTGCCGAGTAATAAAAATATTTCTAGTGTAAAGTTATTCAAAACTTAAACCTCTGCTTGAAATTGTTGATAACCATGAACAGATGATGGGGAAAGCATTTTCACCGCAACTGGAGCGTCATCGATATAACCCAGATAAACAGTTCCGAATCCTCCATTACCAATAATTGTATTGAAATTGTTGGTGATGTTAAGGAGATCAGGGTATGAATATCTTTGCTTTTTGGAGTGAAGTATTGAATTATCTTGTTCTTTGACTTGCGGTAAGATCTGACTTTTATCCTTTTCTTTCATCAAAACTGTTCATATCATACAAATATTTTTGCAAACTAAGAGGTTATGATAGAATTTGGCAAAATTATGAATAAAAAACTACTTTTAATGGTTGCAGCATCACCTTTTGATTTTATCCTGTTACGTGTCCAGAATATTGCTGCCACGACCAGCAGAACGATAAAAACTCCACTAACTGATGCTACTAAGGGTGTAACAAAGCTATTCTTTTTCTTTTCATTCTTGTTGCATTGACCAGTTTCACACAGATATGGATTTTGGTCCACACTAGCATAAAATAACAGAAGATTTATTTTTTAACGGTAAGTAAACCTTATAAGTCCTCAATAATTTAAATAGATACTTTAATTCATTTTGCTTGTGCAAAGATATTAAACGGATCAACAACTGCTTATGGAAAAGCATAGGTGACAGTTGTTTTGTTTGACTCGAAGGAGAACTAACTTAAAAGAGATTCAAATAAAATATAAATAGCCAGTGTGATTAAAATATAAATACAAAATAAAATCATCATCATAAATAAGCATATTATGGATTTGAGAATTTTCGATACATCCATACCTTAGTGACAGAGAACCTTCGTTATATCTTTCAACAAGTGCCGAGGGAATTGTTCCAGAGAGGTTATTCTTCTTCAAGTTTCTGCCAAAACACGGAAACCCAGATGTTATCCTTTTCTATTTTTCTGATACAGAGGGATCACAAAGTTGTTCCAGCAACTGATGAAGTGGAAAAGCAACCGATGAAGAAACTTACAATATCTTTAAGTGTCGCAATTGAGTCAGAAAATCAGGAATTTCTCCGTTGAAGCTATTGTTTGATAAATCCCTGGAAAACAAAAACATGCCTCCTTTTAAATATGTTAAAATTTTGACACATGTAACAAAAGACATGTTGACAGAAAGATCTAAAGAGTTTAATTGATATATGTTAGAAAGAATTTCACTATCAACCATTCAAAAATCAAAACTGAGATATAACTTTTAAAATATATAGTAAAAGTTGTTAGGTAAAATTAATAATGAGTTAATTGAAATGTCTTTTGTGTGAAAAATGTTTATTGAATGTTTAGGGAAAAAATGTTTATTGAATGTTTAGGGAGTGATATTAATGAGAAATATAGTTATGGAACTCTTTGGCTTTTACGAAGTAAATATTTTGGTGTAACAATATTTTATGGGAGTGTATAAATACCCACATGTAATCCAATTTTCAATATAAGAAAGATTAAGATAATATTCAGTTTCCAAAAAATCTTTGTTATCAAATTGGTATAAAAGCTAAGGTTTTAGCGTTGAACGTTTGAGTGGGATGACTAATATGATGAATGCTGCTGCACTTGTATCCCAACTGATGAAAGATGTCAGTTATGATAGATGAAGTGTCTAGATGAAGGTCCTTCTCACAGTCCAAAATTGTTGGGATGTGGTAGAGGACGACTATGAAGAATCGGAGACCACGGAAGGGTTGTCGGCCAACGCACTCAGAACGTTTAAAGAGAAACTTTCAAAGAATAGTACAACTCATTTTTTGCTATTTCGAACTATAGAAGATTCCGATTTTGAGAAGATTGTAGGAATCAAGTCGGCATCTGATGCATGAACTAAACTGAAGAAGGAGCACAAGAAAGATGATTGAGTCATTCGTGTTCGGCGTTAGACACTGTGTAGCGAGATGAAGAGTATGGAAATGAAGGAGTGGAAAAAGTTTCCGAATACATCTTGCTTGTTGAAAACATGGCGAAATAACTCATTCATAATGGAGAAACGTTTTCAACATAACAAATTGTTGAAAAAGTCTTGAGGCCATTAACAAATGACTTTTAGAACGTAGTGTGTGCAATAGAATAAACTAAGGACTTGTCCGATCCCTTAATAAAGGAGTTGATCGATTTTCTTGAAGTTTACAATCACTGAATGAAGAAAAAGAGGGAGAAGTCGAATGTGAAATTGTTTCAGACTGAGGAGAAGACGTTCTATTTGCAGAAGAATAGAGGAAGAGGACAAGGTCGTGGTGGTCAGTCTCGAGGTGGTTGATCTGGCTAAGGTGAATATAGTGGTCGAGGTGATGAGTAGGAAGAAGGAGGTCAATAAAACTGGTGAAGAAAATGACGTGGTTCAAAAGAAGGTCGGTCGACGAATTAATCAAATGTCGATGTTTCAAGTGTTACATGCATGTTCATTATGAGAAGGATTGTTATTCGGAAAAATGTTTCAATTGTGGAAAGGAGAGGTATCTTGCCAAAGACTGTCAAAAGGTGGATGAGACCTATCTTATAGAGGAGAAGGAAACTGGAGTAACATTATTGATGATCGATCTCAACACAGGAAGTTGTAGTGACGGAATCACAAGTCAATATGGTATTTAGATACAAGTGCGAGTAATCACATGTATGGAGATGAGTACCTATTCAGTAAGTTGGAAAAATTTGAGGGTGATCATGTTTCATTTAGAGACGCTTCGAGGATCTCAGTAAAAGGTCGATATATTATTTGTTCTTGTAGAAGGATGACCTAGTCGGGTCAATCTAATATGTGTTTTATGTTCCCGATCTCAAAAGTAATCTTTTGAGTGTGAGACAACTGATGGAGAGAGGATGCTTGATTTTCATGAAAGATCAAGTACTTCTGTTGAGGAACAAATTTGGAAGATTGATGGTCCAAGTCGAGATGGAGAAGAATAAAATGTTCAAGTTACAGCTGAGAAACATTCGTGAGAGGAGTTTGAGATCAAATGTAAAGGACACGTTCAAGGTAAATTACCAATATGCTCACATACAATTTTGTGATTTAATAAAGTTGATTCATGATGATAATTATAATATTGTTCGAGTTGGTGATGCAAGTGAGTGGAAATAGGAACAATCGGAGACCAAGATGATGTGCCACCAGCTAGATTGGAAACCGAGAAAGAAGAAATAACCATGAAGAGCGTGATACTTGATTTGCCGAGCATGGAGGGGAAAGTTTGTGAAGTTGTGATACTTGGAATGTTGAGTAAGAAGGAGAGTTTACAGAGAAGTGATCGGTAACTAGGTGTGTACCCCACTTCCACATAAGAAAGATGAGAGATATGACCAAATTATTGGTGTGAAGCAGGTATTCAAGAAGAATGAGAAACTTTTGTGTTGGTCTTTGACCAAACTCAGTTAGAAGAAAAGAGATGAAAAATTGTTAGGCAATGTGGATGTCAAGTTTAAGATGATAGGTCCCCCATCCAAGAGAATTAATTATTATTAGATTAAGATAATTGTCATTAGCAAGATTTAAACTCAATAACTTAGAGTTGGAGGATTTAAACTCAATACCTTAGAGTTGGAGGCTAATACTCCAACCACTAAACTACTAGAATTTTACGGTAATAACTTATAAATAAATTATATTTATATATAAATAAATATATATTTGTGTAAATATATAAATATAAAATATATAAATACAAATATATTTATATATTTTGATATATTTATATAGTTATATATTTATATGTTGGATGTGAGGGCGCGCTCGAAGGTGAAAGTGTGTGTCGAGTATATTTTCAAAATTTGATACCAAATTTAATCTAATTATGATTATTAATGGAACAATTTTTTTCTAACATAGATTATTATTAATTAATCAAAATCATCTTTTAATAATTACTTTTTCTAGACAGAGATTAATTTATAATAATTTGTTAAATTAAATAATTTTAAAAATAAATATATAATTATTTTTAATATTGAAAAAATTATTTTATATCATTATATCAATAAATTATAAAAATTATAATTTTGTCATTAAATTACAAACCCATATAAAGAGATTCGTTCACAAATTTGACATCAAATTTTGAAAACCTACTCGACATATTTTCACTCTTGAACGTCCTCTCACATCCAACATATAAATATATAAATATATCAAAATATATAAATATATAAATATATTTGTATTTATATATTTACACGAATATACATTTATTTGTATATAAATATAATTTATTTATAAGTTATTATCATCAAATCTTAGTAGTTTATTGAATGAAAGTGTATTCAACTTGAACCAACATTAACTGAGGTTAATTAAATGAGTGGAAGTGAATATATGTAATCCAGTTTTCAATATAACAAAGATTAAGATAATATTAATATATTTTAACTTTTAAAAATATACCGTAAAAATTAATAAATTTAACTTAACTCTTAGTTTATGATTTTTTGACTCCGATAGAGTGTGTATATTCTATTTACCCGGAAAAAGAAACTCACAGCTTCTCCGACAGAGTGTGTATAACTAAGGTTTTTTTCTAGTCTCATCATTCATTGGTCAGGTGGAAAAAGAAACTCACAACTTCTCCAACATGCCGAGGTTTGAAATTGAAGGGTCTATCTTCCCTGACAATCCACTTGAAGATAAATCCCTGTTTTGCAGATCCAACAGTTATATACGATATCATCTCAGATTTATAAAGCTATACTATTAATTTGGGAAGCATAACTTACAAAGTTGTGATTCTTGGAGACTCTTTTCCGATATAACTACAATTGAGACCGGCCCACAAGTAGTCTACAGGGGCGCATGGATCACCTTGCCAATCTCTTGTCACCCCATAAATTGATTTGATGGTTGTAATGGCATCATCTTTGTTTTTTTAATGCAAAAAGGAGTAAAGGGTAGTTAAGATCATGTACAATAGGGTAATCCAAATAAATGATAAAGGGTAGTTAAGAATAATATCAAGATCATATTTCCGTCGCATACCATCGTCTTTGAATGTATCTGATTGCGGGAAGTCTATTGCTTTGTAAACTTCAAGAGCATTGATGATGGGAGGTTGGGTTGAGATTTTGGTCTTTTCAATAGAAAATATAATTTCTTTCCCACTGGAGGGTGAAGTGCTATATAAAGTGTTGACACTCAGACGCTGGGGTGAAAACTTTGAATACCATTGTATACCATTATTCACGATGGTGAATTCTCTTGTCTGATTTGTGGCTAACACTCCAATCTCCATGAAGTACATGTAAACATAGAACTGATCGGTTGGATCATCTGGTACCCAGCTTATTACCAATGGAGCACTAACATTTGCTGGTGTAACTGCAGTGCTCATGACAATAGCTGGTGGTTTATATATGTTCTGGTTTGTAGCATCAGCAGAAATCGAAGCACTTAATTGTGTCCACTCATTGATGTTGTCATAGGCCCAGTAACGATCATAAACATCTTCCTTGTACCTGAGAGAAAATAAAAATTAGTCCAATAGCATCAATCAATCTTGTAAGAATAATCAAAAAGTAGTGTTCACCTATAGCCGATGTCTGAACCTATATCCCACCGGATGTAAGTTTTCAATGATCCAGATTCAGTGACATAAATATCATTTGTCAAATTTCTCAGTTCTATGGATGATATAAATGGTGTTCCACGGCCTGTGTTAACGAGACAGATTTGTACATAATCCAGTGAAGGTACATGTATGATCTCCTTGGTCAGGTCAAGGGATCCATTGTTTATGTTCACTGTACCCCACCGGTTAGCCCCAAAAAGAAGATCAAACTGTGGTACCTTATTTAGACCATCATAATTTCCGTACAAAAAAGTAGCCTTGATTAAATACTTAGAGCCCCTTGTGATGTTTATTTTGTAGCAGTTCCTTTTTCCTTCCGGGAAGCTTCTTAGAGTCTGCACCTGTCGTTGATACTCATTTTTGAGACTAGATTCTATTGACATACTCACACCAGTATTGATTAACTTTGCATCTGATGTATAATTTATGCCTGTTTTCGCCTCAGTATAGCTCACATCTGCAGGAGCTCCACAATCTATGCTGATGAATCCTGTAACATAAAAGTGTATATAATTGCATGCATGAGGCTTCAGCTAAACTTTTGTCAAATAATGATGTAGTGAAGTTCATGTTTTAATTTGATATCAAACCTGATTGGTCCTGAGCTTGAATCAGAACGGCAAGAACTAGACCTCCAACAAAACCAACAAGGAAACTCCTCGACATTCCCATTTCTTATCACCTTCTGCTTTCTGCCTTTGATGTAGAATAGGGCATCGCTCTTTTCTGATTTATACTACCAAAGAATTTGTGTTTTGGCGACATGGTCAATGTCAACATGAAGCTAATCTAACCAGTTATGAATTTCTTAGAACTTTTTGTCCCTTTCCATTCTTACAGCAGCTAGTGCAGTAGGATCATCCACTTGATTACTTAGAAATTCCTGTCATGTTCATCACTTATCACGCACTTGCGTGCATCAATAATTGTACTATATTCACTGGTCAATCAATCAGTATAATCATTGTGGATATAAGGAAAATTTTTTGCCATGGCAACTATCTTAATTTTATTTTGAAATAAAATGTCATATATAAAGGAAAAAAAAATTTAGATCATATTTTTGGTATAAGGATGAAATATATATAAAACAGATCTATCACCCACACATTCACATTCATTACAAATTATGAATACGTACTTGTCTTCGTCATGCTTACAAAGTTTTAAGGATGTTGATAATTCCAAAAATATGTCAAAATATGAAAAGTAAACCCTGATATCTACAACTATATACCTCATCGTATTAAAAGTCAGATACTTCTATAATATAAAATATAATAATATTTAAATAGTGGAGTGGTAAAATGTACAATTAAATTGAAATATTTAGTTTTTTTTTAATATGTAATATTAAGTGATTGATATGTTAATTGACTTTTATCCTTCAATTTTATTTTAATTTATAATATTGATTGATATATTCTCTACGAGAGCTCCACTGAATCATGTTATTTCGTATTCTTCGTTTGATTTTGACAGAATAATTAAAATAAAGTGGCTAAAGTTGAGTACTCAGATTCATGAGACTTCTTCAGTTCTGTCACTATCAGAGTTATGATTGGGCTTCTCTTGGAATTTAGAGACGCAGAAGCAGTTGCTATTTCTACTGCTATCAAAAGCCTCTTTCTAAACCCTGATCCATTCACTTGTCTGCGTCTTTTCTTTATTATTTTCTGCTTCACTTGTCATTATCTCCAAAACTATAAACATTGCTGTTCTATGCTGGATATCCCGTATCGTCTCCTTATCTTATATGATTTGAAGTTTTATATTAAAATATTAACATGTATTAATTTAAAAGGTTAATTTCTTTTCAATTGTTCGATCAAAAATACTCTTTGTCTAATTTAATTTTATGTTTGGAATCTTAACATTCTCTTTATTTTTTATTCTATGTTCTTTTAATGTTTGGTAGGGAAGATTACTCACAAGTGATTGTGATTTGAAAAATCCTTTACACTCATAACTTATGTACTTAATAACAAGTCATGGTTTAACGGTTATTTTTTAGCCATTGAACTTAAAGCAAATTATTTTGTTGAGTTATTACATTAAAACCTACAGAATTGCCAGCTAATATTGGTTTGCACAATGTCATAAGTTTTGGTTTAATCATTTGATATATTTTTTTTTCTTGTATTTGATGGTTAATGTGCTTATATTATATCCATCATAGCTTTAAAAACAAAACTGGTCAAACGATTTAAATTGCAATTAAAACCAATAGACGCATCTTAGAAAATATATTCTTCTAATTATCTCAATATCAAACATTTATAGACGTCAGGAAGAATGAAATCAGGCACTTATAAATTTCTGACATGGCAAAGGAAACAGAGAGGCACAGATATTGATTGGCATGAAGGACATGGTTTGTATAAGTGGGCTAGAGGGTATATCCCATCTTGCTCATATTCATATGCCCAGTGGCAAGCTCAGGTGGGACTATGCTTAAAGAATGCAAATAACAGATTGTGGAGATGATAGAAGGGAACATGGATGTTATTGATGGGATGGAAGCAAAAAATCAACGTCCAAATGAAATACCTTGTGTAATTATTTTGGTACGTAAAACAGGAAAAATTAACTTGAAGGAGTGGTGTGGTGTAGTCAGATGTACTTATTAGGTGGTGATGTATTATGTGGGAGTCTGGTTAAACTTTATTTATATGCCACTGCACTGCATATAAATACACTGTTATTCTGTTCCTGCAATACACTACACCACTCCCTAACACAGATTCAAATGGAGTTAGGTGTAGCAGTCACAGAAGTATTCATATGAGAAAAGAAAATTAAAGCCCCTACTGGCCAAGTTCTTGAGTAAGGTCACTTCCTCTTATTACATTATTTTACTTCATTTTTATTTTTACCTCGCCAGGGGAGTGAGTTCAGTATCCAGATTGAAGGTGACAGGTTCAACTGAATCTCTTCTTATATCGGGATCAATGAGTTTAGTTCGAGTTAATTCGGTTGCTAAAGTTTCCTTTAGTTCAGTCACTATCATCCTCATCATTGGTCTTTCACTGGGATTCAAGGAAACACATGCCATTGCTATTTCTACGGCTTTCCAAGCTGAATTAATGTCAAAATCTCCTTCTAACCTTGAGTCAACAATCGCATTGATATCCCCGTTTGCAATCAGTGATCCAACCCATTGAATGATGTGTGTCCTTTCTTCATTCCTTGCTATTACTGGTTGACTAGTGATTATTTCCAAAAGAACAACTCCAAAGCTATAAACATCGCTTTTATGTGTTAATCTATTGGATATGTAGTAACTGCATGAGAAATCATGTAACCCCATTTATTTTCTGCCAGATTTTGTGGTGATGGTTCAAAATATCCACGTATAATATAAACAATCACTATAATTGAAGTACTTACTCAGGGTCTAGATACCCAGGAGTTCCAGCAACAACAGTTGACACATGAGTTTCCTCATCAATTGGGAAAATTTTGGATAGACCGAAATCAGATAATTTTGCTTGGAACTTTTCATCTAACAAGATGTTTGTAGATTTTACGTCTCTATGGATTATAGGAGGCTTGCAACCAGTTTGAAGATACTCCAATCCTGATATTAGATTTATTGCAAATATATTGAGAGGGGAATAAGGGAGTTAACACAGCACATAATTTAAGTTTACTTCCTCACCTAGGGCTGCATCCACAGCTATACGAAGTCTGTCTTCCCAGTTCAAGAATTTTGATTTGTTGTGTTTACCTGCAGAAAACTAGTTCTGTAACTTTCTATACTTGTTCATTTTAATTGACCATTTTTCATATCCAGAGTTTCAGAATAGGAAACTGATACTTTGTAAATTGCTCGATACAAGTTTTTAACAAGAAATTAATTTCATTTGGGAACTAACCAGACAGATGTTCTTGTAAGTCCCCGTTAGCCATGTACTCATATATGAGACCCTTATAATCTCTGTCATTACAATAACCAACAAGCGAGGTGAGATTTGTATGATGAACTCTCATTAGAAGTTTAACCTGCAAACCAAAACCACAGACAAACTTTACCATATATTGTTCTGTTGGGAATCCAACATGTTCTGCACCTCAAAAACCTATTTGAAAAATTATAAATAACTTACTTCTGCTTGAAATTGTTGATATCCACGAACTGAAGATGGAGAAAGCATTTTCACTGCCACGGGAGTGTCACCAATATAACCTAGATAAACTGTTCCAAACCCACCTTTACCAACAATTGTATTGAAATTGTTGGTGATTCTAACTACATCACTGTATGAATATAGTTGTTTTTTGAATTGGTGCAATGAATCATCTTGTTCTGTGCATTGCGGTGTCATCTCACGTTGATCTACCGTCAAATCTGTACACCAGTTTTGAACATTAATAGGTCAAGATTGGATTTCCTTTGTCAAATTTTCAATTAAAATTACGAGTCTAATTATAATAGTATCACCATTAGGTTTTCTCTTTATGAGAGTCCACGATACAGCTGCCACAGCCACCAGAAGGATCAAACCCCCGCAAACTGATGCTAATAACAGAGTAACAATGTTCTTCTTGTTCTTTCTCTTCTCGTTGCATTGACCGGATTCGCATAGATATGGATTTTGGCCCACACTAAAATGGAAATTCAAATCATGTTTATGCTTTAATTCTCAGTAAATCTTACAAGTCAATAATAATTTTAGTAATACTGCATACTTTTATTGGACTAGAGAAAAATATTTGTCCGGTGAGTATGAGAAAAAGACTAAAATAGTACTAATTGATTATCAATCATCACCGCAGTGAATATGAGAATTTATCCATACCTTAGTGATAGGAAACCTTCCTTAGATTTTTGAACTAGTGCTGAGGGAATTGAACCAGTTAGGTTGTTGTTCTCTAAATTTCTGCCAAAATAGGTGAACTATATTATCCTTTTTTTTTTCGATCCAGGTGATCACACAGTTGTTCTAGTAACTAATGATGTAACTTACATCATCTTCAAGTGTTGTAATCTTGATAGAAAATCAGGAACTTCGCCGTATAAGTTATTGTTTGATAAATCCCTGAAAAAAAAAATATGTCACTTAATAGTATGTTTAAATCAGAACCCGTGTACCAAAAAATATCTTCATACAACATAACAGAAAGAACAAAGATATTTAAAGTAAGAGATTTTTCTGATATAGTAATCTCATGGACTACGTGAAATGGAGAAACTCACAACTTCTCCAACATGATGAGATTTGCAATCGTAGGATCTATCGTTCCTGACAATTCACTTGAAGATAAATTCCTGTTTTGTAAAACCAATGGCCGCACGTGATTTTTCCAGTATTATACATGAAGCTGATATTGATTAGAGAAGCATGACTTACAAACTTGTGATTCTTGGGTTCTCAGTCCCGCGATAACTACAATTGAGACCATCCCACGAGTAGGCTACAGGAGCGCATGGATCACCCTGCCAATCTCTTGTCACTCCATAAACAGACTTGATGGTTGTAAGAGCATCAACTTTTTTTTGTTTTATTTTCAAATGCAAAGAAAAAAGTGTGTTTAGATCACTTATATTATAGCGTCAAAGGAAGAAATGGATGATATATCAGAATCATATTTTTTTCTTAGTGTACCATCTCCTTGGTGTGTGTCTGTCTGGTGGAAGTTTATTACTTTGTAAATTTCAATGGCATTTATGATGGGAGGAAGGCTTGAATTCTTGGTTTTCTCAAGTGAATATTCAATTTTTTCCCCATTGATGCCTGACCTGCTATATATAGTGTTTATACTCTGGTGCATTGGAGACAAATTTTGATACCATGGCTTTCCATTCTGGGTGATATTGAACTCTCTTGTCTGGTTCTTCGGTAACACTTCAATCTCGGTGAAGTGCATGTAAACATAGTATAGCTCAGTTGGATTTTGTGGCTCCCAGCTTATTACCAATGGAGCAGTGGCATTTACTGGTGTAACTGCGGTGCTCAAGACAATTTCTGGCGGTTTGTAATGATTCTGATCAAAAGAATCAGCAGCAATAGAAGCACTTATTTGTTTCCAATCTTTGTTGTCGCCATAGCTATACCAGAAACGATCATAAACATCAACATCGTACCTGTGAGGAAATCAAATATAAATCCAATATAATCACTAAAATGTTTTATGCAAAAGAATTAATCCAAAACTATTCTGACTTCACCTGTAGCTGTTGTTTGAACCTAAATCCCATCGGTTATGATATTCCAATGAACCAAATTGAGTGACGTATGTATCACTTTTCAAAGTCCTCAATTCTATAGCTGATATAAAGGGTGTCCCATGACCTGTGTCAACCAGACAAATATGCAGGTAATCCAGTGAAGGTACATGTATGATCTCGTTAACTTGGGGAGTAGATGCATTGCCTATATTCACTGTATACCACCGGTTAACCCCGAGATGAATATCAAACTGTGGTGCCCTATTCAGCCCATCATAATTTCCATACAAAAAGTTAGTCCGGATGAGATAAGTGGAACCTCTTGTGATGTTTATTCTGTAGCAGTTCCTTTTTCCTTCTGGGAAGCTTCTCACATTCATCATCTGTCGTTGATAGACAGTGTTGATGGTTTCAGGTATTATTGTCCCACTCACACCCGTGTTTACGAAATTGGCATCTGAAATGTAATTTATGCCTGTTTTTGGCTCAGTGTAGTTCACATCCGCTGGAGCTCCGCAATCTATGCTGATAAATCCTAAAAAATAGAAAATGTGCAAACAAAATCAGCTTATTAACTAAATAATCAAGTTCTTAGACCTCAAACAATGATTCAATGAACGCAGATCGTGTTTTGCTTCACTAAACCTGATTGATCCTGGGCTTGAACACGTAGACCACCTAGAAAAACAACCAAGAAACTCATCGACATTGTGTAGGATGGCAAATATTTGAGAGCCATGTTGCCAGAATATCCACTTGCTTAGAAGTTAGAGATTCTTGTTAATGCTCCTCAATTGACATTAATGCCTGCACCTGCATTGCACAAAATTCATCTGTCAATCAAAGTTATTTCATGCCTAAAATAGAATTTTATTTACATATTTTTATTCTCTTGACTTTAAAAAGTTTCACTTTTATTCCTTGCAGTGTCTCTATTACGCCAAAGTAATCCTTTGTTTAGTTTTTTAATCCTAAAGATAACAATTTTGACTAATACATTGACACAAAGTTGATAAACTAAGCTAAGCATCAATTTACTCTATTACGGTACTTAAGTGAAAACTTTTAAACTTAAAGAGATAAAATTACTCTTTATATATATAATGCACAATTATTTTGTAAAAATACATAAAGGCCAAATCAAAACAAAGACAAAATTAAGTTACGGAATAAATAAAATATCTCAAATGTAAGACAGGAGGGTAATAAACAACTGCAATGAGTGTAACCAAATAACATAAATATAAAGGGAAAAAAAATTATCTTTAATGAACAATATAATCAACTTTATTTAATAATAATAATGTTATTATTATAAACATGTTATTTCAAAATATATTTTTCTTAAAACAAAAAATCGAATAAACTTAACCAAAAACAGGTATGAAATTAAGTGTTTTTGTTTGTATAAAATAAAGTTACGCACCCTTCTTGTGGGCAAGCATGATGGGTTTTGTTGTGATGGATTCGGATTCAGCTGCTTCTGGATGGCGTCTTTCCCAACTCCAGATGTTGTGAATCTTTCTCCATATGAACCTGAACTGTAGGGTGTCTAATGTTTCTGATTCAGAAACCTTATCTATTCGTGTTTATATAAAACCATTTTTATGATGACTCCGTCAATGCTCTAACTGTATGTGCAGTGGAAATTAATGTTAAAATTAATGTTGTCCTGTTCCAGTAGGAGTCGTACTGTGTGAACTATATGTTGACAGTTCGGTGGAGAACTTTGACACTAATTTTAATCGTAAGAAAAATCTACACGCGGCTTCTCCAGTTTACTTTTTCTGCAATATATCTTCGGGTATTTGTTTGGTTTTTTAAAAAAATTATTTGTATTTTATTCTTAAAAAAATATTTAACTTTTGAAATATTTTCAGTTTTTTTTGTCTCCAAAATATTTTAAGAGAATAGTTGTTTGAAAAAAAAAACTATCATATTTTATTTATCAGATAATGATGTGTTAAGTTATAACCAACATTGAAATAAAAAATAATATTCTTAGAGAATTAAAGAGTAAAAGAAAATTCCGAATATATATTTCAAAAATTATAATTATATTTAAGTTTTAAAAGAAAAAAATATTTCTCGAATAATTCAAAATCAAAGCAGTCACTAGTTTAGAAATTTAAAAGTTTTAATTAGTACAAAAATCAATTTTAGACTAAATTTAATTTAGAGCAAAATAAACAAACACACTAGTTTTTAAATCATGAAATATTACATTCATTCAGCACATAGGGTGATAAATGCTTTTTATATTTACTTATAGTATTTATCCTTGATTATGCCGAATTAAAAAGAAAAAACACTTTATTTCATTAACTCATCTATATCAACCAACACACTACAACTTGTTATTCATTACAACATTATTCTATTCTTGTGATCTTGATCAGTGAGCTTTTACCTAGCCGAGGGCATGGATTCGCTGTCTAGATTCACGCTGACCGGTGAAACTGAATACCTAGGATCAGCAGCACCATTATGCTTTCTCCTAGCTAATTCGGTCGCTAAAGACTCCTTTAGATCAAGCACTACTAAACTCATGATTGGCCTTTCGTTGGTATTTGGAGAAACGCAAGCCAATGCTATTTCTACAGCTTTCCATGCCGAGTTAATGTCAAAATTTTCTTCTAACCTTGAGTCAACTATGGCCCTGATATCCCCTTGTGCAATCATGGAGCTAACACGTTCACTTATGTGACCCTTTTCTCCACTCCCTTCCATTACTGGTTGATTTGTGATTATTTCCAAAAGAACAACTCCAAAGCTATAAACATCACTTTTCTTTGTTAATCTGTTGGAACCGTGGTAGCTGCAACAAAAGTCATGAAATCCAAATCATTTTCTTTCAGCGTTTGTGGTGATAACTCGAGTATAACACCTAGAAGTTCTCATTATATTTTCCCGGAAAACCAGGGACAGGACAATAGTCAGAAGAGTACTTACTGAGGGTCCAGATAACCAAGAGTACCAGCAACAACAGTTGACACATGAGAACCCCCTTCAGTTGGGAGAATTTTGGATAGACCGAAATCAGATAATTTTGCTTGGAAATGTTCATCCAACAAGATGTTTGTAGATTTTACATCTCTGTGGATTATAGGAGGCTTGCAACCATTTTGCAGATAATCCAATCCTGAGATTAGGCTTATAATTATGGCAAACAATTTAAGAAGATAAAAAAGGGAGTCAACAAAAAATACGTAATTTGAAGTTTACTTTCTAACCTAAGGCTGCATCCACTGCTATACGAAGTCTGGCCTCCCAGCTCAAGAACTTTGATTCTTTGTGTGTACCTACAGGAAGAAGTTCTGTAACTTTCTATACATTTTTGTTTTTGCTAAGTAGAAGTTAGTCATAAAGTTCTCCAATATTAAAAATTCCATATTCAGCGTTTCAGAAGACAAATCTTACTTGGAAACCGATTTCACAAAAATTTTATTCGGGAACTAACCTGAGAGATGTTCTCGTAAGTTCCCGTTAGCCATGTACTCGTATATGAGACCCTTATTGGTTTCTTCGTTACAATAACCAATAAGGGATGTCAAATTTTTGTGATGAACTCTGAGTAGAAGTTTAACCTGTAAATCAAAATCATAACCATGTTTAGCCATATAGATTTGTCACTGAACTCAGAAACCTATTGTAAAGTGATTAATAACTTATTACCTCTGCTTGAAATTGTTGGTAACCAAGAACTGCAGATGGGGAAAGCATTTTCACTGCAACTGGAATGTCAGCGATATAGCCCAGGTAAACTGTTCCAAATCCTCCTTTACCAATAATTGTATTGAAATTGTTAGTGATTTCATGGACATCAGAGTATGAATATATTTGACTTTTGCGTTGCAGGAATGAATTATCCTTTTCGGTGGATTGCTGTGAAATCTCATTTCGATCATTTACTTCCACCGAAGCTGTAATTTTTTCTACAATATTTGAAAAATAATAGGTTAAAAATGATTCTTTTGACAAATTATTAGTAAAAAATACGAATCTGAGTCACTATTGCAGCATTACCTTTTGATTTTCTCCTTTTAAGGGTCCACAATATTGCCACGGCTATTAGAAGAATTAAAACCGTACCAATTGATGCTACTATGGGCGTAAAAATCTTGTTCATTTTCCTCTCGTTGCATTGACCAGATTCACAGTGATTTGGATTTTGACCCACACTAGCATGGAGATCACTCAAAAATTATGTTTCACATCTCAGTAAACCTTACAGGTCATCCACAATTTCAATACATACTTCAATAGATATTCGGTGGATCATTTAGAAATGAATCGTAAATTCTGCCTTAAATTATGAGTAATAAATAATCATCAGCATAAATAAACATATTATGAATTTGAGAATTTTTAGTTAGACTCATACCTCAGTGAGAGAGAACCTTCCTTGGCTTTTTCAACAAGTGCTGAGGGAATTGAACCGGAGAGGTCATTCTTCTCCAAGTTTCTGCCAAAATATCGTTTCTATTATCTGATACAGAGGATCACATATATATAGTGTTCCAGTAAATGAAATAACTTACAAGATCTTCAAGTGTTGTAAATGAACTAGAAAATCAGGAACTTCACCATTTAAGTTGTTGTTTGATAAATCCCTGGAAAACAAATAACTTGGCTCTTCTAAGTATGTTTTATCTTGACTCATGTACCCAAAGTCAAAATGATATGTAAGAGCATAGCAGAATTAATAAAAATAAAAACATGTAAAGTAAGAGGATTTTTATGTTCTCATCATCAATTGGTCCAGGTGAGATAAAAAAAAAGTACTCACAACTTCTCCAACATGGTGAGCATTGATATTGAAGGATCTATCGTTCCTGACAATCCACTTGAAGATAAATCCCTATTTAACACAAACAATACTTGTATATGTTACTATTCCAGTTTACAAAGCCATAATATTAATTTGAGAAGCCTGACTTACAAAGCCGTGATTCTTGGGGATTCATTTGAACCATAACTACAATTGAGACCATCCCACAAGTACTCTACAGGGGCGCATGGATCACCTTGCCAATCTTTTGTCACCTTATAAATTGACTTGATGGTTGTAATCGCATCAACTTTTTGTTCAATGCAAAAATTGGGGTAGAAAGTTGTTAAGTTCATGTACAATAGTGTAAACCAAAGAAATGGATTTAAAAAATGACATCATATTTTCGTGGCATACCATCTCCTTGGAATGTTTGTGGTTGCTGTAAGTCTATTACAGTGTAAATTTCTAAGGCACTGATGATGGGAGGCAGGGTTGAATTTTCAGTCATCTCCATTGAATATATAATTTCTTCCCCACTGATGGCTGATTTGGTATATAAAGTGTCAAGACCCAGGTACCGTGGAGAAAAATTTCGAAACCATGATTCACCATTCAACATGATGTTGAATTGTCTTGTCTGATTCGTTGCTAACTCTAGAAGCTCCGTGAAATGCAAGTAAACATAGAATTGCTCATTTTCATCTTCTGGCTCCCAGCTTATTACTAATGGATCACTGTCATTTGGTGGTGTAACTGCGGTGCTCATGACAAGAGCTCCCGGTTGATAATCGTTCTGGTGCAAAGAATAATCAGAAATTGAAGAATTTAGTGGTTTCCAATTTCTCCAGGTACAGGTGAACCAGAAACGATCATAACGATCAGCCCAGTACCTGTGAGAAAATCAGAATAAATCAATAGAATCAATCTTTTTACTGCAAACAAATTTAATCCATAATTATGACTTCACCTGTAGGATTGGTTTGAACCTAAATCACACCGCCAGTAATTGTAACGTTTCAGTGATCCAAACAGAGTGACATATGTATCATTGTTCAAAATCCTCAATTCTATAGCTGTTATAAATGGTGTTCCATTGCCTGTGTTAACCAGGCAGATTTGTAAATGATCCAGTGAAGGTACATGTATGATCTCATTGGCATAGGTAATGTTTGCATAGCCTATATATAGTCACTGTATCCCACCGGTTAACCCCAAGAAGAATATCAAACTGTGGTAACATATTTCGGCTATCATAATTTCCGTACAAAAAAACAGTTCGGATTAGATACTTAGAGCCTCTTGTGGCATTTATTTTGTAGCAGTTCCTTTTTCCTTCCGGGAAGCTTCTGAGCCTCCACAGTTGTCGTTGATTGCTTATGCTCTTATATTCAGATGTTATACTCCCACTCTCACCAGTATTTATGAATTCTGCATCCGAAATATAATTTATGTGCAGTATCGACTCAGTATAGTTCACACCTGCAGGAGCTCCGCAATCTATGCTCGTGAATCCTAAAACATTAAAATGCATATATTAAGCATAAGGCTTAGCTAAACTTTAAGTAAAGGTTTTAGATTGAGAATGATGTGAATTTCTTATGTGAGTTGTGCTTGTGCCAATTGATGTTGTATCTCTTAGTGAATCCCCTCGATAGACCTAACAGTTCTTAGACAAAACAAATGTTCATGTAAACCTGGTTGACCATGAGCTTCAATAAGTAGAGCAGCTAGAAAAGCAACCTACAATGTCATCGACATTGTATAAGATGACTTCGACTTAGACGATGTAGTCAATGTGTCCGTGTTTAAATCTGCAATCTGCATCGTAAAGGGATCATTTTTTTCTTTTTGTTTATGAGTAATTTATTCTAAAGAGAACAGTAAGATGAATACTAGCCCAAAGACTGCTATATGCTACAAAAAGTGTCAAAAAAAAAAAAAATGCAGACCAAGAATTGCAGCACCAACAAAGTTCTTAATACAGAAACCCTGCTGCCACAACAAAAGCGATTAAATGTATAAAAAAAATTGAGGAATCAACAAGAAACAGGTTTCTTTAACTCCTCTGTTTTGCATCATATCTTATGGTGTACCCATAACCCGAAATCACCTTTTGTAAATATAATTACGAATTTAAAATTTAAGTTCAGATTTAACTAGAATAATTACCAAACTCAAGATATTATAAAGACTAAATATTTTTTTTTTCAACTATTTTTTTAATTTTATATACTATGATTTTCACAGTCAATTTTATTTTACTCAAATGTCTTATTAATTTTTACCTTAAGATGAAATTCAAATCTTTCTTACACTCCAACTTAAGATAACATATTATTGAATATTCGTGTTACACATTAATATACATGTTAGTAATATATTAATGTTACATCAATTTAAGACCAAGTTAATGTCATGTTCCATTTTCCACTAGACAACTTAACCACATTAAGAAAAATAAATCAAATCAACACTAGAAATAATAAGAAGATAAAATTAAAATAAAAATATAATAAGAAAAAAAACTATTTAACCTAATTAAATTTTACTTGAAAAATATTATTTGTAAATTTTTAAACACAGACCATAGGTTATTTTGTATCCTTCATACCCATTTTTTTTTCGTTGAGCAACAATTGTTGTCTAAATGAACATTATAAATTTATGATTGCCAAATTCGATATCTAATACGATTTTTAAACTTTCAAAATACTATTTTTATTTATGTAAGCGTGTCGTTTAAGATATAATTGGTACAATTATATTTAATCAGATATTAAAATACTACTTAAAAAAACAATGAATATCATTTATCGACTTTAACTATATAGTCTTTATTAAATCTTATAGATCCAAAAATCTTTTATACGAAATATTTTTTACTCAGAAATTATTATTTGATGAAAATAGAAGTGACTAGTTTTTATTATTATTATTATCATTAAAATTAAAGTTGAATATAACCTAGCTTAAAATCATATAAACATTTAATATTGAGTTTATCAAAGCTTTATTTCAATAACATTATTCTTATAAATTATTATTAATATAATTTCACTATATTTTTAATTAGGATTATGTGTAATAAATATGATATTTTTAATTTTTTTTAAATATGTTATTTTTTTAAACAAGGATGAATATATTAATAAACATATGTAATTCTGATTATGTTAATATGGAATTTGCTGTTTGATATGTTTAAGAGAAAATATGGAAAAGTAAAGGAAAGAAAAGAGATGATATTAAGTAGATGCAGAAAATGAAGTAGAAGGAAGAGAAAAAGAGTAAATATTGTGGTTCTGCTACACCTACCATGCAGTGATGATATGATCTGAACTTCTGCTCCAGATCTTCTGCCTCCTGTTTCTTCGACCTACCAATGGATCCATGGAAATTTAAAAGAATATATTGTAACCAGACGTTGACTACTGTTGACTGACTAGGTCAGACAGATTCTGATTACTAGCAGGACAAAACAGAAAACGACGATGTTTCCACCATTCGTGCCCGTTAAGGTAGCATAACCAACCTTATACTTCACGAAAACCATCTAACACGGTAACTCGTTCAATACTCCCTCCAGTGATTGATTCTGCATTTGTTTGAATGTTAGTTATTTGGACCCATGGAAAGATAGGCTTGTGTCACTTCTTTTATAAAAAGATAAATTATAAAAAAAAAAGACTAAAACATTAAAGTAAAATTATACCATTAAAACTAATTACGAAAATGATTGTCAAAATATTAAAGATAAACTTAAAATAAAAAAATTAGAAAAAATATTTATGATTGGAAACGCAAAATAGAAAAGAAGTATATACATTAAAAAAGTTTACATAACCAAATAATCTTCTTGCAAATACAAACTAAAAGGAAAAAAATAAATTAAAATTATCTTTTTATAAGTTAAAACTTATTTATGAATAAATTAATTAAAAAAATACACAAATTTTTATTGTTGATTTTAGTTGTAAGCTAATTTTAATTTCCACCAAAAAAAATTAGAAGTATTTGTAGAAAAATTGTCTAAACAAATTTATATTACGATTATTATAAAAGAAGATAAAGTCTAAAAAAAACGTTTATGATTTTTATTTTTTATTTTTTCAAAACTTTTAGTCATTATATTTCATATTGATGATTTAGATCATTAAACTTTTATGAATATGTAATTTTAGTTATTTTTCATACGTATGGTATATATGTGATTATCTAGAATTTTAATTTATAAAATCAAAATAAATACAAAAGTCCCTCTAAAAAAATTGATATGAACTTCAACTCAATTACACCACAATCTTACTTAATTATCGTTAATTTCAAATTAAATAAAAAAAATAAGTATAGCAAACATGAGAATTTATAGATGTGAATAGTAAGTGAACATGTGAATAGTAAAAATGTAAAAAATACATAGCAAAATTTATGGTATCTCAAACAAGAAATACAGAAATATAATAACTTATTTAACTTGTAACAAAATCTTTATTCATAATTAAAAATTAAAACAATAATCATCCAAAATATGATAATCACTTAATAAGACTATATAGACACATCTTTGAATATAAATGTCACCATTTTATTTATTTACAATAATTCATCATATTTAGTTTATCAATCATAAAATGTCAATCTTTCATCTTAAATCCGCGGGTGAAAGTATTCCTTTGATGCAAAGTAAAGTATCTGAATATCTGATGCTAAGATTATTCTGAACATGTCTCAGTATACAAACATAAAAACAAGGTACGAGCAAAGTAAAAGCAAATAAACATAATATGACCAACTTCTTGTATACAGCATGGCTTCCCTTGTGTGCATTGGCTTCATTTCATTAACTCATTTCCATCATCGAACACGCTTTAACCACTTTTTGATTACACCATTATTTTATTCTTAGTATCTTGGGTAACCAAGCTTTTTACCTAGCCAGAGGAATGAGTTCAGAGCTCAGATTCACATTGACAGGTTCAACTGAATTTGCAGCACTGTTATGTTTTGTTCGAGCTATTTCGGCCGCTAAAGTCTCCTTTAGTTCAAACACTATCACACTCATAACTGGCCTTTCGTTGGGACTTACTGAAACACAAGCCATTGCTATTTCCACGGCTTTCCAGGCTGAGTTTATGTCAAAATCTCCCTCTAACCTCGAGTCAACAATGGCCTTGATATCCCCCGTGGCAATCAGGGATGTAACGCATTCAATGATGTGAATTTTTTCTTCATTCCTTAGTATTACTTGCTGACCTGTGATTATTTCCAAAAGAACCACTCCAAAACTATAAACATCACTTTTCTCTGTTAATCTATTGGAGGCGTAATAGCTGCAAGACAAATCATGTAACCCCATTTTTTTTTGTCAGTGTTTATGGTGATATCTCAAAATCTCATATATTTCCGGGAAATTAATGGATAGGACAATAATTGAAGTACTTACTCGGGGTCCAGGTAACCAGGAGTACCAGCGACAACAGTTGACACATGTGATCCTCCGTCACTTGGGATAACTTTGGATAGACCAAAATCAGATAATTTCGCTTGGAAGTGTTCATTCAACAAGATGTTAGTAGATTTTATGTCTCTGTGTATTATAGGGGGCTTGCAACCATTTTGCAGATACTCCAATCCTATATTAGATTTATGGAAAACATATTAAGAGAGTAAAGGGAAGTAGAAAAAACTCTCAAGACGCATAATTTGAAGTTTACTTTCTTACCCAAGGCTGCATCCACTGCTATACGCAGTCTGTCTTCCCAGCTCAAGAATTTTGATTTACTGTGCTTACCTGCAAGAACAAGTTCTGTAACTTTCTATACAGGCTGATTATTTTTTACAGTAAGTTATTCATACAACTCTTACAGTTGGGCAATATGTTTCCGTACCCAGACTTTCGGAATACAAAACTAAATACGAATTGATTTGCACAAATTTTGAGCAAGAACTTAATTTTCTTTGCGAACTAACCAGAGAGATGTTCCAGTAAGTTTCCATTAGCCATGTACTCATATATGAGACTCATATTGGTTCCTTCATTGCAATAACCAATAAGTGAAGTCAAATTTTTATGATGAACTCTCATTAGAAGTTTAACCTGTAAATCAGAAAGACAACCATCTTTAACCATATATACTTGTTACTCAGCTCAAAAACCTAGTATAAAGTGAATAATAACTTACCTCTGCTTGAAATTGTTCATAGCCACGAAACGATGAAGGGGAAAGAATTTTTACTGCTACTGGAGTGTCATAAATATAGCCCAGATAAACTATTCCAAATCCTCCTTTGCCCAAAATTGTGTTGAAATTGTTGGTAATTTTAATGACATCAGAGTATGAATATATTTGTTTCTTATACTGCAGTAATGAATCATCTTGCCTTCTGTACTGGAGGGAGATTCCACTTTGATCCGTTTCTACCATCCAAGCTGTTAGATATTGGACATTAGTTTGGAAACTAACAGTTAAGATTGCATTTGTTTGGAAAATAATCAATAAAAGTTACGATTCTTTTATCATTGTAGCATCACCTCTTGATTTTCTCCTTGTAAGGATCCACACTATAGCTGCCACGGCCACCAGGAGGATCAAAACCCCGCAGATTGATGCTACCAACGGCACAGCAATGTTATTTCTATTCTCGTTGCATTGACCATGTTCACAGAGATATGCATTTTGGCCCAACCTGCATGGAAACCACAGAAGATTATGTTTCAAGTTTAAGAAACCATGCAAGTAGAGTGAAAATAAATCATGTCAAGTGTGGGATCACTTTTCTTTTATATTTTTCACGTTCCTTAACATTCAAGAGAATTTTATAATTTGTTTGCCCCAATTTCGTTTCTTTTTTAGAGAGAAAAAAACTAAACAAACGAGACCAAAGATGTGTTTATTGAATGAGTTTTTATCCTGAAAATGTTTATATTTAAGTTTTCCTATAATAGAAGAAGAAATAGACGTCATGAATAATCTTCATAAGTTAACATTTAGAGCTTATTAAAAGATAAAAACAGTTTATATATTTTTTTTAAGTCTCTTAAACACTTAAACAAAGACTTGTAATCATCGTCACTAATAAGCAACCATATTATGAATCTGAGTATTATTTTCAGTACGATTCATATACCTTAGGATGAGAGAACCTTCCTTAGATTTTTCAACAAGTGCGGAGGGAATTGAACCGGAGAGGTTATTCTTCTCCAAGTTTCTGCCAAAACACGGAAATGTGAATAAAAATAATCGTTCTCTCTTTTCTGATACAGTGGATCACATGGTAGTTTCAGACTTCAGGTAATTGACGAAGTAACTTACAAGATCTTCAAGTGTTGTAATTCAGACAGAAAATCAGGAACCTCGTGGTTTAAGCTATTGTTTGATAAATCCCTAGGAAACAAATAATTTAAGTATGTTTAAATCTTGACTCATGTAGCAAAAGATATGTTGATTCTTGACACATAAGTACATGGCAGAAAGAATACAATTAAAATAAGAGATTTTTCTGGTCTCATCTATTTCTTGATCAGGTGAAATAAAAAAACTCACAGCTTCTCCAACATGGCGAGCTTTGAAATGGAAAGGTCTATCTTTCCTGATAATCCGCTTGAAGATAAATTCCTGTTTTGCTCAAACAAAAGTTATATACGATACCTGTTGGGAAATAAGGTCGGATAAGATGGAATAATAATAATACACCAATGTGAGATCAATAAAAGACACGAATATTTGTTAACCCAGTTCGGATTAAATCCTACATCTGGGGGCGAACCAAGTCAGGAGAATGAACTAGAATAAGAGGATAAACCGAATGTTACAATTCACACAAGCCCGTATGAATACACTCTCTCTACTCTTTCTTCACACTTGGATTAGATACAAATGAGGTTACAAAATGAGGTATTTATAGCCAAACAAATCCTTCTTGAGAGGAAGTTGAGAGGAAGCTCCCTTCCTTTGACCAGGAAGTTGCAAGGAAGTAGCCTTCCTTTGACCAGGAACTTGCAAGGAAGTAGCCTTCCTTTGACCAGGAACTTACGAGGAAGTTCCCTATCTTTGACCGATCTTTACACCTCAACAATCTCCCACTTGAAGATTGGTCAACCTGTTCATCTCTGCTCTTGGTTCTGCTAAGTCTGCCTGTTTTAATCATCAAGGCCAGTCGAAGCTACACACAGCTTCAACTTTTCCAAAGTTACCGCCTTGGTCAACATGTCTGCAGGATTCCTATCTCCCCGAACCTTTTTCAGCTGCAAGCATCTTCTTCTCTAGAAGTTGCCGGATGAAATGATACTTAACCTCGATGTGCTTCGTTCGCGAGTGAAACGCGGGGTTCTTTGCCAGATGGATTGCACTCTGGCTATCGCTGTATAGAGCCACATCCTCTTGAGGTCTCCCAAGTTCATTCAAGAAGTTTTGCAGCCAAACGAGCTCCTTGGCTGCCTCCGTCACTGCCACGTACTCAGCTTCCGTTGTGGACAATGTGACTATCTTCTGCAGCTTTGAGATCCAGGATACGGCCGTCCCGCCGTAAGTGAATACGTACCCAGTAGTACTCCTCCTCTTGTCAAGATCACTTCCTGCAAAATCAGCATCGACATACCCAGACAGGGTAAGGGTACCCCTGCCAAATACTAATGCCCGGTCCTTAGTACCCCTCAGGTACCTAAGGATCCACTTTACCGCCTCCCAGTGCATCACTCCGGGATTGCTCATGAACCGACCGACTACTCCCACTCGCATGTGCTATGTCCGGCCGGTGCGGACCATAGCGTACATTAGGCTCCCGATAGCCGAAGCATACGGCGTAACTCTCATCTTTTCTTTTTCCGAGTCATCCTGGGGCGAATCCTTGTTGGACAACTTGAACCGGCTTCCCAATGGCACTCGAACCGACTTTGCGATATTCATATTGAATCCGCACAACACCTTCTCAATATAATCAAATTGAGAAAGCCAAAGTTTACCAAGCATTTCGTCCCTCGTGATTTTCATGCCCAGTATCTGTCTCGCTTCTCCTAGATCCTTCATATCAAATCTCCTTGATAGCCGATCTTTGAGCCTCTCGATCTCCTTGACATCCGATCCTCGCTATCAGCATGTCATCCACATATAGCAGTAAAATAATGAAAGAGTTACCGAACTTCTTCACATAGCAACAATGATCAGCATTACACCTGGAGTATCCTATCTCCAACATGAAATTATCGAATTTTCGGTACCACTGTCGAGGAGCCTGTTTCAGTCCGTACAAGCTCTTCTTTAGGCGACAGACACTGCTGATCATTTCCTCTATATCCCTCCGGTTGCACCATGTAAATTTCCTCCTCGAGATCCCCATGCGTAAAGGCCGTCTTCACATCTAACCGTTGCAACTCCAAGTTTTCCGCCGCTACGATGCTTAACACTAAACGTATAGTGGTTAACTTAACAACAGGTGTAAAAACATCGGTAAAGTCAATACCGTATCTCTGTTGGAATCCCTTTACTACAAGTCCGGCCTTGTACCGTTTTGTTCCATCCGATTCCTCCTTGACCCGATAGACCCATCTCGTTTTGAAGAGCCTTCTTTCCTTGTGGGAGATCACACAAATCCCATGTGTGGTTCTTCTTCAACGAGTTCATCTCGTCTTCCATCGCAAGCTCCCACTTGCTCTTGTGGGCATCTTTAACCGCCTCTGCATAACAGTCGGGTTCCCCGTAATCGGATAAAAGTAGGTAATAAAGAGAAGGGGAGTACCTATCCGGGGCCCTTCTCATCCTCGGTTCTCGGCCCAGTGCGAGGCGTGCCGCTCTCAGCAATCGGCTCATCCGATTCCGGTTCCGCCTCTTCTTCCGTACGCTCGATCTCATCTATCCGAGCTCCCACCGTATCTCGCTGGTCTCATGATTCCGGTATTTGAAATATCGAGACCAACATACTCCTGCATGGTCTTGTCATCGTCCGGTATTCCTTTCGGTCCTTGTACATTATGCCTTCATTGAACACCACATTACGACTCGCGAATAATTTTCCGATTTTGATCATCCCAAAATCTATACCCAAATTCGTCGGTCCCATATCCAATGAATGTACATTTGACGAACTTAGCATCCAGCTTTGTCCGGTCGTCATTCAAAACGTAAGCCAAACAACCAAAGGTACGTAAGAAAGAGAGATCAACTTTCTTACCACTCCAGACCTCTTCTGGAATTTTGTTGTTCAGTGGGACAGAAGGCCCCCGGTTGATCAAGAAAGCGGCCGTGCTGACTGCTTCTGCCCAAAACATCTTGGGCAGTCCACTCTTCAATCGCATGCATCTCGCACGCTCATTCAGTGTTCTGTTCATCCTCTCCGCAATGCCATTTTGTTGAGGTGTCCCTGGGACCGTCTTCTGCATCCGGATCCCATGATCGGCGCAGTATTCTTTGATGGCTTCACCGTTGTACTCGCCACCGTTGTCGGATCCGAGACATTTCACTTCCAGCACTGTCTCTTTCTCCACGAGTGCTCTCCATCTCCTGAAAGTATCAAAGGCTTCGGATTTTCTTTTCAGAAAGTACACCCATACCTTTTTTGTGCAGTCATCGACGAACGTCATGTAGTACATCGATCCTCTAAGAGATGTCACCGGTGCTGGCCCCCATAAGTCAGTGTGCACTAGCTCCAGTTTTTCTGTCTTTGGAGCTCTTCCGGTGGTTATGAAGCTCACTCGCTTCTGCTTTCCAAGCACGCATTGCTCGCAGAGACCCACGTCCACTGACTCCAACTCGGGCAAAAGTCCTCTCGACTTTAGTACCTTCATTCCTTTTTCGCTCATGTGGCCCAAGCGACTGTGCCATAAGTGCGATTGTGAGACAACTCCTGCCAGGAGAATGTTTGAGCTGGATCTACTCGCCGTGTAAAGCGTTCCCGACTTCAGCCCTCTTGCCAAAGTCATAGCTCCTCGGCCGACCTTCCACTTTCCGTCTCCAAACATTGTGTGGAAGCCGTCATTGTCCAGCTGTCCAACCGAGATGAGATTCCTCTTCGGTCCCGGAATGTGTCTCACATCACGTAGGGTCCAAGCATGACCCATTTGCGGACTTGATCCGCACATCTCCCTTCCCTACAATTTTTAGGGATTTGTTGTCTCGCAAGATATACCAAGCCAAAATCACCTGCGGTGTATGGCTCCATGATGTCTCTGCTACTGCATGAGTGAAATGAGGCCCCCGAGTCCACGATCCGAGTCATCGAGCGAGCTTCTCACACTCAACAAGAGTGCATCCGCCGTGTCCTCCGTCGCGGCATTGGCTGTCCGACCTTCTTTGTCTTTCCTTGGTGCCCGGCATTCGCTTTTCATATGCCGAGGCTTCTCGCAGTTCCAACACACCATCTCTTTCTTGCCTTTATTCCTTCCCCTGGATTTTGACCTCCCACGGATTTTCCCTCGTGTTTCGGGTCTCCCTCTCGGACTCGTATGTAGGGCTGAGCCGGACGACCCACCCGCCTGATTTCGCGGGTCTCCTCGTTCAACATCATATCTCTTATGTTGTCGAACTTCATCTTCTCCTTGCCGAAGAAGTGCTCACCGAAGTAATGACCACGTCCCAACTGTCCAGGCAATGATGAGAGCAAGATTAGGGCTTTTACCTCATCATCAAACGAAATATCCACCGATGCCAACTGCGTAGTGAGTTGGTTGAAATCGTTGAGATGATCGGCCACTGACTTTCGCTCCTCCATTTGCAATTTGAACAGCTTTTTCATCAGCATCACCTTGTTTATTGCTGATGGTTTTTCATACATGTCGGCGAGTATCTGCAAGACCTCCTTCGTGCTTTTTGCTCCCTTCACATGGTAGGCGACGTTCCGAGAGAGCGAAAGAATTATAGCACTCATCGCCTTCCGATCGAGCACCTTCCATTCATCATCGCTCATCTTCTCGGGTTTTTCCCCAAGAGGTGCGTAGAGGTCCTTCCCGTACAGGTAAGCCTCCATTTGCATTCGCCAGAATCCAAAGTCGGAACCATTGAACCGTTCGACTTGAATCTTTCCCTCCATCTTATCTCCAACCTCCCGGCTCGATACCAGCTTGTTGGGAAATAAGGTCGGATAAGATGGAATAATAATAATACACCAATGTGAGATCAATAAAAGACACGAATATTTGTTAACCCAGTTCGGATTAAATCCTACATCTGGGGGCGAACCAAGCCAGGAGAATGAACTAGAATAAGAGGATAAACCGAATGTTACAATTCACACAAGCCCGTATGAATACACTCTCTCTACTCTTTCTTCACACTTGGATTGGATACAAATGAGGTTACAAAATGAGGTATTTATAGCCAAACAAATCCTTCTTGAGAGGAAGTTGAGAGGAAGCTCCCTTCCTTTGACCAGGAAGTTGCAAGGAAGTAGCCTTCCTTTGACCAGGAACTTGCAAGGAAGTAGCCTTCCTTTGACCAGGAACTTACGAGGAAGTTCCCTATCTTTGACCGATCTTTACACCTCAACAACGTCCTAGTTTTATAAAGCTATAATAATAATAATAATAATTTGGCAAGCATGACTTACAAAGTTGTGATTCTTGGGAACTCATTGTCGCCATAAGAACAATTCAGACCATCCCACAAGAAAACTGCAGGTGCACATGGATCACCTTGCCAATCTCTTTTCACCCCATAAACTGACTTGATGGTTGTAATAGCATCAACTTTTTTTAAATGCAAATGTAAGAAAAAAAAAAAAAAACTTTAGATCGCTAGCTAGAGAAATGGATTTGAGATATATGAGAAATCATAATTTCCTTCTCGGCATACCATCTCCCTGGTACGTATCTGACTGCTGAAAGTCTTTTAATCTGTAAATTTCAATGGCATTAATGATGGGAGGTAGGGTTGAATTCTTGGTCATCTCAAGTGAGAAAATATGTTTATTTCCGCTGATGCCTGACAGGGTCTGAATAATAGTGTTAACAGCCTGGAACATTGGAGATAATCTTGGATACCATGTTTTTCCATTTAGTCTGATGGTGAATTCTCTCGTCTGATTCTTCGCTAATGCTTCAATCTCGCAGAAATGCATGTAAACATAGTATATATCAGTTTCATTTTGTGGCTCCCAGCTTATTACCAATGGAGCACTAGCATTTACTGGTGTGACTGCGGTGCTCATGACAATGGCGGGCGGTTGGTAAACAGATTGGATTAAAGACTCAGCAGGAATAGAAACACCTAAGTGTGTCCAATCTTTGCTGTCGCCAAATTTGTCATACCAGAAACGATCATAAATATCATCCTTGTACCTGTGAGACATTGAATAAAAACAGGTCCAATTAACATTCAATCAATCTTTTAATGCAACAGATTTAAAGCAATATATGTTGAGTTCACCTGTAGCTTCGGTTTGAACCAAAATCCCACCGGTAGTGTGTTTGCAATGATCCAAATTGAGTGACATAAATATTATTTGGCAAAGGCCTCAGTTCTATAACTGATATAAATGGTGTCCCATGGCCTGTGTCAACCAGACAGATTTGTACATAATCGAGTGAAGGTACATGTATGATCTCATTGATTTGGTAACTAGAAGCATTGTATAAAGTCACTGTATCCCACAGGTTAGCCCCAAGATGAATATCAAACTGCGATGTCTTATTCAACCCATCATAATTTCCGTACAAAACAATAGTCCGGATAAGATACTTAGAGTCTCTTGTGATATTTATTTTGTAGCAGTTCCTTTTTCCTTCAGGGAAGCTTCTGACAGTCCACAGCGGTCTGTAAAGCTTATCTTTCAAATCAGATGATATTGACTTACTCACACCAGTTATGAAATTTGCATCTGAAGTATAAACTATGCCTGTGTTTGGCTCAGTATATTTTACATCTGCAGGAGCTCCGCAATCTATGCTGATGAATTCTAGAACATAAAAATGTGCATGTGCATGTGACTTGAGGCTCTAATATTTGACCAAAATATGATATAATGAAGTTAATGTTTTGCTTTATCAAACCTGTTTGGTCCTGAGCTTGAATAAGTAGACCACCTAGAAAAGCAATGAAGAAAGTCATCGACATTCTGTACGATGACAGATACAAGAGCCCCATGTTGTAACTTTTACCTGAGAAGGAAATTGTTGAAGAGAAATTTGTACATAATTAAAAGAAAATACATAATATTTGGACATATTAAATGCTAAAACAATTAAGTTTTTTAACTCAAAAAAAAAAAACGAAAATAAGCAAGGGTTATGGAAAAATGTTTTCTCTTTATATAAATAATGAAATTTAACAACGAGAAAAATGCCAAAACAAATCCTTTCATTCATTTGATTTTAATTCAGATACATCCTTCCTGTATTCTCTTATTTTCTTACGCTATGCATATTTATTTGAAAAAACAATAATCTCCTTCTTAATTTTATAGAGTGATTGATCAAAAATATATTTTTGGTGTTACAAATTGAAAAATTCAGAAAAATTTTGGATAAATAAATCTAAATATATATAATTTTTTTAAGTGCTAAATTATGAAATCTGAAATATAATTTTACCATTCTAAAAGGATAAATATGAATTTTTTTAAAAAAAGTGAGAATTTTCATTAATTCAGATTTGAAATATATTCTTGGTGGTATTAAAAAAAATTGTAACAACTACATTAAAAGTTGTAAAAATTTTAATTGGTTAATGACCATGTATAAAAATTAGTATATAAATAAAATTATGTAAATTGGTTATTGTTAAAGAGATTTTAAAACCTAATTCAATTTAAAGTTCATAACACATTCATCTTCGCGCGACATATTAGAAAATGAATTTTGATCTAATTAGATTACAAAATAGGTTCAATCAATCGAATTATAAATTTTAATAATAGATTAGAAAGTAAATTTAAAACTAATTTAGCCTATAAAACCAATTTATAACACGTTTGTTATTATTATTTAATGACATATCCCGTCATGTGAAATCTTAATAGTTTAATAATAGTAATTTGATGTTTCATTTATTTTATTTTATTTTATTTTCATATTAGCTTTACGTGGAGTTAAAAAAACACCTATTAAAGTGTGGAGACTTATTGCATGCATGCAGGTTTTTAGCCCAGTATTTAAGCCAAAAAAAAAAAAAAAATAGAAAATATATGGGTTTCTGTGCAGAAATATATAAACATACATCTTCATAGGAAACCCACCTCGTATTTCCTTGGGATGGTGTTTCTGAGGAGCAACAATGATGTCCCTCCCAGGTACTTGTTTTTGGTGGATATGGACGAAGAGGGAGAGTAGTTTAATTATGCTTATGAAGTTATGAAGAAAAGCATTTAACATGGTAAGAGTTTGTCGCTTACAGAACAAGTCAATAATGTGTTGCAGAAGTACAAGTCAAACAAATGAAACGGACGATGACTATATAATTGACTTACAATACAACCTCCCTCGTACAAAACAAAACCAACCTTTCGTTCTTTCTTTCCATCCTCCACATGCCACAACCTCTGCATCTTACCACTTATTATAATTGGAAAGAAGATAATGTAACTCACAAATGAGAAATATGTGAAAGGTTATCTAGGTATTTTATATATTAGATAAAGATGTGAATGGGAAAAAAACACAGTTTATAAATATAAATATATATGTTATAACTAAAAGTAATTCGGAGTTCGCTGTGATAATATTGTTTACGTTAATTAATTTTTATATCTAAATGTGTTTTAAAAATTTTATCTTTATGGTTTTATTTTAAAACATTATATCAATATAAAAATTGATTTAACAATATTATTATAATAGAGATAAGATCGAAACACTTTCGATTATAAAAAGAATAATAATTTATTTATTTAATTTCTGGTTGTTTTTTTCTTCTTGGTTGTAGGTTTTTATTCAACCTCTTTTACCAATTCAAATATTTATTTTCTTTCCAATTGTCTCACTCATGGAAACCTGTCCTCTCAAGTGACCATCACTTGAAGAAGACCACCACAAACTATAATTTGATCATTTTAAAGACTTTTTTTTTTATTACACACCTAATTAAACGGTGTGCTTCTGACCAATGTTTTCTTTTTTATATAGAGATTCTGATGTACTGCTTATATTTATTTATTTGTAATGAATATACCAACTTGAATAAATTTGTTTTTTGTTAAAGATACTTGTAATTTACACTAAAAAATATGATCTTCCTTCTAAATTTTAAATTTACTATAAATGTTTGTGTTTACCTCTTCGAAGACTTTCTGTAAGTTTGATACTGACCAAAATATTATACTTTGAATATCTGTCATGATGATCACACTCTAGGAATTATTGTTGAATTATTGGCAAACGTACCCAAATTATCAATTGCAGTATAATATTTCAATTAAATAAAAGTTGATCCCACGAGAAACAATTTTAATGAAAATTCTCAATTATGCTTACTAAGTAGATTAAATAGATTGAGTTTTGCAAATAAGAGTTGAATTGAAATTAAATGACAAATAACTGTAAATTATTGAGAAAATATCAATTAAAGGTACTTAGGATTGACTTCCTTCCTTATCCCTCCTTTGTAATGGTTAAATCAATTAAGAACGTCAATTAACCTAACAATGTTGATGTCACCTACTCAAACCATCCATGTTGATTCCTCATATGAAATTCATAAGAAAACCTAATAAATGTTGATTCCTCACACAATTAAGAGATTTTCCAGCATTAGGATTAGGGTGTTAAGCAATTAATACATTCATTCCATTCCTGGCAATTAACGTAACAAATATTCTTATTGTGATCTAGGGTTCAAGATATATTTTCCAATCATACCCCAAACATCAAGAATAAATCATTCCAAAGCATAAAGGATAAGAATAACAACATCAAAGCATAGATTAATATCTCAAAATATCACCATGATACAAAAGAGTTCAAAGGAAGTGCACCGAATCCTAAGAGAATGAAGTTAGTCACTCATGTTGGCCATTACAATGCTCTAATTAATGAAGAATTGAAGAATTGATGAAGATTAGACGAAACCCTAACAGTAGTCGTGTCTGTTGGCAAAATTTAGGTCATGTATATATATGATACATAATTTAAATGTGTTAGGGTCATTGTTTATTAAGCCAAATAATAAAGTGATCTGACTAAATTAAAGTTTTGGCTAAAGACATATGTCATGAAAATAAAATTATGTAGAGACCATAGAGTAATTTCTAATTTGATGAGGGGCCAAATTGGAAATCCTAAAACTTAAGTAATTAACCTAATTCTGGTTATCTAAAGGGTCATGGTCCCCTTCTGGAAGCACACACACAGAACGTAAGTATCAGTCCCGTTCCTTTCTTTCTATCCCCATCAAGAGAGAAAATCAAGAGGGAAATGCAGGTACTCTTTAGGTGGAAGACCATAAGATCAATATAGTGCTCTACAAAGACATCATCATTATGGCTAATTCAGGTACGCTTTCGCATTCAGTTTACAACATATTTATCAATATGGGATTACGTTTATGTTTGATCGTTAGAATCAAAATCAAGAATATTATTATTATTATTATTATTATTAATTTTCCAACAATTGGTATCAGAGCCACCCATATTTGATTCATGTCTGTTTAATTTATAGAACCCTAATTATGAAAATTAGGATTAATTTTGTTTTAAACAATTCAAATTACCCAATTTTATGAACCCTAAGTGGAGAATAATCTCTAATTTTCGTGAACCCTAAAATTTAAATTTGGGGGTAACATCCCCAATTTGATTATGCTTGCTGATGGAACCGTGGAGGAAGCTATGGATTCTTCTTCTTCGTTTTTCCCTTTTGTTTCAGTTTAAGTTTCAAGTTTTACTGAAAAAGAAACAGTGTTTCAAATTTCAATTTTTCTTGTATTGGGTTCTCTGTTCTTTTTTTAATCTTTTGTTTTTATTTAATTTTATGGGTTTGGAATTGGAGGTGGTGTTTGTGGAGTTCCCAACACAGAGAATCTTAGGTAAATGGTGAATGTTTCCACAGGTGTGATTGTTCTTAATCCTATTAGGAAATGGTAAATGGTGAATCTTATTGCCTTTAGGAAAATTTGATGTTAAATTCTCCTGTTTAGGGTTTGAATGATTACTGTTTAATCCCCTTTTAGGGTTTAGAGCAGTATGCTAAAGAGACTTAGAACTATCTCTGTTTCATCCCTAGTGTGATTTTAGGGAGATGTTCATCCTTTATGTATTGGTGGAAAATGAGACATTTTTTCATCCTTTGATTTGTTCAAATGAGGTGTTCATCCCTAATGAGATTCTAGGGAGGTGTTCATTCTTAGTAGAATTCTAATGAGGTGATTCTCTTTTGAATTAGTTTGCAAATATTAAATATTTGGTTTTCTTATATAAATAAAATATTCAATTTTTTGGTAGTTTAATATTTTTTGTGAGCAAATTGAGTCAAGAAGTCACCAAAGTAACCTCTCTTGAATTGGGCAGTTCATGAAAAATATTGAATGTTAGTGTTTGTGTATATTCATGCGAGTATTAGTCGGCCTCAAAGGAAGATTAATATTTGGCCGAATTGCATACACACTTGTAATGATAAACATGTGATAATTATAAGGATTTGCTTTGTCGATGATAAATCAATCCAAAGACTGGTTTGTTGTTGGACGTGTTTTATTGTCAATGTTTGATTATTACAACAAGATACCTCTAGCAGTTAATATTACTCGTCCAAAGACTTGATATTGATGGTGCATTGGGTGTCTTGAGATGGGTTAAACCACTATTTAAATATATATATTATTTATTTTTTATATAATGTGAGCATAATTAGTTTATTTCTCGTGTTCTAAATTCAGCTACAATTGCTTCGTATATCTGCCAATTTAAATTCTATTCCGGTCCTCAATGGAACAAATTTTAAGGACTGGAAAGAGAATATTGATATTACTCTTGGTTGCATGGATATGGATCTTGCGTTAAGGACTGAGCAAACCCCTACTCCTACGGATTCAAGTACCTCTGAACAGAAAAGAGATTATGAGAAGTGGAATCGCTCAAATCGCATGAGTCTAATGATCATTAAGCACGACATCCCAGAGGTGTTTAGGGGCACTGTTTTTTAAAACATCACAAGTGCCAAAGAATTTCTTGCTGAAATTGAGCAGCGCTTTGCAAAAAAGCGATAACACGGAGGCAAGCACTCTTCTTCAGAGCTTGATCTCCATGAAATATCAAGGCAAAGGAAATATCAAGGAGTACATTATGAGCATGTCTAATATTGTTTTTAAACTCAAGGAACTAAAGCTTGAACTCTCAGAAGACTTGCTCATTCATTTGGTGTTGATTTCTCTTCCTGCAACGTTTAATCAATTTAAGGTATCTTACAACTGTCAGAAGGATAAATGGTCTCTTAATGAGCTCATTTCACATTGCATACAAGAAGAGGAAAGACTAAAGCAAGACAAGACAGAAAGTGCTCATTTTGCAAGCACCTCCAAGGCTAAAGGCAAAAGAAAGAGATCAGAGGATCTCGAGAAAGAAGCTGCTAAGGGTCCAAAACAAAAGAAACAAACTCAAGAAAACAAATGTTTCTTTTGCAATAAGACTGGACACGTAAAGAAGAAATGTGCTAAATATCATGTTTGGCGTGAAAAGAAAGGGTTGTCTAAACTACCGGAAGCCAATTGATTTTGAAAGATGGATTTATGTTGGAGATGACAAATCGGTAGAGGTGGAAGCTATAGGACATTTTAAATTGTTATTGAGTACTGGTTTTTTTTATTTGGATTTGAAAGACACTTTTTTTGTGCCGTCATTTAGACGGAATTTGGTTTCAGTTTCTTATTTGGACAAATTAGGTTATTTGTGCTCATTTGGAAACAATAAGTTCAGTTTGTCTTTTAATTCAGATATTGTTGGAACTGGTTCACTTTTGATTTATAATAATCAGTATTTACTTGATATTGTGGTCACCTATAATGAAACCCTTAATACAGAATCACGTAGTACTAAACGTAAAATTGAAAATACTCACTCAGGTGCATTATGGCACAAGTGCTCAGGTCACAATCAAATCGTGACGTTTGGGCTTGTGTTACACTCTTAAAGATATGGTAGAGAGTATGATTTGTCATTCCACCTTACTGGAATCACTTTGGGGAGAGACACTAAATACAATAACTTATATTCTAAACAGAGTACCAACTAAAGCAGTTACCAAAACACCTTATGAGCTTTGGATTGAGCGACAACTTAGTCTGAAGCATTTCCATGTGTGGGATTGTCCAGTTGAGGCAAGACCTTATAAGCCAAATGAAAAGAAATTGGACTCCCGAACAGTAAGTAGTTATTTTATTG